CCGTCAACATATTGCACACCTACCGTTGGTGCACATAATGTAAATCAGTCTATATTTGTTAACATAATGGCAACTAGATGGGTAACAAACTCTAAACAGCATCAAAAATAGTAAACACAACAAGAAAAAAAAACTAATGAAAATGAAACGAGGATGAAGGGTCTGCGTTCATTATTAAGCATGAATTTTGAATGTGTGCCAATATCCGTATCATTAATCTTACGGAGGCTTGTGTTTGGTAAACTTCCTTTTCCCTTTTAAAATGGTTTCAAAGTAAAGAAGAGATAGTAATACCGATATCGCTACGGATATTACTTAGCATTGTGACGCAACGGCTCGTCATGACAGTAATAGATAATTGAAGTGACCGTATCACCTCTATAGGGTTAAATTACATGATTAATAATTGGACTTTGAAAGAGGATTTACTTGCTTGGGCTATAGTTTTCTATCATTTTCTTTTGTGGTATTCATCGAAAGACAAGAATAGCATTAAATGATGACATGAAAGAAAAGAGATGATTCAGCGAAGTAGATGTAACTGAAAAGAAAGAAAAGAAGGAATGAAAGAGAGAAAGAAAAGAGAAAAAGACTAGACAGAGAAAATACAGAGATAACATAAATCAAAGAGAGAGAGAAGAGAGAGAGAGTACAAGAGAAAATCAATCTCTTTTATTATTATTTTCATAAAAGTCCTGTGGAAGGAAAAGACAAATCTTAATCAAGTTTAATATCGATAGAATGTTCAAATTTGTTCTTGAGAGACAGACTGATGATGACATAATTCATGTTAAACCACATCAACAGACCTTTCATTCACTATGCATGGCCTAACACACGTAATCACTTTAATCACACTTTTCCTGTCCGTTGCTACATGGATTGAGTAACGTCTGCATGCTAGTACACAGTCTAGTACGCGATGGAACTCCGTGCACAGGAGAATCGCGTTTGTGACAGTGTATTACCTACTTATTCAAAATTTGAGTTACTTTAAATCCGATAGTTTGGCCAGGAGGGATGAGACCTCTCTGAAAGGTCACTGACAGGTGGTTATCATATGAGCTCTCAATTAACATAAGAAAAAGGGGATCATGGGGGACCAATGGTCACCGATTAGACATTGTTTGCTATATAGAGGGCGCAAGTAGCTATAATTAGTGCAGTGTGGCTTTAAGCAAAGATAATTTTGCTACAGGTGATAACTGATAAGATATTGATGAATTACTTTTTTACAGACTATGGAATTCCTATATCATCGCATTTTCGTAAATAAGCAATGAGCGTTTTCAGTCGGCCTTCCCGGGAATACACCGTGTGACGAAGATCGACATCAAATACAATAACAAAAGCTGTATATTATAGCAGAATGATTCTTATCATTATAACATGCTACAATAATTATCGAACAAAATTTATAATTGTCATTCAAACACACGGAAATGACAAAAACCAATTGAACTATAAATAGATCATTTCAGTTGTTTTTGGTATTGACACCATGGATATGGTCTCACCTCACAGTCCTGTTAACAATTAAACTAGTTTGATTGTGCAGATTTTCTTTTTGAGTGCACAGTCATGTTCGCTGTAGTTGGCAACTTTTACAAATTGGCTGCAGTTTATGACAAACATGTTTTTACTACCTAATTATTAGTTGTACCACGGCATAAGCTCAGTCCTTAAACCATGAAAGCTGAGTCATATTTGACCTTGTCTTTTAAAGGAGACATCCAATACAAACTAATGTTGCTCCGTTTCGGATTCGAATCACAGAAAACATTACATGCAGACTTATAACTTGACATTTCAATTGATTTATTGATTATCAATCAATTCCAAAGAAATATGTACTTGTAAAGCACCCCCTTGCTTTCATAGGGAAGAACAGATGGGTTATCCAGCCATGACTGATTCACTATACCATTGATTTTACTATGTACATGCATTTTCCTTGTATTGTTTGTAATATTGTGATATGGAAAATAAATAACAATATCAATACCAATATTCCTTTCGATATAAATTGCGTATACCCCGACAATATTTATTAACGATTGAAGAGTGTTTAATTACCACTAAACCATATTAATAATGTTCATATTATTAAGATTTGGTTTCTTCTTAAAAACTGTTAGTATGGTTCTATATCTGAAACGGAAACCGCTGACATAAAGTATTTTGGAAATCTTTCGTTTTCCCCTATTCTGTTTGTCTCGTATGTTATAGTTGAAATTTTCACCTAATCACCTTTTTACATGTTTTTTTTAATAATGTCTATACTTGTGCAGTCGCGTTTTACATTTAATTGTTTTTTATATGTAATACATTTAAATGTTTATCATGGCCTTGCTAATATCAGCTCTCAGTTGATGGCAGGCTTTTTAATCATGTATATTTAAATAAACTGAAACCAAAACATACCGCAAACCAACAGGAAAAGATATTTTCATTTCATTTCTTGTTTTCTTTTTTTTTCTCGTTTCGGTAAGTAATTTTAGTAAGCAATCATAATTGGTGAGGTAAAGTCTAGAAAAACAGCATGAGTTGACATTCGGCCTGAATAGTTGTTTGTCAAATCGGTTGAGACGGGAAATGCTTAATAACCCCTGATTTCCAACTCACTTTCTGAACAGCATGTATGCTCTCGTCTAAAAGACTCACAAATAATGTGTGTTGCTTGCCAAACCTCTCAGGCAGGCACTAACGATAACTTCACAATTTGACAACAAATTGGAGAATGTACCCATAGTTTAAAGTCTAAATTATTTTTCTTAGATATGCATATTTATTAATGCCTAATATCAATCGCTACAACATACTCCCTTTCTCTGTACACTTTCTAACGATTTACGTGTACAGAGGCTACAGTGAATTCCCATTGATCATAATTAATTATAAAAATTCCCAAAGCCGTTTTCAAGTTTACTGAAGATTAGAATTCAAAGGAAATAATTATACACTTGAAGCATAATTATAATATCACATCTAGAGATGGAACATTGTGCATATTCTCAGACGGAGAGACAACTAGCAAAACTAACGTAAATGTAAACTGATAATTATCAATAATGAATGAATGTTCTGTAAACTTCAAGTTATATTGTAGATCACCAATAGTATAGTTCGAAAGTTGTCCTGGGATTTAAATCACGTGCATATTAATTCAATGATCCTTATGATTATAGGCTGTCCATTTAGAAAATCCATCGTAAAAACAATTGTTTTTGTTCGGATGCGAGAATCAATCACTTATAGCACGGAAGTATAGGAGCTGGTCAGTCATCTGACCTGTCACTACCGGGCATTATCAACTAACAATGGCTATAGTATGTGGGGAGAGAGAGAGGGAGAGACAGACAGAGAGAGAGAGAGAGAGAGAGAGAGAGAGCTAAGTTATTATTATTTTTTAAAATCATGAATAAAAAAGAACCGGAAAAACTGTGTAGAAATATCTTTTCACCAGCTGAACGGAGAATGATCCCACTATAATGCAGAAAATTGACGCAAAATAGAATATGAATGTCTAGCCTTCGCATTTGAATCATCTTAACTAATGTGGTCTTATTATCACCATACGAGTCGGTATTCCATACTTTTTCCACAATAACAGACAGTCATATGCAAGAGTTTTGGAATTACGTCATCACAATTCGTTGTATAAGGAATAACACCCCCCCCCCCCTCCCTCCGTCTACATGTTATCTAGAGAAAGAGATGACAACGATGCTCATGTTGGTGGGTAGACAAAACAAAATAGTGGGTGTAAAATCGGATCTGAACAACTTTGTGTCATGTCCTTTCAATGATGATCAGAGAATGCTGCAAAGCAAAAGGAAGTCAAATCTTTTGAGTATGTCATCCATTGTGAACTCCTATTAGCACCTGTCACGAAGGTGTGTGTGTTATTTCCTTTACCAGTGATCATGGAAATTATGGATGAAAGGGATGATTATTTACCCGACTGCTAAGAAAGCATAAATGCTTGTAAGTGAGCAACCAGACGGCCGATGGCTGTAGGTCCTCTCCGAGGGACCTGATAGTGAGGATTAATGCCTTACTAAAGGGCACTAGCGCATCGACTTTGTTTCTAACCCGAATTACGAGACCACTACTCAACCGACTGAGCTATCGCGCCTCCTCATGGAGGTTTTGTTATGGTTTTCATTGAGACGTGGATTTCGTAGATATTGATGTATGTTCACTTGAAAAGCAAGTGAGCAGATAGAAATATTGACTCTATATTCAGCTTCAATAAGTTCTGACTATCACGATACGTTTCATATAATTATATGTCTACATAACTGTGGTAATGGAACGGCTATGAGAACAGATAGATAGATAAACTGATTTATACGTCAAAACAAACGCGATGTCTGCGATCCGAAATCAGTCATCGTGGCGAACCACACTTTAAATGACTAATAAAGAAATCACATAGTCTTGTTCGCTGTAAAAAAAAAAAAAACACACAACAACAACGAAATTAAACACACGAAAAACACAAAATATTTTCTTGCCAAAAGTGTGGAGGAAAAAGACTATCCCGAATACTAAAGAGAGCTGAAATATGAAATGTTATGCCATTAGGTTATTTCGTAGAACACGTACGGAAATAGGCCCAAGTCCCCCTTTTTTCATTTATAGATATTGATACAATTGATGAATTTCGTTCACGCTTCCACCAATCTAAAATGTCTGCTTTGTTTCAGAGAATTTTGCTTTCAGGGTTCAATTTCCTTTTAAATGTAAACCGAAACGACCTGATATTCGTTTTCAAGCAATTGTGTATCTTCATGAATATGAGCACATCGACAAAGAAGTAATTGATTTATGATATAGGTTGCGTTATGCTACGGTCACAAAGGTTCGTACGAACGATAATTTCGTACGAATCTCCCTGTTTTTCCATTGTCTTCCCGAATTTCCATTGTCTGAAAATCGTTCGTACGGCGTTCGTAGCAGTTCGTAATGGCATTTGTGACCGAGGCTTTACTTACCGTTTTCTAGCGTTAAGTTCGCCTGTGATTCCCCCGCAGTAGAAGGCTTTGGTCTCGTTCAATGTCGCATAAGTTTTCCGCGCAGGGTCACAGTCCCAATTTACCACTTCCTATAACATAAACAATTTTGAAACAGACAATCATGAGATTAATAATAAGTATATCATTAGACTTTTTTACGATCAAATAAAGTCAAAATTAAAAACTTGTTTCGTGCATGTGTGTATAAGAACATATCCTTATTGCTTTCGGGTTTTTTCATGAAGTTTTCAATATTTATTTATTCATGGTTGATTGTGGTGATCATGGTCCTGGTCATGCCTGAATTAAATGGAATCAATTCAAAATTTGACCAACTATAAGATAGGCATAGGTTTTTGATATCAATGGATGTACAACGAAATAATTGATATTCGATGTCTGTTATAGGCCTATCCATGATTCACACAGATCTTTTCATCATTTACATACTATTTACAAATGATATAATAATGTATATTACGTGTACTCAATCAACAAATTTAGAAATCTTATCGGGAATTGACGATTAAGTGAATTCACGTCAGCCTTTTATTAATCATAATATATTTTTCTTGTTATCATCTGTATACATTTACTTTTGCTCCTCTCTGAAATTAATTTAAGTGATGATAATACTAACCGTTGGTCCAGTAATAGTTGTTCCCTCACAGCAAGCATAATAATAAGAATCATCTCCAACCAGTGTTAATGAGGATACTTTACATGTAGGGGTAGCTGGTGTAGTTGGTCCAGTCGATCCAGTCCTTAAAGCCAACGTCCCAGTCCTCTCTGTTCCTGCACCCCGTTTCTTAATATCACCTTCATTCTCTGTCGCATCCAGCAAACACACATATAGTGTAAACACTAAAATAACTGAGCTCCAAGTCCGAAACAACATGGCGACGTTTACTGATTACTTCGCAATTAGTACAGATATGTTGAAATCTCCAAACAGTGTCCAAGATTTAAGCTAACTTTTCGAAGAAATAGTTCTCGGTGAAATTATGACTGAAATATTGTTTTTCTCGCTGTAGAATCAAGACGGGAAGTTTGATTTTGGAAATAGAATAAATAAGAATGAAACACCTGTTAAAATCCTTGGAGAAAGTAGAAGTATGTTGATTGCATTGCGTTAGGGCTAAGACTATATACTCAACGGGTACAGAAAGGGTTCACCCAAGTACCGTAGAACTAGCTGAAAAGTGACTAAACTCATCGACCAATCAGCGCACAGGGATCACGGAAACGGCGGGGATAGTCAGTTTGTTGAGGGAAGCCAGCAGGCTACTTCGGATATGACATGATAGTGCGCATGTCATAGATATCCTGGCGATCAAACACTGCCGGGCCAAATATGCACCTTTACCTACATTTCACCCGAGGTGAGTTGCTAAAATAATATCCTAATAATCAGCAATATTAAACTGGAACCATGAATCATAATTCATTCAGGAATTAAGCCATAATAAACTTTACTGGTGATGTAGACAAACAACAATATTTGATACTTCATTGATTTTGAGAACTTGTGCTTGATTCATTTTGGCTCAAATTTACACCTTATTTGATTTGATTTGATTTCATTTGATTTATTGGTTTCTGCATCTTTCTTTTTTTTACATCATATATTTTCATGAACATAATACGGTTTGATACAATATTTTAAGTGTATATAATTTTATACAGATAATATACGAAATTAAACAAATATATTGAATGCATAATGAACATACATTAGATGCATGAGGGCTACAGAGCAAAGTAGCTTGACGTGCCCGCAGCCCTCAACTTATGAGACTAACATTTCCTTCAACTTCCGGTATAAAACAAAAAGCGATTTGTTTTCTCGGTTTTAGCCCAACATTTGACCTTGTAAAGGCCTATCACTGTCTATTTTATCGCTCATTACAAACACAATTCATTTCTTTGCTTGCGACAGCGTGAAAGATGAGTTCAATATTCGCATGGCTTGATATACATGGATGAGTCTTAAGCCTCGGTCACGAATGCCATTACGAACTGCTACGAACGCCGTACGAATGATTTTCAGACAATGGAAATTCGGGAAGACAATGGAAAAACGGGAGATTCGTACGAAATTATCGTTCGTAGGAATCTCCCTGTGTTTTCATGGTCTTCCCGAATTTCCATGGTCTGAAAATCGTTCGTACGGCGTTCGTAGCCGTTCGTAATGGCATTTGTGGCCGAGGCTGTACAAAGAATTACAACCATCATCATTATGATTTTTATTATTATTCGCTAATAAGGATGAGATGATCATAAACTAAAGATAAACTTCATCAAACAGCATCATATGGAATGAATACTGCTTAATAATGAATAATGTATTGTTAACTGTAACTGTACAATTGTTTTAAATGGGGGCACGCTACAAGAGTCCTATCTCGCACCCCGGGGCAACGTGTCTGACACGGCCGGTTGTAGCAACTACTCCGAAGATCAAGATTACAGTAATCTTGATTTAAGGAGACACGAACGAACGAATACTGCTTAAAGCATGATCACAAACACTTTCGAAAAATCAGGCTAATTAAAAGGCAATTATTAAAAATCAGGCTGAGCGAAATGCGCGAATATGACAATGACGTATTAGAAATGATCCTAATATGATTTCTAAGTGCAATGCAATAGCGTAATGGGATTGCGTTTAAAGCCCCTCTAAAGTGTTGGAGCCCAGAATTCGCCAAAAATTTGATGGCAAAATTTCACTTCAAAATTTCATTGTAAAAGAGGATGTCATTGAAGACACACTTCTGCAAAGATTTTCTCCAAAAAATGTGTTTGAAGACAAATATTGATAAAAGAATATATGATTTGGGTTTTGGTTTGTACGCAGAAAACTTAACATTTGTATTCTTTTATCATTATTTGTCTTCAAAAACATTTTTTTGGTGTGTGTGTGTGTGTGTGTGTGTGTCTTAAATGACATCCTCTCTCGCATAAAATCAAAATGATTTCATACCACATAGATAGGTTGAGATAACAGTAAGAAGATAGCAAGATGAATACCCCCTCCTCAACACATGTTATAGATTTCGGAAATCATTTCAGAATAACAAATAAACCAATTTTATCATAAAACAACCCACTATACCTGTCAAATACCAGGATATTAAACCACATGATCAGTAGACAATGTGTAATAAACTGTTTTTATAACCCGTGAAACAATTTGGGGGCACAGACCAAGCTAGACAGCCCGAAACGTCAGTATATGATAACATAAAACGACAAACTAACGGAAAGCGTGGCAAGTTATAACATGCAGAGTTTCTCTAGGAAAGCCACATGTTCATGGTCAAATAACTGCTGTTTTAGAAGCGTTATACAGCATATAATACATTTGTGAGTAAAGATAACAAAGTTAAAAAAAACATTAACAAAGTATAAGTAATGCAGATTTGCTCAGAAAGAAGAAAGGGAAAATGTCAAATGACGTAAGATCCGATGGTGTTATTAATGTTAAATCGTAAATGACATGTAAATATGTTGAATATCTCTTGTGACAATTTAAAAAAAACACAAATATAATAATAATAATAATAATAATAGCCTAATAGTCCACTCCAAATTTTATTAAACCGAAACGGAATTTTTTTTTGCCGCTGTTTTCACGAAGTGACGGTAGTGAACAAAAATTGCATTCACTTTGCGTTATGATTTGCCTCACTACCGTCACTTCGTGAAAACAAGGACGAATTGATCGTTAGCCCGGCAGCCACTGAGCAGCGCCAGATCGACGTTGCTCTATCCCTTATTGTTGAACGCCAAACAAGGTAGCAACAACACACGATCTCCCGGTTGTGAGGCGGACGCTCTACTGACTGAGCCAACACTCTGATATATGAAATATGATTTTACGAATATCCCCATACCCCCACCCCCCCCCCCCCCAAAAAAAAAAAAGAAAAAAAAAGAAAAAGACTTTGACTATTGATAATCGGAATAACCGATCATAACTCGCAAAATTGGGTAGAAATTAAAATAGAAATAAAAATATAAATACATATGAACGTCCAGGAAGTTATTCACTTCCTCTGCTCATGTACAGTTTAATCACGTAATGAACCTGCTGTCACATGATCACTCCAAACAAACATACAGGTGGTTGCAGAGGAGGATATATATATATATTTTTTTTAAGTGAAGTAAAAAATGAAACAAAATAAAACACGAACAAAATGCAAGATTTTGAAGACAACCCATTCATCATGTATTTATAGTGATGCTAATTTGTTTATGTTTTTGTTGTTTAATTGTTGTCTACTATATTCCCATTCTATACAAAATTTGGGGACAAATGTTGCTCTTATCTTGAAATATCCAAGCTTTACATTACATTGTCCGACCTAGCGACAAACGATACATGTAAAGTAAACAAACGAAAACCAATCGTTTATAAACAAGTTAAAAATATGTAATAGCCTCGTCAATACTACAATAATACTATTCCAGAGTGGGAGCACGCATTGGTTTTGCATTAAAAGTTCGCTAATAGGCCTAGAGACGGAGATAGAGGGGGAGGAGAGAGGGGGAGGAGAGAGGGGGAGGAGAGAGAGAGAGAGAGAGAGAGAGGGGGAGAGAAAGAGAGAAAAATAAAGAGAGATGTGGAGAGAGAGAGAGAGAGAGAGAGAGAAAGAGAGAGAGAGAGACCAATAGAGAGCGATAGAGAGAGAGAGAGGGAGAGAAAGAGAGAGAAATAAAGAGAGATGTGGAGAGAGAGAGAGAGAGAAAGAGAGAGAGAGACCAATAAATAGAGAGCGATAGAGAGAGAGAGGGAGAGAGAGAGAGAGAGAGAGAGAGAGGAAGATACGGGAGAGAGAAGAGGATAAAAGAATAAGAGGAAATAAGGTACATGAACATTTATCAAACCCCAAATGATTATCAACGTATATCAATTAGACACCATTCCGGACACATTGCTCTGACTTGTGGAATAATCTACCGACAGCATATAAAATATGCTCCTCAATTTACTCTAAACGTGATTATGAAGCGCAATCTAATATCATTATGTTCAAATCCATTACATATCAGCAGTCTATAATATATCATTTGTAGTATGTATCTATTACTCATTTTATCCGCAAAACAGCTCATGAACCCATTTCGACCACGCCGCAAATGCACTTGCACTGCACTCTCGTGGCCTCTTTTCTTTACATTTGTTAACTCTTTTAAAAATAATTGTTTTAATAAATTGTATTTATTCGTATTGGGTAGCCCATTCAACATCAGTTGGTCTCCCACGGGGCCCCTAAAACTCCGTGTCGACTTTTTTATCTTGAGGTTGCTATCGACATCAAACACTTCACTCATGATGGTGGTCTCCTGCGTTCTCATATTCTATTAATTGTAAAATGTTAATCTCCACTGTAAGTATTTTCTTTAATTCGTTCAAAAATAATTTGTTAATGTTTGAAAATGTGTTTATATATTCTACTGTAATATTCAATCGTTTTGTATTACGTTAGTTTAGTATTAATAATTCAAATAAAACTTCCACACAAAAGACATTCACTCAGGACAAAAAAGGGAAACCATTACAAATCAAATCCTGGTTATAAAATGTGTTCTTTATTCAGTTAGCACAATCAGCACATAACCATGATTCTCTTGATCATTTCAATACATGTACAACACTAATTACAAAGACGGGATACAATGTACATGTTTCCATATTGACTTGCAATAGTTTACCTGCACTAATTTCAGTCAATATAAATTTTGAGATAAAGACACTGAATAAGCACACACACTATTAAACCTTGCAATAACAAATCTACATACAATGTTCACACACACACTACCTCATAGTCTGATATAAAAAGAATTAAACACACTTACAAACAATAATCAAGGTGATATTACATATAAAAAAATCTGATTGCTGATAAAAGAAAATTCAGCCTGGATGGATTACATTTAAGTATATATTCAAGGTAATAAAGTGTAGTGAAAGGAATTGAATACATTTATATTCATACACTGTACCATCAATGTACATTCAATGGTAAATAGAGGATCAGATTGGAAATTATGACAATTATGACAAAGATTACGGTATGAGGTTTTACACTTAATGTGAGAAAGAATATAAATAAGGAAAAAAAGGAAAAAAAGGCCAAAGTAAAGAAGACAGTACCACCTCATTCTGAATGTATCGCTCTCCTATGACAATGTAGTATTAATCTTGTTAATTTTGTATAAAAAGTATTTTCCAATAAGTACAATTATATAAAACTACCTTCCTTATCAAAACATATTTATCCTTTAACATGAAACAGTAATGAGTTATATCCAGAAGACATTGGCAGTGTTTGCAATGTTACAAGACGGCTCCATCTAAATCAGTTGTTACAGTAATCATTTCAGCCTCAATGTTGAAAGACATTTTTTTTTTCCTAGTCTTTGGAAATACTGATTAATTCATCATACAAATAGAAATCTTGTATGAATTATTGAATAAGATTCAGTAAAGCATTATTCATGATTTATTTGAAAGACTTTAAGCATTTAAAATTGTTTGTAAAAAACATTACTAGGGTATTTTTTTTCATGTTCTTTTTAACATACTTTAAAACACCTATAAAAAAGAAAGTTTCTGCATCAATCCTTTTAGGTCGGTGATCATTTATAAATAGCATTCCTTTTCTATATTAAAAAAAAAAAATTGGTGAGTGGTTCAGATATCTATTTTTGTACAACATAAAGAGCAGACATTTCTAAACTAGCAAGTCATTACACAGCAATATATGCTGACACATATGTAACTCATTAAGATCAAAATTAATATTCTTCATAGGACATACTAAATCTTTTTTTCTTTCATATTCACAACATTATATAATAGTTTCTAATTTACTCGTACATTCTTCAGAAAAAAAAATTGAAATCAAATTGTATGGTTATTAAACATTAAATTTTGCAAGAAATGTGTTAATATGAATGGGTGAAATAGACAATTAGTTCCTCGATTCTATTTGAATATTTTGATACAGTTTCCATATAATCACTCAAATAAACAAATCCAATTTTAGGAAAAGGCACACTTTATGAACGTTCATTTGGTTTCTCTCTACCAAAAGTGTCCCGTCATGTTTTGCGCTTGCTTTAGAGCATTGTTTTTTAAATCGTTAATATAATGCACTGTAATCCTCATGTAAGTATGTCTTTTCAACAAGAGTTTCCAACACTGATTTTACAGCATTCTATTTCATGAGACAGTGAACTAAAACACAAAGATTGTTGAATTATCTCTGATGACTTAAAGGTATTACAAAGTTTTGGTATGGGGTCATGAATTTGGTTCAAATTAACAATTTCGGAAGCATATGCGTTCCTACAATATTCATTGATCGTTGTCGCAGTTGAAATCGAGTCTAAAGTTATGAAATTATAAATAATAAACTCTTTATGTTGTATAGCTCCCTCTCAAGGTCAAATATTAATTTAGCTATGAAACAATGTTTCTTGACTAAAATCGACCGATTAGCTATTCCCGTTTGGAAATTATATATCACAACTACATATTCTGAGATTTTCATGGTCGCAGCTACCATTGTACGGCCATAGGCGCTATTTGAAATTTATCAAAATTTACCGGGAGCACCGGTAAATGTTTATATTCAATTTTTCTCGAAAACAGAAGTGTTTTAGGGGCTAATTTTTGTTGTGCTTATGAAACATCCACAGGGGCATCCAAATATAACAAAATTGTAAAGATTTACTATCCATCCAATTTTCAAAATTTCCTAAAACTTTGTATTACCTTTAATTGCTTGGTTGAGTCCAGCAGCTCATACAAAAATATACAATTATGTCTTTATGAAGTATATATTTCTCAATTCAGCATATCATAATTTGAATATAAGTGCTATAATTCACTAAATCTGCAGCTAATATTTAACGATGGAAATATATATAATAAGTACTATGTGTTAAAAAATGGAATATATAATGAAAGATCTGAAAACATGATAAATACAATACTGCTGAATATGAATATTAGTAAAAACTCAAGGTGATAACTGGACAATCTTGTTTGTGTAGTACTATATGTCCATAAATACACCAAATATAGTTTGTTCCTTAACTTTCAGATAATAATTACCCGGTACATCACAGCAAATATAAATGACATGAATACAAGGTGTAAAATGAGAGATAACAAGTCAATGTCTAGCATCAAATGCAATACTTGAATTGCATAAAACTAGGTTAATAATATCCAAAGTCATTTAGAAGCGCATATAGATGTTAGACCATAATATGACTATATGCGCTACCGTATACAAGAACAGCATATTTTAATTATCGTTCATACATAATCTTGCAGCATGATGAAAAGAGCATATAAGTTAAAGGTATCAAATCACTATCCAACTGACAAAATGTTTAAGGCATGTTTGCTTTGTATAAGAAAGAGGTTTCAGTCCGTGTAAAAGGTGTACCGGTACTCAGAGATGCCAGAACAATAACAACTTTTTAGTTCCATACACAGAGTAACAATGTAAAACATGTTGCCAACATGATTATGATCAGCTCGCTTTTTTCCTCCAGTTATCTTCCTCCTTCAATTAAAATGCATTATTGTCAGTTACAGTTGTTTCAAAATTTTAGTAAAATCAGCCAAATATTAATAATTTTCACAATGTTTGAATTCCACTTCATACATATTTTTTTCTTTTGGATGAAGACTGGAGGCAAAAGTTTTTCACTTGTAAACTATACTGGAAGTCATTTGGTTCTAAATATCAGAGTTCATTGATAAGTATTGGAAATACAAATAATTTGGCTCATCATGCTATCAAAACAAATTTTATTTCAGTCTTTTTTTCCTGCAAATCCTATAACAGAATTCAGATAAACATCAATAGAGAACTTTATCCAAAATTAAAATATGATTTAAAACATGTTATGCAGAAAAATGACTTCTAGAATCAAATTCCACATAAATTTCATCAAAGATCTACCTTTCTGTCATTCTCAACATTCAGATAGTTATCTCTTGCAAAATACATGGAAACTACAAAAGAATGACATCTTCATATAAAGATGTCGTGCTAAAAAAGTACTGCACCCCTATTGGAAGATGAATGCTGGAAAGACATATATGTTACCCTTTATACTTCTATTTTTGCATCATCATAGGATTGTCTGCAAGGGGGATGCAATCGACCAGTCCTTATATTTACATAGGTAGTGCATGTACAGTTCTATTAAAGACAACAACTTTGAGTAAACCTCTTAAAATTTGAGGTGTCGTGGTCGAGTGGATATGTCACCGGACTGTCGATCACAATATCCGCGGTTCGAGTCCCGCCGCGGCATTAATGTCCTTTGGCAAGACATTGATCTACATTTGCCACACGCAACCTGACAGGAATTAATTCCTTGAAATGCTAGAGCGCCGTAATGGCAGCTGTGCTAAAGCCAGGGTAATAATTGGGAGCACCAGGAGTGTCAAGTCTGACAGACATGAGCGCTATACAAGAACCCACTTTTATTCATTATTATTATTATACACACACGCTTCATCTTCATAATTTCCAGTCACTATAAGGCAAGAAAGGTATTACAAATGACAGTTGATCAATCAATCAATCATACGTTACAATTCTGGATTCCAGCTCCTCCTGTCTGTTGAGTGACCAGATTGACCACTTGAAGATTACCTGACGGGTTGAGAGCGGTCAGTAGCTGCGCTATGCATCCATTGAAACCAGACGAGAAATAACCATTGGTCAGCTGCGTGATGTCAGCTGGATAACCACCTGTAGAGGGAGACAGACCAGATTACAAGTGGTCAGTAGGTGCGCTATGCATCCATTGAAACCAGATGAGAAATAACCAGAATGAATACAAAGTGCATCTTGAATATCATACTCATAATGTACATTAGGCAGTCTCTCTCTTACATGTATGTATATGACACAACTGCAATAAGGCCGAGTAAGAATATCAAAAGATTGAGGATGATAACTCAAAGACTATTGACTTTTACTAATATAAATAAAACCACATAAAGCTTCTTGTAGTGTTAAGACATGTAAACAGCATACACAAACTGTTGTCAGCAGAATTATAACCGAATAATTACCGTTTTTGAGACACTTCTTTCTGATAACGGTCATCAATATGGGGGGGGGGGGAGGACAAGAGAGGAAAAAGGCTCAGAATTAGAATACAATCATCTTTCATTCTTACCTAGATAGATAGGGAACCCAAATGTAGCTAGACCAGATTGTGTTCCTGGACTAGATCCTGTCACTGATTGAGACCGGTTCGGAATCAGAGATTGAACCATCAATGTAGCCGATGTACCACTCCTGAAAATACAGAACAACACCATGAAGTCAATTTATCATCAATCCTAAGAGATTATTGCTATATATATGCCTTTTGTAAGGTTGATGATCTCATAACATATATCATTTATACCAATTTTACTTCTTGGTGTTCTCTACATGTTTAAACCTTGCTCAAACAATAATCCGTAGACCACCCAAAATTACCGCCACAAGAAATGAAATATTAAAGAGAAACATTTTTCAAATAAACATTGAAATAAAAGGTTTAAAGCCTATCTGCACTTTTTTGACCATGAGGGATTATACCTCCCTGCGTGTTCACTGACAGGTGGTTATCTCATCAAATCAGCTCTCAATTAACATAAGAAAAAGGGGATCATGGGAGACCAGCAGGTACCGCTTAAGGCATTGTTGGCTATATAGAGGGCGCAAGTAGCTATAAGTAGTGCAGTGGGGCTTTAATCGACCTACCTAGTCACTTCCACATTGTACCAGATGTTATTCTCTATCTCAATCTCATCAGCATATAACTCTGCTGTACCACTGCCTAGATTGTAGAGTAGCGTGATGAATCCATCTCTGATTCCTAGTGTGATGAAATCATCCTGGATTGATGGGCCGTGCCAGAAGAGAAGGCTATCCGAAGACGAGTCCATGGCACGAAACAATAAGCTGAACTTCGTGGATGAAAAGACGCTATAAATGACGTTGGAGTGAAAACAAATAGAGAAGAAGTAAATTATCATGTATTTTGTAAGCAACTAGGAGTGCAAACATTCAGAGAATCTAAAGAAGGACATGAGAAGGTAACATTGTACTAAGCTCTAGCATTTAGTTCTTGAAATTTTGCAGGGAATCTGGGGAAGTTAAATGATAATCTACAAACAACTTTCCAGAATATAAACCGTGCCCCAAAAATCTATAATTTCTTAGCTACATATTTTCTATTTATTGATTTCCTAAGCATACTTTGTTCATGTTACATTGTAAAACAGCATCTGAGGAACTAACACTTCAACAAGCTCTGCTTCTAGTTAGTTCCTCTTTTCTCATGCTTTTTCTATTATATTTGTTGTTTCATTGCATATTTTTTTGTAATATAATTATTCATTGTATTAGGTTTTGCATGAGAAATAAAAATCATTTGAATCATTTGAAGCATTTCATTAAGATCCATTCAGATAAGATGTGGTACACCACAGGGCTGATTTTTTTATTTTAATAATGACGTAAGCATAATATACTTCACATTCATTTCTGTATCTTATACCACAGAGCTGAGTGAATACCTATAGGACTTTTGCTGTGCACAGTTACCATTTAACAAAAACAGTGGTCTTTTTATTTTTCATGCTAGATTACCACAACATATCTGAGCAATCCTTTAACAAGAAGAAAATGTAAATCCTGGGGGGTGTTTCACAAAGATCCTAAGTCAAATTTAACTTTAAGTCGGACTTAAAAATTATGGAGAGCCATTTGTAGCCTTAAAATAAAATATATTCAAAGGTGAAAATTGAAGTATTTTAGACTTTTCAAAATTCCACATCAAGAACATTAAATCTCCTTGATAATAGAAAATATGAATGATTTGAATCAAGATTTTATGCCTTCAAAATAGATGCAAACGGCTTTCCATAATTTTTAAGTCCAACTTAGGATCTTTGTGAAACACCCCCCCCCCCCCCCCTGGTTGCCTTGAATGCATTTTCGAAGCTACAGCAGACAGTAACGATCATATCGAAGCTATATAGATTGACTTACCTTGCCAGTAATGCTCTATCAAATGAGAGATATCCATCACCACCAAACATAGGAATGCTGTATGAAGACACTATGAGATAGAGATACAATGTAGGAGAAAGCATAGAATAATGAAAACAATAGCTATAACAGAAATATTATGGGATGTGGACTGCCCTCTTGTGGTCAATTTTTGCAAGAGGTCTTAAATGGAATAGGCTGTCATAATCATGGAAATTGTTTTGTTTTGTTTTAAATTGCTTTTGGCACAGTCGAATCATACACATAAGCATTTTAAAGCTTCTTAGTTGTTAATATTGAAACTGTTTCGATTTCATTACATCATTCATGTACTCATAAAACTTGTCATCAATAATGACAATTTACAATAACTGTTATAAACGACTGAAATATTCAATTTGGCATTTGATTGGTTGAGAGCAAATTTGTCATGGAAATTTAGCGTATGTTGTTGATAACACGTTTTATGAAACAGGGCCCTGGACTACAATCCTCCCAAGGATAATTTCCTTCTTCCTCCTCTAAGAAAAATTCAAAAAAACTATCCCAAACTTATTAAAGACTTCTTGATACCTCTTAGTGGGGGGGGGGGGGGGGGGGGGGGAGAGAGATTTTGCATGACAACTCCCTAACAATGCACTGCTACGTATGGTATATGTAGCATTTTACTGACCTTGGTCACATGTTGGTCCAGAGAAGCCTACATCACACAGACACGATGCTTGACCGCTATCACTCACATAACATCTACCTCCATTCTGACACTGCTCATTGGTAGAGAGCAGGTCACATGATGTTGTGTCACAGAATTCACCTGAAATAACATTTACAAATACAGTGTAAGCTAGACATTATACTTAAATACAAATAATAATAAAACCATGGGTGTCGATCCTTACGTAATACCTATTCATCAGGGGGGGATGAATGAATAGATCATCCCCCCCTGATGAATAGGTATCAGTTACGGATCGACACCCATGAATAAAACAATGATAATAGCAAGCATTGTACAGAAGTTATCTAGAAAAGGTATTCTGATATGAACAAAAAGCAACAGTTTATGACTCTTACACTGTCTTTCCCAAGTATATGGAAACAACAGTATGATCCCAAATTACAGTTTATACATGTATACATATACTCTAGGGACACAGCAAAATCAAACACTTATATATTTCAAAATTGTTTGTAAATGAAATGTATGATGAAGTAGACAGTTATAAAAGATTGAAGAAAAAAAAACAGTAAGCCTGTGGTACAATTGAGGGCAACCACACAGGTAATTAAACAAATAATGCTTTATACAGATAAAAAACAATATAATGCCAGTAAAGGTATAACATGAATGATTGAGTAAGATTTACATTATAAGCTTTTTTGTTTCTAGGTTTATCATAGACTAAAGACATTTCTTTACCTAAAAATCAAACATAGAGTAAGGTATTATTCAAGTAAGCTGAGTAAAGCCTTGATTGTATAGCTAATAAGTTGTTATAATATGTGAAAATGTGAAAAGGATTGGGATAACTTCCGCGGTTCGAGACCCGCCGCAGGACTAATGTCCTTTGGCAAGACATTTATCTACATTTGCCACACTCAACCCAGGTGATGTAAATGGGTACCTGGCAGGAAATAATTCTTTGAAATGCTAGAGCACCGTAATGGCAGCACAACTAAAGCCGGGTAATGATCTCCAAGTTTGGAGCGCTTAGTGATTGTAATAAGTGCTCTATAAAAACTGAGTATTGTTATTATTATTATAACATGTTATTCAGAATACAGCCCCAGATTGTTACCTGAGTAGCCCGGAGGACAATCACACTGGTAGCCAATCAGAGACGAGGATGATGTCACACAGCGACCTTCATTCTGACATCCAGGGTCTAGATTACATATCTCATCATTACATTGAGAGATTGAAGACTGGACTAGGTTATCAGTCAGATCTATCACATCCTGATTCACTATGAGACTACGAATACAGCCTGAGAAACCTGTACAGTCAAACATTCAAATGAGTATAAGCTCAATATATTTAAATGTTATGATGCCAGGATCTAGATTACATATCTCATCATTACATTGAGAGATGATTGAAGACTGGACTAGGTTCTCAGTCAGATCTATCACATCCTGATTCACTATGAGACTTCGAATACAGCCTGAAAAACCTGTACAGTCAAACATTCAAATGAGTATAAGCTCAATATATTTAAATGTTATGATGCCAGGGTCTAGATTACATATCTCATCATTACATTGAGAGATGATTGAAGACTGGACTAGGTTCTCAGTCAGATCTATCACATCCTGATTCACTATGAGACTACGAATACAGCCTGAGAAACCTGAACAGTCAAAGATTTAAATGAGTATCAGCTCAATATTTCACTCACAAACACATTTGAGGAAAATGTTTAATCATTGCTTGTTTTACCATTGTTTTTAATGATAAAAATAAATGTTTCATTGCACATCATATGTCATAATTCATGAATTGAATTGTTTTGAATTTCAATAAGGCAAGCAATCTGTTAAATCAAAATATGTTTTTAAGAAAGAAGGGGGGGGGGGATCAAATTTAGGGTGAAATGTACATAGAGGTAAACATGGCAAATTTCATGATGCTTTTCAATATATTTATAATTGAAATAGTATAATTTGAAGTACTTTTATAACATGAGGTGGGGCATTACTATCTAAAGATTGTATACAATACAAAAGAAGTTTTTTTATTTTGGTAAAGCATGGAAGAATAAGAAACTAATTGTATTATCCTTCCGCAATCACTTTCTAATGTATGAATAGATATGTACATACCTCCATTGATACCAGCTCTACTGGGCACTGCTACTGAAGACACTACTCCTCCGATGTATGTGGTCAAACCCACACTGAGCCCCACACCAGCCCCTGAGGACTGACCAATCACTGGACTGTCCTGGTCATTCACCCACAGCTTGCCTTCTTCATTCCTTCTGGTCACTCTTACGGTATACCACTGGCCAATGTCCAATTGGTCATCACTTACAATGGTAGCAGGTCCTATTAAAACAACATAACAAATGAAATGACTTGTATCAGTAATCAACCATAATTACTAGATGTTGTAGTTTGGAGGTCGAGAACGTGCATGCCTTCTTCTTCTTCCAGTAAAGTACAGGCCAAGAGCTTTACAGTGTCTGCAATAAACATGCCCTGTACCATAGCTGCTCCTGATACAGTCAACCCTGCTTTAGTGACCACCTGTAAAGAAAGACCACCTGTCTACAAAGACCACATTTTGTTTTCACTTGAAAATGGTTTCACATTGACACATGTACGTACTAAAGGAACCTGTACATAAAGACCTCCTGCCTATAAAGACCACTTTTCTTGTCTCCCTTGGGTGGTCTTTATAGACAGGTTTCACTGCACATCCATAGACAGATAGAGCTACGCTCTGCTAAAGGCTTTAGGAATTATGGTAAAGTATCAACTTAAGAGTCTGTACTTGCAGACTACCTACATATCAATGCCACAAACCCTCACATATGTATAGTGGTTCTTATGACGAAAATAACACAAACCTGTTCCAAGGTCGAAGGTGAAACGAATCCTCCTATCAACCAGACCTATCCCTATGAAGTCAGTCCCGTCAGAGTTCCAATATAAGATACCATCATCATCATTATCTAGTCTCATCTCCATGGTAATGGATGATACATACTGGACCTGACTACTGCTTGTATTCAATGCAAGGTAGGATGAACCAGAGAACTTGGGAACAGTCACGATGTCAGCTGTAACAAAGACAAATCAACATCATTTTATAATAATAATAATAATAATAATAGTGTAAACTTATAGAGCGCACACACCGTCCATGGACGCTCATGGCGCTAGCTCAGCAACAGTTCTCTTTAAAGCCACACTGTCCTACTTGTAGCTACTTGCTCCCTTTATATATAAAACAGTGCCTAATCAGTGACCATTGGTCCCCCATGATCCTCTTTTTCTTAAGTTAAATGAGAGCTGAGTTGTCCAGTGATCTTGGAGGGTGGTCTAATCCCTCCTATAAACTAGTACAGATAAGCTTTAATACAAGTAAAGTAAATGTTTATCTGATAATAGAGTTATACCTTCAGAAAATCAATATAATTAGATATGGATTTTATAGAGACTTTATTCATTGATTTTATCAAGGAGAACATTTTGAAATAAATTAGGATGGGGAAAAAAAAAAATCACACATTTATAGAAAACTGGCGGAAAGGAAAAAAACACTGTGGATAAATGAGAACCTGGTAGAATGCCAAAAATCACTCTAATTGAATTAGTCATATGTTGCAACTTGGCAACAGTATACATGGTAGGAATATATCAAAAGATTTTAAAGGTAAAGACCAGTATTGGAAACGCCCCAATTTCAAAAAATGAAATGGAAGCTCTCATTACCAATCATGTGAAAGAATATGTTTTGAATATTACATGATGATAAAAATTTTGACGGGAAACCGCCTACTAATTGATATATTTGGTAAATTAGTGTATCTCTCGTCTGTTGAGAGATATGAAATGCACGTGTCGCACAGGTGTGTGTAGTCCCATATACATTTTTCTGTGTACAGTGCTTCTAATTTTATGAAGACTTGGCCAAATTTCTTATCATTTTGATGATTCCAGAACCTTGCAGTACATCTATGCTAGATGATCAACCTTTTCTGATCAATTGCACAATGTTTACTTCTCAATGCAATCGCACGACCATAACTGGTCTTTATCTTTAAACTAAATTAATCCTTACCTTGTTCACACCTAGCACCACTCTGACCGGGTGGGCATAAACACTCCTGTGTGAATGCATCCACAGATTGACATGTGCCCCCATTTAGACAAACTGAAGAGTTACATGCACTCTGTTCACATTGCTCTATATCAGCTCCCTCTATAGCCAGCGAGGGGTACAATAACGTTCCACCAACCTGTAAATATATCAAACCATACCAGTCAAACTTTGGTACAATCAAACAGCTACAATATAATACTTTAAATGATAATGTAACATAGAAGAATATACAAATTTCCTTTCTTCATTAAAATACTCATTGTAAATATGTCCATATCCTGTCTTCCTTTACTGATTGTTTGTGATTTCCACGATATACAGGTAGAGTTTCTAACTCAATCCATGCTGTGGGCACCATACCCCACCAATTCCCATTAAAGATATCCAATTTGATAATTTAACGAAACAGAGAATTAAACTTTTAAAAATGCAAAACATAATGGAGTGGCAATGTGCCAAACATGAGCATTATAAAACACTCCACTATTATAATCATCATTATTTAAATTATCCACGATGACTGTTTGTGAGTTTCAGTTGCTTTCCTTACCTCCAAGTTTTCAATGCATCCATAGAAGCCAGTCATAAAGGTTGAATCATCATGAAGGATAGATTGCTCAGGGACACCTCCAATGTACAATGGACTATCGACGGTGAGACCAACGGACCCACTACCGGTATAATCTATTACACTGCCATCTACAATCAGCTGGGCTGTGTTCTGAGTGCGTACGATGGAGATGACGTGCCATTCCTCAGCTGTGATGACGTCACTGGTTACTGTAGCAGTCCCACTTCCTGTAAGGAGGACAAACAGCATGGTAAGGTTGGGTTTACGAAGGATACATTATTGCTTACAAATCATCATCCTCACTGCAGCACTTCATCCACAACTGAACGATACTAGTCCAGGCTGTGACTTACCAAGACATGCTTGGACAAAGTTTAACCGTCTGCACAGTTGTGTCAGCCGTTTCAAGGCCAACATGTTTAGATGGGGCTTAATTGGTACAAAGTCCGGCTTGTGGGTGTGGTGCAGAGAAGCAAACAAATGACCACATCATCAGAACCTACCCCCTGTTTAAACCACCAAACCGCATCCCTAAGCTGGTGACAGAAGTGGATGAGACCACTAGGGAGTGGCTGCTTCACAGTACTTTAGAAATTGAAAAGTTTTTGTTCTCAACATATGCGAGAAGAAGCCTACAAGAGGCGAGATATGGATCAGTGGTAGAGCTGTGATATCTCATAACTGGGAGGACCGGGGTTGGTACCAAGTGGATTTGCTAGTGCCTTTGGTAAGGCATTAATCCTCATTACCATGTACCTCAGAGACGACTTAAAGCCATCGGTCCTCTGGTTGCTTATATACATGCATACACATGCTTTCATAGCGGTTACGTAAAACAAACCATCAAACCAATATATGTTAAATTACAGGTAAGAAATTGAAACACAAAATGTCTCTAAACTGCGGCTCCTTTTTTTATCGCTACAAGTAGACTAACCTAGATTGAAGCGTAGCTCCACAGCACCCTCAGTCATCCCTAATGCGAAGTAATCCCCAGCGGACAGTGAAGTATCTTCTACATACAGAATGATTGCATCCTGTGCGGTGGTTCCTGGTCTGATACGTAGACTGATCCTAGTCTCCTGAGATGAGAGACCAACGGGCCAGGGGTAGCTCAAATATGAAGTCCCACGGAAACTAGGGATCAATTCACTTACATCTAGAAGAGAGAATATGAAAAATATAAAAACATATTAATCACAGTTTATTAATGAATTTGATTCGTTTATGACTCATCTAATCATTATCCTTTTTTCTCCAATATCTACTTACAAGTATACAGTGGCTAGTCTCTTAAAATTGACAATATTCCAAAGCTTGTGGTCATTCTATCGAAACATGTGTCCATCTACAGTGAAAACTATATGAGGTCCAACCGTCCAAAAGATTATCAATGATTTCAAGCGAAACTGACCCCAGATTTCAAATAAAGAAAAAAAAGGAATAAAGATCATAATGGTGAGAGCAAACAGTGGCATAAACAGCCTGCCATAGTTAGGTCCAACTTAAAGTTGATCTTAGTATTTGTGAAACACTCGCCTGGTATAAAATCTTGAAATAGTTGATGATATCATACCTTGGTCTTGTTCACATAAGCTTCCCATCTTGCCTAGCGGACAGACGCATCTGAAACCATCCTCTACCATCACACACGTTGATCCATCTCTACATCCCGCAGTCTGACAGACATCCAATCTCTCGTCACATCTATTGCCATAGTAACCATCATCACACTGGCAGGAGTAGGAGGAGCCTGGCAGAGACTGGCAGGTTCCATTGTTGAGGCAGGGATGTGTCAGACATACATCGCTGCTGCACTGGGCTACGTTCTCCATCTCAAGTATGTCTGATTGGTTGAAACTAGGACAAATAAAAAAATGGGATTAGAAAATAATAATAATTAAAAACAAAGTATGGTAATAACATTTAAATACAAATTGTTTGAAAATGAAATAGGGTGTATCAGTAAAAGCCCATGTGGCTTGCGAGTTGATACTTAAACATACTGGGACAGTAAAAAAAGATGCATATGGTAAACATTTTAAATAATGCCAGTAGTAAAAAGGCTTCCATTCAGTCAAAAGGTCTCCTTTCTTCCATTGTAAAGCCACAACAGAGATCTTGATATACAGGATAAAACATGCCAATGACCAAGCTATTTAACATTGCTTTCATGTTTCTCTCATGTAAACAAAAAAGTTTTTTTAAAGTGATTCCACGTCAATCTAGTTTCCAGTGTACATGCATGGACTCCAAGTACATGTAAGGCATCAATTGTTTCATTCAAACACACAATTCATACTGGTGTCATTATAGTCACGGTAAGGTTGGATAGTCACTGTAAGGTTGGATAGTCATGGTAAGGTTGGATAGTCATGGTAAGGTTGGATAGTCATGGTAAGGTTGGATAGTCATGGTAAGGTTGGATAGTCACGGTAAGGTTGGATAGTCACGGTAAGGTTGGATAGTCACGGTAAGGTTGGATAGTCAGGGTAAGGTTGGATAGTCACGGTAAGGTTGGATAGTCACGGTAAGGTTGGATAGTCACGGTAAGGTTGGATAGTCACGGTAAGGTTGGATAGTCATGGTAAGGTTGAATTAAAGGTTGGATAGTCACTGTAAAGGTTGGATAGTCACTGTAAGGTTGGATAGTCACTGTAAGGTTGGACAGTCACGGTAAGGTTGGATAGTCCTCAGTATGGTCTGTACATGTTAGAATGGTGACATGACAGGTCTTGGGTCTTACCTATACATTTGGTCTTGAATGACGAGTGATAAGATGCAACCAGTTAGACCAGGACCGGGTCCAAGAACAGAGGGGAGAGCAGAATAGTCTACAAAGCCTCCAACATAGACTTCAGAACCAACATTCAATGACTGCAACGATCCTCCTGCTTCACCGGTCTTAGAGCTTTAAAAGTAAAACAGTAAAATGAAACAATTTAACTTAGGATATGTGATTTTTAGAGAAAAAATACGAATAATCTCATGAAAATGAACTTTAAACATGACAGAAAACAAAATCAGAATATTTAATTTCCATGTATCTAACATAGCTTTTAGGAAATCAGTATTATTTTTCAGCAATTTTGACCATAAGGAAAGAACTATAATAAGCTGTCCAAAAAGTCTCTTTGGAATAATTTACCATTTAATTTGAGAATCATAATTTCCATAGAGACCTTTAAATCCAAGCCGAAATCTTATCTTTTTTAAACAATACCTGTACTTGGCACTATGACACTCATCCGAACTCTCTCATTCTTTCTATTTTTCTTGTGCGCCTCAGAAAAGAATTGTCTAGATAGACGGCGTAATATAAATGCCTATTATTATTTTCATTATTATGATATCTGACCTTTGACCTGTGACATTCATCTGACCTGTCCGTCCACTCCTTGAGATGCTGACCTCTACCCTGTCTTCAAGAAGAACAGGATCACTGGTAATAGATCCTACGCCACTACCTGTCATGCAACATACACAAAATATAAAACAACTCTGTAAATGCTGCTTATAAGTATTGGATTGCATGGTGATGTAGATATACAGTGGGTTTATGGTTGCACCGTGTGAAAGAGAGAGGGAGGATTGGGGAGTCCTGAAAAGGACTGTCAGTAATCTTTCTGTAAACTCTGGAAATCTTCAACAAAACATTGGCTGAGTAATGCGGATTTGATTGTGCATTAAATAAAATAGGTATACATGCAACACAGTTCCCGTTTCAACATTAGAATAAAGGGGTATATTATAAACAATCTGATGGGTAATTTCTGAACACTCAGAGATTCATGTATTCATTTACAAAATAAAACAAGTTGATATTTTATTTGTACCAACAAATTGTTTAGGTACTCAAGAGTACAAATCACCTAAAAAACAAATTTAAAAAAAACACTTAGTCAGTAGACATTAAATTCTTCAGTCAAGTGAAATTCCTACCTAAATCAAAGTTGAATACAAGCCGACTGTTCTGAAGACTGAGCGAGAAGAAGTCCCCTGGTCCTGTATCCTGCTGCGCATACAACAGGAGACCTTCGGTGCTCTGCATCAGGAACTCAAGCTTGATGGAGAGATCATTGAGGACAGGGCTTGATGCAGGGAGGGAGGACCTCAAGAAGGAGGATCCAGAGAAAGACGGCACATTTGTGTTAACCGCTGGTAGGAACAAAAACAAAGACAAAAGCTTGTTAATAGATATAATAATAATAATCATTAGATCAATTTAAATAGCACAGTTACTATATAAACATACTATATTGGGCTGTGATGAAAACATAACTCCTGACAGTACTACTTTACACACACACACCCACACAATAAAAAAAACTCCTGACAACAAAACGTTCAACAAAACTTTGAAGACAGCAACAGATGAGGCTTCTCTTATGTCTGGCGGTAGGTTATTCCAAAACTTTGGCACAACTGAAAGTGCAATCTCCAAGAAACACTTTTGTTTTCATGTGAGTTAGCTTTAGAAGCCACTTGTTTGTGTGAAATTTGTAAGTTATCACAGTGAAAGGTCGAGGAATGGGTACACTGAAGAGAAGAAAAAAATCAACTTACCAATCAACTTGAATATTTATTATTATAATAGCATCTTACATGAGTGCATATTTTTGTATAACTGACATTATGTACATTCCAAATAGAAGTAGAAATACAATTTTTTCTTTTCTGTTTCTCTTTTCTTTATTTCATTAATAAAACAGACGCTATAACCCTAAATTTGCAGCTGACTTGATGGAAATTTGTTGAAATTATCAATACTGAATATTTATCTAACTATTAAAACTGTCTGTTGAAAAGTGATGGGATTGAAGCTCTGGAGTATTTTACATGTATAGCAGATGCTAAACATCTATAGTACAGTGCACTATGGATATGCTTTACAGATAATTAATTATCACCTATTAAAGGTATTGGGTATCTTTGTATCTCCAAAATCCTGGATTTAGCTCATACTGCAATGATAATAATAAACCTTTAGGTCAGTCATGAACCTCATTGCTTTTACAAGCCGATCGCCTGACTGATTATCAAGATATTTATGATAGGAAATCTAACGATTTTTATAACACTACAGTCAATTGGGGAAAATGAGTATGGCAAAACCAGTCACTCAAAGATTTTTACTTTTTTGAGGCACTTCATGCTCATTTTGAAGTGCAATTTTTTTAGGGCTTCAATATAATACCATATCACAGACACTGATAACATGTAGGGCCATGCATCTCAGATTTAACATTGTTAAAGATGCCTTTATGAAAGATTAGACTTCAAAACATATCACTCTTACCAACTTTGAGTAAATCCTGTTCTTACCTTCCTCGCACAATGCACCAGTGAATCCCAGATCACATCTGCAGTAAGCATCTCCTTCACTGTCTAACATACAAACACCGTTCTGACAATCCAATGTGTCACATGATGATGATTGGCAGGTAAGGCCAGAGAACGGCTCCAAACAAACACAGGAAAATCCATTCACCTGCATAGGAAAGAAAGTATGCATTCAATTAGGCCTGAATTCACAAAGGAGGTTTGTCGAAAAAACCTAGGTTTATGTACATCATTTGACGCGTTTCACGTATTTTGACAAACCTGGGCTTGCATTTACAGACCTAGGTTTGTCAAAACGCGTCAAAAAGTGTCATATGACGTATATAAACCTAGGTTTGTCGACAAACCTCCTTTGTGAATTCGGGCCTTAAAGTTTGATAAGGAAGCACATTTATCTTGTTGTGGTCTAATCATTAACTTGAGCAACAGCGCTCTAAACCTAGGTAGACATCAATCTGCATGTACACTGCCACTCTAGACTAAGGAGAGAAAAGAGAACCTTGGAAGTTATGAATTGGAAGCAATATTTTTAAATTAATGTTATTTTCTTTCACACACATATGTGAACAGAGCAGCAATAGTGGTCCTTAGGAGAGGGGTCTGTATACACACAACTTTTTATTTCACCTTCTAGCTAGCATTTCCTTAATGATAGAGTTGAGTTCTGGACATGCATTCATACATTCAATGATCATAAAGTCACCTGATCATTATTCATATAGCCACCTGACCATTATCAATATAGTCACCTGATCAATGCATGTTCCTCCATTATCACATGATGTTGGTAGACAGTCATCCACGTTTACAGAGCAGTCAGGACCAGTGAAACCCAACACACACTGACATTCATAACCCAATGACGAGGATGCAGAGAGCTGACAGGTTGCTCCGTTCATACATACATCAGCTGCATGAAAGAAAACAAAATACCATCAACGTTAATCTTCTTTAATTCATACAAGAAAAATACTTGTGTAGCATTCCATTAGATGCAAGACTTCTACATCACCCTCTTGTTTCTTTCCAGGAAAATAAAAAATAACTGGGATAACAAGGAAAAGGCAAGTTTTCTTCATTAAAAAACACATTATTCAGCTTTATCTTCCTTGCTGAGAAATAAAGTAATTATGGCAGCATATGTGAAAGCTGATTAAGTTTTGAACCAAGACCTTGCTTTGAATCCAACATCAGCCTTACTCTTTACTTCAGCTATCCAACTTTTCTGATTTTCTGACTGCAGTGTAGTTTATGGTTACCTGGTAGACAAGAGGTATTTTTGATATTTTTCTAGCACTTTTAAAGGTATCTAGTTTCTGCACGGAGATCCTGAAAAGCAACAGTATTGTATACTCAGAATAGACTCGGAAAGTCACCTCTATCAAAATGTAAGCAGTCTGTTTCTACAGAAGGGTAGTTAATAATAATGGACTTTGGCAGACTTTAAGCAGGTACACTAGATATCTGGAAAGTGGACAATACACCCTTCTAAAAAACAGAAAAGGCGGGCTTCCCCGACAAAAATCCTCCTCTGGAGATGGTTACTCTATTCCATTTGCGATAGCATTATAATAGGATTATGACATATTTCTAAAGCGTGTACCTGGAAAAGTCTAGAAAAGTCCGGAAAGTAACAGAAAGCAAGGGTATTTTGAAATCCTGTACAAAAACGCTGTAATAATATCATACATGTTACTGAACAGTGCGAAGAGGAAGGGACTTACTTGCACAATGATCGCACTCAAATGTATCCTGTAGATTAAGACACCGTACTCCAGCTGGGCATGGGTTCATACTGCAGAAGTCTTGCACCTCACACGTAGCACCACTAAAGCTTTGAGGACATGTGCATGTATAGGGTGTACCAAACACTGTATTAGGTCTGTTTTCACATGTAGCTCCATTCATACAGGCATTGATCCCACACGGTATGTAGAACTCACAATGGGTACCAGTGAAGACGGGCGAGCAAGTACAACTGAAATATTGGGTAAGGAAGAAAGAATTAGATGTTTTGCACTTCCATTCCAAGAGAAATTCTTCCCTCCTAAACTTTAGAAAATATGTGACATATTTGATGCCACTTTCATAAGACACAGGGATACCGGTACAAACTAATACATAATCCTCCAAGGTCAGTCACACAAAGAATTTCTTTGTATTTAGTATTCTTTATGTCTGAGTAAATGAGTAGAAGTTTTGCTAGACTGTAACCGTAAGAGAATTTGTAACCCATTTAAAAGAAATGTTGAGTAAACATGCAATCAAGCGAGTAATCACAGCTTCTTACAATGCAAACAATGCTGCATCAGGCTTCCCTCAGGTAAGATGCCTGTATATTTATATTCAAAAGATCCAACTGTAAAAATTGTCTGTCCAGTCCAAAATGACATGTATTTATTATAAACAGAATACAACAAAATATTAGGTTTGCATCGAAACTATCATGAAAGGCAACAACTCAAAAAGCATCTAGAGCTTATGATGAGAGAGCCAAAAAATCTATACTGCATTTACTATCAAAAAGCAAAATTATACAATGCAGCTTTCAAGGAAGGCAAAGAAATTTTATATTAAAGATTTGTCAAACCTCTACAATAAGTTACCTGTATCCACCGATAAAGTCGTTGCATGCTGCTCCATTCTGACAGGGGTTACTATTACATTCATTGATCTCTGTCTGACAATCATTCCCAGTGAATCCTACAACAAATAAAACACAATTATTACTCATTATCTAAAACAACCACAGCACTGAGAATGTCAATAACCTCCATTAAAACAAGTCATCAAGGGGATGTGAAATGTTAAAATGGGAAAATTTAAATTGCTGAGTGAATCAAAAGGAGTTTGTATCATGTACATGTATCATAAAATAGAGTTTGACTGAAGTCTTACATTATTATACCCTCACTAATTTCACAAGATTTCAATCAAGTTGTTTCTCTTTTCCTATCTGGGACCTATCATAAAAAGCATCACAAATCACCTGTCAAGCACATGTTATGTTTAGCGTTAAGGGGTTTGAAGGGGTCATTCAAAAAAGTAAACAATGCACTTGAGGGATCTTCATGCAATGGAGCCCTGGTAACAGTCAATAGCCTTAAAGGGATCCGGTAATTTTGTTTCTGATTCTGAAACAAAATTCTGGATTTAGCTCATGCTGCAATGATAATTATAAACCTTTAGGTCAGTCAGGAACCCCATGAATTTTACAAGCCGATCGCCTGTATGATTATCAAGATATTTATGATCCGAAATCGAAACCAAATTTTGCGTTTTACGGTTTTCATAACACTACAGTCTATTGGGGTAAACGAGTATGGCAAAACCGGTCTCTCAAAGATTTTTACTTTTTTGAGGCACTTCTTGATCATTTTGAAGCTCAATGTTTTTAGGGCTTCAATATCACAGACACTGATAACACATAGGGCCGTGTATCTCAGATTTTAACATTGTTAAACGATCCCTTTAAGGATGAAAGTAATACAAAAGGAGTTTGTTGAAAATGAAACTGGAAGATACATTGAGATGAGAGCAATACAAACCTGTGGTGCATGTGCATTGGTAGCCATTCTGTCCTACGTCCGTACAGGTAGCTCCATTGAGACAAGGAATACTAGCACACGCCAAGAGATCGGTGATATGACAGCGGTCTCCTGAAAACCCGTCTAAACACTGACACTCAAAGCTGCCATTGATCTCAATAGGCAGACATACTGCACTGTTCTCACATGGGTTACTCGTGCAAGGATTGTCAAACTCACAGAGTACACCTATGAAGTTTGATGGACATCTGAAAACAGGAAAAACAAAAAGAGCTTTGATACAGAAAACTTTCATTGCATACCTGCCAACATTTGAAAATAAGAATTAGGAATTTTTAGCACAGTATGCCTTCAAAAATAAGAAATCGCACTTGCAGCGTAACTGGCAATACCCGGTAAATCTTTACCAAAAAGCGAATACAAATTTGCTGCTCGATCATGCAGCCATTCAACGCACGCTATACATGAGCTCTCAAATCGTGGTACATGATAAAACAAGCTATAAACAAATTTTCAAAAAACAAATATTAAAAAAAAGTTTTAAAAATTTCAGCAAAACTTGATGCAGTTGTGTTCTTATCAAGATTTTAGATATGTACTTTAAACTTTGCAACCATCTGACCCTCTACAGGAAACCTTTAGGGGTAACCCTTCCCCCATCCAATCTTTTGAATCTTAAAATTAAAATCATTTTAGGGTTAATAAGTAGGTTGTCAAGAGGGGTGAATTTCCAAAGAAAATGTAACTTACCTGCATTCAAAGTTACCATTGACGCCAGTAAGACAATCTCCATTCACACAGGGGCCACATTCATCTTCTCTGTCTTCACAAAGATCCCCTATAAATCCAGGCTCACACTGACAATATGCCTAGCAAACAAACACAACAAAGATATTGATTAGTCGGAAGGTATGTGCCAAAATCACATTGGGGAATCCAATAAACTTCATTAGCTGGTTATTGGCGTGAAATTAAAATCTTTCTACCCTGCTTGAAATGGAAACAATGACACAGTAAAATCTAAGTCCAATATGGTGAATTTTCGCATTCTTCTTATTCTCATGTGGACAAATAACACAACGAAAAGGATTGCTCTAAAATGCTCTATTTAAAACATGCCTTAAATCAATTCTTAATATCGAACCATGATGTGTTTGTGTAGTCTCACATTCATATTATTTGTCAAATGATTTTCAGTGTTATCCCTTTGATGATTTAAAAGTCCATAACATATAATTGTTCCTATTTACAACACGATCACCCACTCAGACTAACTTGTACACAATTTGCAATTTCATGAACAATACTTTTGTACCAAATCAACTCACCTGGTCTCCATTTGGCCAACAGATGGCGCCATTCTGGCATGGATTATTGGGATAGCATACACTTGGAGCAACCTCACACCATAGACCACTAATGCCATCGCCACACAAGCAAAACAAACCTAGGTGCAAAAAAAACATTGAATAATTTATAGTTTTATAAGTTAATACAGCATGTAGAGACAGAAAATATTTAATTACCTGGTATATAAAACAGTGCATGAATCTGAACAAAGTTTAAAGATCTGAGACATTACTTAACTAACACAGACTGTAAGCATTTGCAAATCAATCTTTGAACATGCTATGACAGAAAACGAGACCATGAATAATTTGCAATGAAAAAGCTTTTGCAAAAAGCTTTTGGTCACAACTCTCTCTCAATATATTTATATTTTTATCATAAAGAATACATTCAGAATTTTCAGATACGTGATAACGATGATGGCTTTTTGTTCCATGCCTGTATCTGCCTCTGCTGGGAACTCACAACGCTAATTGCTCTAGAATGTCTCACAAAACTAAACCTCCTTCTTATTGTTATGTAATGCTTCGCGGCATCATGAAACTTTAAGTTCTGTTGATTTGTAACCAGATTAAACAAGAAGACACATTAAAAAGTAGGACTTAAAGCAATAGTGCATCATCCCAACTATCTACATATACATTTACAATTAAATTAAACAATCTTGTGACAATGTGCATTAAGTACTACTAGATTTTTCCAAATAAGTGTTATTTTCTATTCGCACCATTTTAAATACTTTTTACCAAAATTTAACAGTTTGACACATGAAATCTACGTTTATCAAATAAGGAACTGGAGTCTTACCGAAGCTATCACTGAAGCATATTCCATCATTAAGGCATGGGTTAGGATCACATGATGTGACTTCACTTTCACATAGAGAACCCGTCCGTCCTGGTGTGCAGTCACACATCACGTTATTCCCATCACTGGTGCAGCGTCCATCATTCAGGCAAGGGTTACTGTCACATGGGTCATTTAACTCCAACTCACATCTTACTCCAAAGAATCCACTCAGACAATCGCAAGAGAAGGTTTGAGGTCCATCGTCCCGGCAGGTCGCTCCATTCAGACAAGGATCGCTGCTACATGCTGGAGGCAATTCTTCTTCACATAGGGTGCCGTTAAATCCAGGAGGACATATGCACATGAAGGAGTCAAAACCTAGATCCTGGCATGATGCAGAGTTCAAACAAGGATTGCTATCACATGGTCTTGGGATCACATTCCCACAAGTAGGACCATTGAAACCCTCCAGGCAAATACACGTAAACGAATCCAATTCATTGACGCATGGTGCTCCATTCAAACAGGGATTGCTCTGGCAGGGCAGGGGTATCTCTACCTCACATTGACTTCCTTCAAATCTTGGAGGGCAGTTACAGAGAAAAGAGTCAAAGCCGTTATTGGAGCATGTTGCAGAATTCTGGCAAGGGTTACTAAGACAAGGTGCAGGTGTCTCACAGGTGGTTCCGGTGTATTCTGATGAACATTGACACGTGAAGGCCATAAAGTCAAATCTGTTGAAACAGGTTGCCATGTTCTGACATGGATTGCTCAGGCATGGCGCTGGAGTCTCACAAAACAAACCAGAATAATCGGACGGACATTGGCAAGTAAAGCTCTCATCTCCAGTGTTCACACAAGTTGCACCATTTCTACATGGGTCGCTGAGGCAAGGGACTGGTCTTTCACAAAGATCTCCGGTGAAATCCTCAGGGCACTGACAAGAGAAAGACTGAAAGCCTTGGTTGATACAAGCACCACCATTCTGACAGGGTGCACTGAGACAGGGTAGAGGTGTAGTACAAAGAGATCCTGTAAACTCTGATGTACATTGGCAAGTGAAGGAGGTGAAGTCTTGGTCAGTGCAGGTTGCTCCGTTTCTACAAGGGTTGCTCTCACAGGGTCTAGGTATCACTGTTTGGCAGCGTTGTCCTTCAAAGCCAGCTGGACACTCACAGCTATAGGAGATGAATCCAACGTCTATACAGGTTGCACCATTTTCACAGGGGCTGCTTGAGCATGGGAGGGGGAGAGCGATTTCACAAAGTGTGCCATTAAATCCTTCTGCACAGTCACACGTGAAAGAGTCATAGTCATTATCCATGCATACAGCTCCATTTTGACAGGGGTCACTTTCACATGGCAGTGGAACCCTTGTTTCACATCGAGTTCCTTCTTGACCAACAGGACACTGACAGGTATATGATGTATAGGCGTCATTTAAGCAAGTTCCTCCACTCAGACAGGGGTTGCTTTCACATGGGAATGGAACCCTAGTCTCACAATCAGACCCTGTGAAACCTACGCTACACACACAACGATAGGATGTGAATCCATCATTATAGCATGTGGCTCCATTAGCACATGGAAAGCTCTCACATGGAAATGGTATCCTATTGCCACAGTCATCACCATCGTAACCAAAAGGACATTCACATTTGTAAGAAGAATAATCTATGTTATTACATGTTGCGCCATTCACACATGGATCGCTCTCACAAGGAAACGGAATGATGTTTTCACACATGTCACCTTCAAAACCTTCAGAACACTCGCAGGTGAAAGAATCAAATCCATTATTCTGGCATGTTGCTCCGTTTACACATGGGCTACTATCGCAAGGATATGGAGGGATAGTTGATTCACAGCTGAACCCTGTGAAACCGCCATCACACATACAGCTGAAATGTGTATCGTTGATATTCATACAGTCTCCATCGATGCAGGGATTACTGTCGCAAGGAAGAATCATCTCAGAGCAATTGATGCCTTTGAAGCCTTCCTCACAATCACATCTATATGTATTGACAAGGTTGGCGCAAACACCGTTCACACATGGCTCAATGTCACAAGGCAATATACGCCTCTCACACCGAGGTCCTGTGAAGCCTTCATAACAGCTACATGTGTATGCCGTGTTGTTCAGATTATTACAGAGTCCACTGATGCACGGGCTGCTATCGCAAGGGGTGATGAGCGTTTCACAAAACCGACCCGTGTAGAATTCTGGACATTGGCACGTGAAGCTAGAACCCTGAGGTACACATTCCCCGCCTTGAAGACATGGCGAGCTATCACATGGTTGAATCTCTGCATCGCAATCTCTTCCTGTATATCCTTCATCACAAAGGCATTGATAATCACTTGCCAATGATTGACAGGTACCAAACACACATGGATCAGGGGTACAGGGCAAGTCCGTCTCACACAGGTCTCCGGTGTAACCTACACGGCATTCACAGTCAAACCCAGACGCCATGTTGATACACTGTCCGTTATTAGCACACGGTGCACCAGAGCAGAGATCTACTTCCGTTTGGCAGAAGTTCCCTGTGAAGCCGTTAGCGCAGTAGCATTGGAAGTCTCCTGCAGCAATGTTGGGTGGACATCCAGCCTTACCCCTCTGACAGCAGTATGCATTGTTCTTACATGGATTCGAGTCACATACTTGAAGAAACTGTAAGAGAACAAGGACAAGAGATAGATAGAGAGAAATAATTACAAGCTTGAAAAGGCAGATTCACTTTGAAGTTGCAAATATGAAAACCTGATTAATTGAGGTGATTTCCAAATATATCTCGATATGAATAAAACAGCAGAACCTAATATTACATTACCTTCCTACATTTACACATAAATAATAGGTAATTCTATGCTCTACTCTATTTCTATATTCTTGTCAAGCCTAAATAAAAAAGATTACCTCTGTGTAAAGCTGAAACAATTACCACAACACATGGTCATTTAGTGAAGTATCAATTCTCACTGTCACAATATTCCATAGGTAATGATAGTTCATGTGTATATTACTGGTTAGTATTGGTGATATCATCAACCATCGTATTCGGTTTCCCTCTAAAGAATCAATAGCCTATACTGGTAAACCTCATTTTCTAGTACATTACACCAGGCAAATTAAAAACAGATGTATTGAATAGCAATCCTACCTCATTACATGTAGGTCCAGTATACCCAAAGTTACAGTCACAACTATAACTATCAACACCATCTACACAGGAACCTGGAAAACAAACAAAATATAATGATATTCAAAACTACATATAACATTGATAGGCATCTCAACTAACTAGTTATCATTTATATTTACAAGCATGTGTAATGCAAAGTAGATTAGATGAAACTGAAATGCTACTGATTTTCCAAAGAGCTTTGGACTTTATTACCCTAGCTTTAGCTCCGGCAGCCTTATCGGTGCACAGTGCATTTCAAGGAATAATCCTACCAGGTACCCATTTACCTCACCTGGGTTGAGTGTGGCAATTGTAGATCAATGTCTTGCCAAAGGACATAAGTGCCGCACATTCCAGGGCCCTGTCTTACAAAGAGTTGATATCAATCGCAGCTATGTACCTAAGAGATATTAAGAGACTGCAAACTCGCGATTGATTGGAGGACTTACGATTGATTTGGATCAATCACAACTCTTTGTAAGAAAGGGCCCAGAACTTCGGAAGATTTGTACTTATAAAATCGATGATGCCCAGTGTCTACAATGTATTATTATCTTTTTTTTATCCTCTAAACACCTCAAAGCATATCATAGATATGTACAGTAAGGGACATTAATGATCCACATCAATTTTTTTATGGTTTAATTATATTTGAAAGCCTTTAAATTGCTCCAAATTTCAAACATCTCAGTAATGTTCCTTTTGTACCTGGGAGCTATTTCTCATAACCGTCATGAGCTTAACTTCTTGGACAACCCATAGAATCAAGTGTTATAGAATTATCACATGTTTCTATGGGATGTCCATGATTTAAGGCTTGACCATTTCTAGAAGTCCTACTCACCAAACTGACCACAGGGGTTTGAGGCGCATTCATCTATATTAATCTCACAAAGACTGCCTTCAAATCCAAGAATACAGTCACAGATAGGATCACCGACACCATCCGGTGGGTCACTGCACTGTGCTCCATTCAGACAGGGGTTGTTGATACATGTCGATATAAACTCACAACGCAGACCAGCTCTATCGCTACGGCAGCTACAAGTGTAACCGTTGATGACATCAAGGCAGGTTCCATCGAACAGACAGGGATTGGAGCCGCATTCGTCAATGTTGGTCTGGCAATTAGCATCTATGTGTACAAACAATAAATAATGAATTGCATTTGACAAATTATGGCTATGATTCGTTATTTTGTTCCTCGTATAAATGGGTATAATCAAATATCAAGTTCAGTATTCTACTTATTCAGTTTAAATAAACCCTACCCAGAGTTTAAAGTGATGTCTAACAAATGGAAAACTTAAACCTCACAAATTTGGACAAAATCTTAAACCAAGACCCAGTATCAGGTTTAAGTATTAGTGGCATATGGGCCTTAGTGTATAAGACTTTAATATGCTGCTCATTATTTCCATCTATGGAACTCTAAAATGAAAATACAAAATGGACAAGGATAGTAATGATGACATGAAATAATGCAAATATGCTTACACATAATTATTCTGTGGTCTAAATCAAAGAATAATCAACATAAAAAGAAGGGAGAAGAAGAAGAAGAAAGGGAGCTGCAGAGTGTAGTTCTTACAAGTACTGCTAAACATGGATAGGTTAGTAAAACACACACACAGGCATCTAAGCTGGAAATACTTGTGTACATTAAATGCTCATATATGACAGATTCTCTTCAAATGTTGTTGAATATATTCTCACTTAAGACACAATTGCTATTAACAGTTTGTTATTACAGTTGATACGTACCTGTAAATCCAGCCACACAGTTGCATGTGTATCCATTGACTATATCCACACAAGTTGCACCATTCTGACAGGGGTTGCTAGAACATTCAATGATCTCTTCTTCACATAGGTTACCAGTATAGCCGGGTAAACAGGTACATGTGAACTGGCCATCTCCAGTGTTTGAGCAGAAAGCAGTGTTCTTACAGGGGTTGGAGGAGCATGCATCGATGAACACTTCACATATGTCACCACCGAATCGCTCGCTGCACTCACATCGGTAACCATTCAGGAGGTCAATGCAAGTAGCTGAAGACAATTGGATTGTAAGAAATAAAAAGTTCATTTGAATTAATGCAACACATGGAATAAAACTCTATTTACATTTTCATTAATCAGAAGATTAATCAGAACTACGTCAAATTCACACATACTTTGAAATGATTTAGGTGACTGAATGAAAGGTGTGATACGTCTTTCAAGCTGCTTTACATGTATTTGTTTGAAAATAATTTACCAGTACCAGTTTATTTGATGCACTCTACAAACTATGAAGTTTCAAGTACCATGTAGTCAATAAACATCAATCAGATTTCATTATCTGTACTTACTAAGAAGTTTTCATCATTCAGTCGATTTTGAAAATAACAAATAAAAATCCAAATGAGAGCTCAGTGACTTTGGTGGTGATGGTAGTGGTTATTTTACCTGGCTACTAAGAAAGCATAAATGCTTGGAAGTAAGCAACCAGACGGCCGACAGCTTCAGGTCCTGTCCGAGGGACCTGGAAATGAGGATTAATGCCTTACCAAAGGGCACTAGCGCATCGCCTTGAATTCAAACCCGGGTCACCGGATTACGACTGAGCTATCGCACCTCCAACTTGAGACATGTATAAGAGATAAGAAAACCACTTACCCTCATTGAGACAGGGGTTGTTTGCACATTCATCTATTTCTTGTTCACAGTCTGCACCCTCGTAGCCTGCTGTACAGTTACAGAAGTATGCATTGATGAGATCGATACATGGTGCCGAGTTCTGACATGGATTGCTCGCACATTCCCTGATCTCTGATTCACAACGCACTCCATAGTAACCGGGTGAACAGCTACAGTTATACCCATCTACCAGATCCATACAGACTCCATTGAACAAACAAGGATTACTGCTACATTCATTGATTTCTATGCTGCAGGTGATGCCTTCGAAACCAGAAGCACAATCGCAGAAGAAACCGTTGATTGCATCTGTGCAGGTAGCTCCATTCAGACAAGGATCCGATGCGCATTCATCTATATCGATCTCACACAGGCTACCGTTGTATCCTGCAGGACAGTCACATATGAACTCATTGACAAGGTCAATACAGAGGGCACTGTTCAGACATGCATTGCTCAGGCATTCATCCACGTCTGTCTGACATAGGTCTCCGCTGAATCCAGGCTGACAGAGACACATGTACGTTTGGATACCGTCCATACACATAGCACCGTTCTTACAATCATTGTCCTCACAGTCATCTATATTCACTTGGCAGTTCACCCCAGTGTAACCTCCTAGACAGTCACAGGTGTAGCTGTTGATCAAGTCTTGACATGGTGCACCGTTACGGCACGGCATGCTGGAACACTCATTGATGTCTACATCACATGTTACTCCCGTGTAACCTGGTACACAGTCACATGTATATCCATTGATGACATCATTACAGGTTGCTCCGTTCTGACATGGCAGGCTAGCGCATTCATCAATCTCTGTCTCACAAAATATACCTGGAATTAAACAAATATTTTAGGATTATTTTTATTCTAAAACACAATTTTAATGTTTTTATCTTCTATTTGTTCTCCCTTCCTTAGGAGTTTTTGGAGGAGACACCCAAGAGTTACAGTGATTCTATTCATTTTTCTCATCCCTTACACAGGTGCCACTAAGTAATTCATACATGCAATAATGTATGAAGAATGTCTCTAGCTTTTATAACCCTTTTTTATTATTAGACCATGATTTCCAGTTTTCCATTGATTCTTTCCTTACATCTCTTTCAACCTTATTGATGCTTATTGGAATTATCGCAAATTAGAATTTAAACTTTAGGTTCAAAAAATCAATAAACAAACAATCAAGAAATACATTATACAGTATATTATCTTACTTGAGTACTGCAAAGATTTTGAGGTTCTATACCTGCCAAATTTATTGTTTGTATTGGTTTTGTTAAAAACGAAATGCATATCAACATTTTGGCAAGTATTTATCATGGTAAATGACTTTGACGATATTGAAAATGCAAATGCTTGAGCTGTGTTGCAACATTTGGTTCCAGCGACAATCTTCGTGCACCAATTTCTTACACTTATCAAATCCCTACCTTCAACCCTTGACCAAACACTATACCTAACCGTAACCAAGAACTTATACCTAATCTCAATCAGACCCTAACCGTAACCCTATATCTTTGATGAAATCAAGCCTAGAGAAATTGCATCTCAACAGAATGTATGATTATCCAGGATTTTTTTCTTTCTTCAAACCTTATATAATGAAGATACCAATACCAGTACCTGAATATTCATAGACACATATTGAAAAACTTGTACAAAACAGGGATAATGATATATTATGTCTATTATAATGAAGAGAACTTTACTTTACCGACTCATATTCGAATGGCAACTTCACTCCAAATGTTCAAAAACCAAATTAAGTCACTCCCCCATCACTTTAATGCATGCACTGGTACCTAATGTTATATCATGACTTTTACCATACAGTTAGTTTTTGTTTGTTTGTTCGTAGTTGTGTAGTCTGTAGTAGTTTTATTTCTTACCTTTTACCCGTTTGATTTATGTCGATTCTTTATGGCATGTGTATTTGTGTATTTGTATTTGTATTTTGTATTGTATCAATAATATCTTAAATGTTTAATATTTCAGGCCTTATGTTCATGTTGATCTAGTTTTTAATTTGTTTTAGTTTTGTTTTTGTTCAATCTCTTATGGTATGTTGTTTATCTAATGTCTTTGTTTTCTACAATGTATTCTATTTTTTGTAAATCTTTGTATACACAGGGCTCTTTTGTAAAGCAGGCCTTTGGCACTGAAAAGACTACCCTGTTTTTAAATAAAACTGAATAAATAGATAGGCAGAATGTGCATACCTGAATATCCATCGACACATCTGCAGAGGAAGGTGAGGATGCCATCTAAACATGATGCTCCGTTCAGACATGGTGACGACAAACACTGATCTCCATCTAACTCACAATGATCTCCAAACCATGGTCCTACGCAGTCACAATTATACCCTCCTACCAGGTTCACACAAGCACCTGTAATATCACATAAGAAAGCATTATCAACTGTATAATAATGTAAAATGCAGATTAGGCTGCAAAACAGTTAACAAGATCAAACAAAAAGTTTGAAGATAGAAAGTTCATCGAGTGAGAGTAAAGCTTTTTATTCTAAGGATCTTACTCTAAATTGGACAACTGAGATAGCAGCTAGAAATTAACGAGTCTCGAAATTCAACATACAAGTTCTAACAACAAGGTAGCAAATAATTCCCCCCCTCTCCCCCCCCCCCCCCCCACTTGAAAGTTTTTCTTTGACATCAATACAACACATCATCTGTTTGGAGCCAGAAGGACGTTACTATAATACTATAATAATGAGCTAACGCCCTTTTGGCTCCAAACAAATGATAAAAAAAATGTTCTGGATATATTCAAGTACAAAACATCTATGTAGAGAGAATAGTAAAAAACAATTAACTGACCAGTTAATAGGAATAGCATAGTATTCTTTCATGTTAAGTTTGGGGAGAGGTTTAAATACAACAAATGTTCTGTACATATTTAAGTACAAGACATCTATGTAGAGAGAATAGTAATAAACAATTAACTGACCAGCTAATATAAATAGTATATCATTCTTTTTTTAAATTAAGATTTGGGAGAGGTTTAATACCAACTTGAAAGCAAACATACCTTCATTCTGACATGGTAAGCTCTGGCACTCATCAATGAGATCTATTTCACAGTTAGTCCCTGATAGTCCATCCAGACAGGTACATTGGTAGTCCAGGATCAGATCTTGACAGGTTCCTCCATTCAGACAAGGAGATCCTTCACACTGATCACCATCTAACTCACAGTGTGCACCAAAGAAACCACCGGTACAATTACACTCATAGGAATCCACCAAGTCTATACAGCCACCTGTCAAAGAAAATGAGGGAATTTGAAATAAAAAAAGCATGAGGGATATGTTGTACTCTCTATAATTTACTACAGTCATAATAAACAAATAACAAATTAATAGGAATTGATTGTTTAATCTTAAAACATATTGATACTCAATCAAGGGCAAGTTCTTTCAAGCCAATAGCACAGATGGTTATCATACCAAGTGTGATAGAAAAAGAATGAGACTATGATTGAAAGGGCAAGTTATATGATACAAATGCATATTTTGAAGTATACGCTTGTAGAATGTACTGCCCTCCTATTACCCCTTGACATCTCCCCCCCCCCCCCCTGTACTACTCACTTTTGCCAAAAGGTTTAAAGAAATATAGTGTTAAATTAAAAAAAAATTGTTAACAACAATAGGGGGGGGGGGAGTATTCGTGAATGAAATCATCTGGGGTGATATCGAGCACTAAAAATAAAAAATAAAAAATAATAAATAAAAAATTCTCTGAATCACGCCCCTCTTGAGTAAAAAAAAAAAAGAAGAGGATTCGGGGGGGGGGGGGGGATCGCATCTATAACGTTCCCCCCTTGTGAGTAAGAAAATTGGGAAAACTAAGGACAAATAGGGAAAAAAGAGAAAAATCAGGAAAAAATCTGGGAAATAGAGATAAAATCTGGGAAAAAAGAAGAAAAAAAATTGGTTAAAAAAAAAAAAAAAATTATTTGGAAACCGAATTAAATCAGGTAATTATCAGGCCTGCATCTGCAATTTAAATAAACATGGGATACTCACCTCCATTCAGGCAAGGCATGCTGGCACACTCATCAATGTTGACCTCACAGTTAACTCCTAGGAATCCTGCCATACATGAGCAGTTGTAACCAGCGATCAGATCAGTGCAAGACCCTCCATTGAGACAGGGTATACTGCTACATTCATCTATCTCAGTCTGGCAGAGTGTGCCTTCGTACCCTAGCATACAATCACATGTGTATGCGTTGATACCATCCACACATGTAGCGCCGTTCAGGCATGGATCCGAAGAACATTCGTCTACGTTGATCTCACAGTGTACACCTGAAGGGACAAAACAAATAATATCAAGTGGAATTTGTAAAAGGTGTCTAGAATCGCCATCTAAATAAAAAAGATTGAGGTACAGTAAACATCATTACAAATTTAATGAGCAATAATATTCAAGAGACATTCATAAATTAGACCATTGTAAATTTTGTATAGGTTCTGAGAGACATCATAAAGTTTGATACATTTGAAAATCAAGTATACTCTGTGTAAAATCTATTTGCATCTTCATATTAAACAAATTTACTGTACATTTACAGTACATATGTCATTATTTGATTTTCTACAATTACTATTTCCTATCACACTTTCTTAAATGATATCTTTTAAGATCACCCTTACATCATCAAATATAATGCTCAAATCTTTAACAAATTAATTCATTGTTGCCTGAATATTTCATGAATTTGAAATACATATATAATATTAGACAACCATATCTCGCTGGCTGTCAGTACTTATCAGTCCATAATAAGTTTGAATATATCATCTGAACAGGTTGTTTTATTGCATTTACTTAATAATGCAAGTGTGAAGACAGAAACATTGCTCATGTTTGGACTATTCAAATTTCTTTTTGTTTAAAATCCTTGTATCTTTATCGCCTTTTTCTACCTACCTTGGAAGCCTAGTAGACATTCGCACATGTATCCATTGATGAGATCAGTACAGTTTCCTCCATTCTGACAGGGATTGCTAGAACATTCTGTGATCTCTGATTGACAGCGTGTATCAGTATATCCTGAAACACACTGACATACGTAACCACCAACATCATCTAGGCATGATCCTCCATTCACACATGGGCTGCTAGAACATTCATCTGTATCAGTCTCACAATGGACTCCTGTTAAGAGGAATAAGAAGGGAAAAAAGTGTGATCATGGTTACAGGTAAAGACCAGTTTTGGAAACGCCCCCCTCTCAAAAATTAAATGGAAGCTCTTATTACCAATCATGTGAAAGAGCTAATATGTGATGATACAAATTTTCCCAAGAAACCGCCTATTAATTGATATATTTGGTAAATTATTATATCTATATAGACCTGATAGATATTGTGCACGTGTCGCGCACGTGTCGCGCACATGTCACGTAGTTACATCTTTCTGTATACAGTGCTTGTAACTTTACCAAGACTGGGCCAAATTTCTTATCATTTTGATGATTCCAGAACCTTGCAGTACACACCAATACTTATATGCTAGATGATCCTTTTCTGATCGATTTCACAACATTTCTTTCACAATGCAATCGCATGACCATAACTGGCCTTTATCTTTAACAGGAATGTCAATAACGGCTTGTGTAGCTGTGAAGTGGTAAACTTCTTTTTTTACATGTAAAATAAATGGCAACACCCTGCAACAAAGGTCCTACATATTTTCAAAGCTCTGAGCAACAGAAGGGTTAATTAGCATATTACACCTGCGTCATCATACAAAAAGCCCCCATAGTTTACCACTTCATATTTGGACGAGGCTTACAACAGTAAGAGCTATATATAGCAGGCCTTAAATTTCAATATTTTAAGTCAAGGCCACTTTTCTGAAGGGCAAATTCCTATATTACAGCACAAATAGGAAGAATTGGAAAGGGCACAATTCTCCAAGGCCAATGAGAGGGGCATTGAGGCCAATCAAAAGAGCATTCACGGCCATGGCCTTGATGGCCTTGGATTAATTTAAGCCCTGGTATAGTATGGTACATGTTTTGTGAAACAGCCAATAAGTAAATGAATAAGTTTTCCAAAAGCCCAACACATCCAAACATGTGATGCTATAGGGTCATAGCTGTGTTATACAAAATGCTGTGAACAAAATATGACCATTGAAAACACACAATAACATTTGATCAATCTTCTATCATTTTCATGATACAGAAAGTTTGGTTTATGTGGCAAGTATACGGTACATGAAATCACCATATGCTGTTGGGAGTTTATCAGAATATAAACCAAAATGTATGATTCAAACTTGTATGTTTTTCGTTTCATTGTTTTTAGAATATATTTCATATTCACATGTAGTTGCAAATTGGATTACTGATGACTGTAAAATGGTTTGATATCATACTAGAAGCTCTAATAATCACATGCATTGTAGCATTGAGTATGGGATGTATTTGGGAGTGTAAAGGAAAACTGTCACCAAACTAAAAAGGCTAGGGTAATATGAGAGCGCAATGTTACCAGCATCTTTATAAATGTACATGTACATTCAAAATATCAAATTAACTCTGCACCTCAAACATACCGGTAATAAAGAGGAGTAAAATAATACAGAAAAGATTAGTGCACCCAAAACCTAAATTAATACATCGAACTAAGCACAAGTTCTATGATCAATCTGTTATTAAAATAAAACCGAATGCTGACAAAATGATGGACAAAAATTGACTGGGGTTGTCCTGAAATGAGAAATGTTAAATCTTGCTGATCATGATCAGACTAGTTATTAGAAATTGAAATCCAAATTCCAAGACTTCAAGCATACATGTACATCCCTCTGCCTAATTACATAGGCTTTGTCATTAACTGAGCATTTTCTCTCCTTTGACTTGTGCCTTGTGCCATGTTCAGTTTTGAAAAGATGCAGGCGTGCTCTCAAGATGAATGTTTGTTTAAAGTCCGGTAAAATCCCACAGTGACAATTGTGAACATATGGTTACCGGTAGTCTATTTTGACCTAGGTTAGTGGCTTGGTGCTACGAGTCGCACAACAATATGATGGTGAGCAATAAACCACAGATCGTGCATCATTCCAAAGCTTTAAAAAACAAAACATCAGTAATGGTATGTTAGATGCTGCTTATAAGTATGGTGGTGTAGATATATAGTAGGCTTATGGTTGCACCATGTGAAAAGGACTGTTGGTAATCTTTCTTTCCTGATTGTGTGTACATGTAGTCCTAAAAGGACTGTTGGTAATCTTTCTTTCTTGATTGTGTGTACATGTAGTCCTAAAAGGACTGTTGGTAACTTCCTTGAGCTGACAGTTCTAAAGAGAACTATAGCGCTGGTTAGAGAGGATGGGTGGTAGGAGGGGTAGTAGGAGGGGCTATAACGTTTCAAACAGGTTGACTGTCCGTCGTCAGGAGTGGGGAATAGCTGATATGCGTGAGGATAAGTCACCGGATTGCGACGTGGGGTGCTATACGTGTCCTAGTGGGTGACTCAAGCCAGGTGCTATAGTTCTCTTGAGATCTATAAGCTCAAGAAAGATTACCAACAGTCCTTTTCAGGACTACACACACTCAAGAAAGAAAGATTACAGACAGTCCTTTTCAAGACTCCCCAATCCTCCCCCCCCCCCCCTCTCACATGGTGCAATTGTACGCCTACTGTATAATGGTATATTGTATAATAGGTCTTCTACACATAAAAATATGTGAGGAATATATATATATATATGTAGTGAGTGCAGATGGATGCCATAATCCATTGTACAGTATACATTGATTAGTAAATCCGATGAGATAGGGTTAGGATGAGATGGGGTTGGGATTAAAGAGTTAAAAGACCATGCAGACACAATTTACTGCATGCATTACATGCAAAACAGCTAGAAGGCATAAATCATATTATGGATGGATGATGTCACAAGTGTTAGTGGCCATGCAGGATATGAAGACTAATGTAATTTCTACAGCATTGTCACCTTCATATCCAGTTGAACATTCACACTCATAGCGGTTGATCAGATCAAGACATGTAGCTCCATTCTTACAAGGAGAGCTTTCGCATTCTTGGATATCAGTCTGGCATTCTGCTCCTTCATACCCATCAACACATGTACACTGATATCCATTGAATTGATCCACGCAGCTTGCTCCGTTCACACATGGTGAGCTCTCGCATTCATCTGCTTCCGCATCACAAGTGACTCCTGTGTAACCTGGGCTGCAGCTACACGAAAACATGTTATTTCCATCTATGCAAAGGGCCCCATTTAGACAGGGATTGCTGCTGCACTCATCAATGTTAATCCTACAGTTGGTTCCATCAAAACCACTAGCACAGCTGCACAGGTAACCATTGACGACATCTTCACAGGTGGCCCCATTTTCACAAGGAACACTCTGGCACTCGTCAATGTCAAGTTCACATCGTGCACCTTGGTAACCCGGAAGACATGAGCAGATGTATCCATTAGCAGCATCTAAGCAGGTGGCGTTGTTCTGGCATGGACTAGACAAACATTCATCTACATCGATTTCACAGAGATCCCCTAAGAAACCTGCAGTACACAGACAGGCATAGCCAGCGAGACCCTCCTGACAGAATGCCCCATTCAGACAGGGATTACTTTCACATTCATTGATCTCAGTCTCACAGAATGTTCCAGCGTACCCAGGTAAACACATACATGTGTAACCCGCTATACCATCCATGCAGTCTGCTCCATTCTGACAGGGGTTGGAATCACATTCATCAATGTTTTCAGCGCACAGTATTCCAGAGAACCCTGAAGCACATTGGCAGGTGTATCCCGCAATAATGTCAGTACAGTCTGCTCCATTGAGGCATGGATTACTAGCGCATTCATCAAGATCATCATCACAGACTGATCCAGTGTAACCCTCAGGACAGACACATCTAAAGCCATTCACCTCATCCTCACAGGTGGCACCATTTCTACAAGGTTGGCTGAAGCATTCATCAATGTTGTCTTCACAGATGATACCCTGAAACCCTGCTGCACATTGGCACTGATAACCATTCAGGTAGTCTTGGCAGTTAGCTCCATTCAGACATGGATCCGATGCACACTCGTCGCTGTCAAGCTCACAGTTTGCACCTTCATAGCCAGTTGGGCAGTCACATACATAACCAGCTACCATATCCGTACAGGTAGCTCCGTTCTGACATGGTGAACTCCCACACTCATTGACCTCATTGGCACAGGTAGTCCCGAAGAATCCTGGTGCACACAGACAGTTGTATGTGTTGACCAAGTCTTGACACGTGGCATCGTTCAAGCAGGGGCTGCTGGAACATTCATTGATCTCCAAATCACAATTTCTTCCAGAGTATCCTGCTTCACATTGACATTCGTAGCGACCAATGAAATCCATGCATGTACCTCTGATGCATGGGCTGGAGGCACATTCATCTATTTCTGTTTCACACATAAGACCTTGATAGCCTAGTGTGCAGTTACAAGAGAACTGTCCAATCCTATCAAGACAAGCACCATTTATGCAAGGGTTACTTTCACATTCGTCTATATCCTCTTCACAATTGGTCCCTGTAAACCCATCCAGGCAGATGCATGCGTATTGATTGATCATGTCTTGGCACTCAGCTCCATTCTGGCAGGGAGCACTAGCACAGTCATTAATGTTGGTTTCACAACGCTCTCCCTGGAAACCAGGTAAACAGTCACATTCAAACCGATTTATCATATCTGAACACTGTCCTCCATTAGCACATGGACTTGAAGCACATTCGTTGATTTCTGACTCGCAGTGTACACCTGTGTACCCTGAAGCACACGCACAGATGTAGCTTGCAATCTCTTCAAGACAAGTAGCCCCATTTTGACAAGGATCACTGGAGCACTCTATGATCTCACTGCTACACTCAGAACCTTGGAAACCTGGAGGGCAGAGGCAACGATAAGAGTTGACTAGATCACTGCAGGTAGCCTCATTGGAGCATGGGTTACTGGAGCACTCATCGATATTTATCTCACAAAATGTTCCGTTGAATCCTTCAAGGCAAGAACATGAATACCCGTTGATTCCTTCCTCACAAGTTGCACCATTTCGGCAAGGATTACTAGCACATTCCTCAATGTCAGCTTCACAGTTGGTACCCTGGAAACCGGGCGTGCATTCACAGGTATATCCAGCGATAAGATCACGGCATGAAGCACCATTCTGACATGGGTCACTGTCACATTCATTGATGTCGGTGGCACATGTTAGACCAGTGTATCCTGGAAGACATACACATACAAAGAGATTGACAAAGTCCATACATGTTGCTCCGTTTTCACAGGGATCAACGTCACATTCATCAAAATTTGTTTCACACTCATCACCTAAGTAGCCTGGCAGACAGTCACATCTGTAAGAATTGATCAAATCCACACAGGTAGCTTGGTTTTGGCATGGTCCACTGCTGCATTCATCAATATCCATTTCACATTCTATTCCCTGGAATCCTTGAGGGCATCGACAATTGTATCTACCAATTTGGTCTTCACATGTAGCTCCATTCCGGCAGGGATCGCTGTCACACTCCTGAATGTTCACCTCACAGTTGATACCGGAGAAGCCAAAAAGACAGGAGCAGTTATACCCACCAATCAGATCAGTGCATTGGCCTCCATTCTGGCATGGCGTGCTCGCACATTCGTTGATTTCAGTTCCACAGTGAACACCAGTATAACCTATCGGACAGGTGCAAGTGTATCGTGCAATTTCTTCATTGCATGTTGCTCCATTCATGCAAGGTCCACTAGCACACTCCAGTACTTCTGTCCCACATCTATCCCCCATGAATCCAGCTCCACAGGTGCAGCTGAAGGCTCCGATCAAATCATTACAGATGCCCCCGTTTTCACATGGAGTGCTGTTACATTCGTTGATTTGGGTCTCACAATGGCTGCCCGTGTATCCAAGAACGCAATCACAGACATATCCATTGACTTCATCTCGGCAGGCTGCTCCGTTCCTACATGGTAAGCTAAGACATTCCTGAATGTTCTGTTCACATCTATCCCCTTGAAATCCTGGTGCACAGTCACATCTAAACCCATTGATCTGGTCAATGCAAGTCGCTCCATTCTGGCAATTGCTATTGATACAATCATCAATATCTGTCTCACAGTCGATCCCTGTGTATCCTTCTACACATTCACAGATGTAACCGTTGAACTCATCTCTGCAGACAGCCTCATTCAGGCAAGGGTTGCTCTGACATTCATCTATCTCTGTCTGGCATCTCTCTCCTTCGTAACCAGATGCACACCGGCAGACATAACCATTCACACCATCCATGCAAGTTGCACCATTGATGCAGGGGTCACTCGAGCACTCGTCGATGTTCGTTTCACAGAGCTGACCGGTAAAACCAGGAAAACAATCACAGACAAAGCCATTGACAATGTTTCTACAAGATGAATCAGTGCTACAAGGTTGTGAGAGACACTCATTAATCTCATCCTGACAGTTTGTATTAGTGTAACCTGATAGACAGGTACATGTATAGCCATCTATTGCATCCTGACAGGTAGCACCGTTCACACATGGAATGCTAGTACATTCATCAATGTTCATATCACAGGTTGCACCAGTAAATCCTGGAGGGCATATACATTGGAATCCATTGACTCGATCCATGCAAGTTGAGCCAGCACTGCATGGTGTACTGGAGCACTCGTTGATGTTCTGTTCACAGTTTGAACCTAAAGAAAGTGGAAGAATATTGTCAATACAATCGTGTCAAATTTGATACAGAATGGAAGTTGTTCATTTCAGATTAATGTTGTAACATGGTGTTCAAAGAGACTAACAATAAATCCTTCAATTTGGTTTGAAATTTATATTTGTGTAATATCAATCATTATCACTTAACTTGACTGCATTTGATGTAGAGAACAGACAGCAAAAAAGTGAATCAAATGTCATCTCCTCCAAACACAAAATATAAAAGTATGAGGGTGCCAATGCAAACTGCAATTCATGTCTCAGATTGATCTTGAAATAATGTCATTACGTCTAGAAAGAAACAAAAAGCTTTTCATAAAAAACAAGCAAACTGAACAACTTCAAGAACACATGAAATCAATTCACTACAAACCCAATCCCATGTGCATAAAATCATTACATTATTATCCCATTTTCAGAATGATGGAATACGCTACACAACATTGATCAATTCACAGCAAAATTATACAGATCAACATTCAGTAAACTTCAAGAAAATAATACATTTCTATGATTTAAACTTAGGCTTAGTCAGTATCCTTATAGTACATCCAGCAGATACACAGCTTGGAAGGAATCAACATTACAGGTGTATATATCTGCTTAATGAGCTGAGGCAGCTACTTTCAAGCTGTTTTGATAAAAAATAAATACACTGAGAAGAAACTGAACCCTCAGATGAGAGAGATTTGGGACCAATATAAGTTGAGACAATAATATTATACTCCAATCATGTCTTCTTTACTCTTATAAGGATAAATAAACAAATATACTTAGTCATGATCGCAAATAAGAATGTTACACTCGAATCATCATTTAATCTTGGGCTTATGTAATGTCACCTCTTTAGAGTTTTGATAATGAGTTATCATAACAAACTTTCTAGCCCGCATTAAATCATTGCATTGTGATAATTGTTGCCAAATCAATACCATAATGGCTATTTGCATATAGTGCAGCAACCTGTATCATCAGAATCCTTTCATGATCTACACAATAACTTTAACCATATGGAATGCTGCTACATAAATCTCACATGCATCTATATTCTTTTGTTCAATAAATAATATTTGTGAAGATATACAAACCTGTAAATCCAGGTAGACATTGGCAGGTATAAGACATGATGCCATCCAGGCAAGTAGCTTCATTAAGACAAGGATCAGAATCACATTGATCACCATCAGATTCACAGTTCACTCCAAACCAGCCTTCGCTACAAGTACATCTGTATTCGTTGATGCCATTGATGCAGGTTGCTGTCATAAATAGAAAAAAAAAAAAAATTAAATCAACTGTGCCCCAAAACAGACTTATGAGGTTTCCTGATATGACTTTGTATCATAAAGATCATGTTCAGGGGCCTGTCTTATAAACAGTTGATATCAATCGCAACTTGTTTGCGATTGATATCAATCACAACTACTGGTATGTACATATTAGATATAGGGGACTGTAAACTTGCTATTGATTGGAGGACTTGCGATTGATTTGGATCAATCGTAACTCTTTATAAGACAGGGCCCAGATCTATAATTCTAAGAGTAGCAATGATCGGCTTTGACATACTGCTGATGGAACAAAGATGAGGAAGACAAAAAATTGATCATTTGAATACTTCATTTTCATCTTAGGAAATCCACAAATTTGAGGCAGAATATATTTTCAAAAGACCATGAATTGAGTCATACAGCAATGATAAATCTATTCAATGCCACATTGATTTTTTTTTCTTAAGTAGTGCAGCAATGATATTACAAAATCCCCTTATAGATAATGGCCGATGAGTGCCATGGCATCTGTACTTCTTTGAAAAATCAAAATAAATTGTCAAAACTCAATGAGAAAGCACCTAAAAACAACAGAAGTTTGGACAATAACACAGGAATACCTGAATAAATACCGCAAGTTTTCTGCAAGTTAATTGAAACTGTAAATGGTGAACTGGTTGTAAAATTGATCATGATTTTTGTTGTTGTTACATTTAAAAAAAAATTATTGACAACTCAGTCACTAGCATTATAAATTGCAAATAAAGCATAATGAAGTACCTGTAGTAAATTAATATCTGTAACATTTTCCTTTGCGTCATGAAAACCATATAGAACACAAATAGGTGAGAATTTAAAATTTCTACAGAAGGCGTTACATAATATTTCAATAAAATTTCAAAATGGATAAATCTTTTCGCATTCAAAATACACATGTATTATGGTACCAGGTTTGTTACAGTAATAACACAAATCGTTTTCTTTGATTTTCCATTTGAATATATTAACAGGTGTTGGTAAAATATTATACATAAATTTAAAGTTGAATTGTATCAAGTAATTATCACAAACATATTTCAATTAAAGTAACCACAGAGAATCACACTTAATAAAAAAAATTGTCTGTAAAGTTTTGTTCCAGAAATCTACCCCATTAGATGGTTTTTTAATAAATTTTACGAGTTCTGTAGATATTTGTTTCACAGTAATACAGTGTATTGATAATTCAAGACTATTTAAATTTAAATTAGAATATATCATTGATTTTTGTTTGTAATCTTTAAAATCATATACTTGTTTGCCATAAAATTAATCATGATGACATACTAAGATATATCTAAGACAGGAGTGTATGTAAGCAAGCAATATTATATTACCTTGATTCAGACATGGATCACTGATGCACTCATCAAATTCATCGATCTCACAGTTTAATCCTCTAGTCCCGGTGAGACAGACACACTGATAAGCTCTGATCAGATCCACACATGTAGCCCCATTCACACAAGGATTACTGGTACATTGATTGCCATCTACTGCACAGTTGACGCCGCTGAATCCATCGATACAACGACAGGTGTATCCATTCATCTCATCTTCGCATTCTCCTACATAGGATTACAAATAGTGGATAATATTCATAAACATAACAGATTAAGATTTTACGATTTGAGTTTTTATGATTTTAATGCCTGATCTTAAAGATAAACTTGAGTTCTGGTAAAAAAAAAAAGGAAATGAATTCTCACAGAATCAAATGAAACTTACACTGAATGTTCAAGATTACAAATAAATGTCATGTGCCAAACAATTTTGGAAGAAAATATATACTGGCTGAGTAATGAGCAAAGAAAGATAAGGAAATCAAGGTATAGTAGCCCCGACACCATTTGTGTAGTCCCATATACATCTTTCTGTGTACAGTTCTTGTTACTTTACCAAGACTGGGCCAAATTTATTATGATTTTGATGAATCCAGAACCTTGCAGTACACACCAATACTTACATGCTACATGATCAACTTTTTCTTATCCATTCCACACCTTTTCTTTCACAATGCAATCGCATTATTACCAGAACTCACCTTTATCTTTATGCTACCTCATAATGCAGGTGGCTTACAAGCACTGTATTTACATGTTTTATTGTCACCTCACAATATCATTTCTTTGAAGGCTTGATAATATAATTGATTGAAACTTACATTCTACAACAAGATCATTGAAATCTAACTGTCATCAAATGATCAAGTTAGAACTGAGAATAACACTGGCATTTTCATCTGAACGAACCGCAAGAAAATAAATCACAATGTGTGCCTATTATCAATCAATTATTACTATTACCAAACAGTTGTAACTAGTTGAATCTTTTATTATTTGGAGGTACTGGAGTAAAGTGGAGTAATGGAACTTTAGTATTCTCAGCAAATATCTAAGCAATTACTGTTATATTCTAAACACAAATAATTTCTATAACAGTATGCAATCTTCAAGATCTTGTTAGAATATATCAGAACGCAAGAGAAAGAGAGGTAAAGAGAGGGAAAGAAAGAAACAAAGAAAGTGGGAGTGTGAAATAGAGATAGAGAGGTAATAATAATGGGTTCTTGTAAAGCGCTCATGTCAGTCAGATTTGACTCTCCTGGCGCTCCTGATTATAACCCTGGCTTTAACACGGCGCTCTAGCATTTCAAGGAATAAATTCCTGGTTCCATGACACATGCTCCGCCGACGATTGCTCCGCCGACATTTACTCCGCAAAACGCGACAATTGCTCCGCGACATTTGCTCCGCGACATTTGCTCCGACGTCAAATGCTCTGCCGACAGGTGCTCCGCCGTCAGTTGCTCCGCCGACAATTGCTCCGCCGACAGATGCTCCGCCGACAATTGCTCCGCCGACAATTGCTCCGCCGTCAATTGCTCCGCAAAACGCGACAATTGCTCCGCCGACATTTGCTCCGCCGACATTTGCTCCGCCTGAAGCGACACTTGCTCCGCCGACATTTGCTCCGCCGACATTTGCTCCGCCGAAAGCGACACTTGCTCCGCCGACATTTGCTCCGCCGACATTTGCTCCGCCGACATTTGCTCCGCCGACAATTGCTCCGCCTGAAGCGACAATTGCTCCGGTGACATTTGCTCCGCCGATAATTGCTCCGCCGATAATTGCTCCTCCGATAATTGCTCCGCCGACAATTGCTCCGCCGATATTTGCTCCGCTCAAAAATTGCCCCGTAAAATACAAAGGCTACTACGACAATTGTTGCTCCTCCCCAAAAGTACCCCTTAAAAGACAATGCTCCGCCAACAATAAAATTGCTCTCCGATCCAAAAGTGCGGCCTCTTGGAAGATATGAATGCTCCTCTGGTAATTAGTGCAATAAATGCTCAGCCGTTTTTTGCTATTCCCCATGTTTGATTAAAAAGAGAAAATCAAGTTATAGCTCCTTATGCAAGTTCTCCGGCGAAAGATAATTACTCAAAATAAGTTTCATGTATTACTCATTAGCTGATCCAAAGCTAAAGGCTATATCTCTCTCTTTCTCTCTTGCTCCTCCTTTTCATTTTAAACCCTTTTTTTTGTCTTCTTGGCTCTTTTCTTCCCTCTCATGCTATTTGTCTGTTTTCAATTTCACCACTTCTTCTCTTCTCCCCCTCTCGAGTTCTATTTCTCTCGTGAAATTGTAACGTAATGTAGTACATTCTTGTTTAGAATAGTATTTTCAATAATATCCAGTCCGTTTTCTATAGGTTTCTTTCCTTCAGTTAAGTGTATGTAGCTTTACTATAATTATATATATATATATATATATATTAGTGTGTAAAACACCCCGTCTCATTCGAATACTTTGTTTTCACTGACTTTAAGGAACTCACGGAGCCACCGGAAGAAGAGCAATTGGCTTATTATGAAGAACTAACATCAAACTGCAACAGAATGATTTGTATAAATGGGAATAAGCAGAAAGGCTACCATCTAATTTTCCCGTCTGAATGGGTTCTCTTCTCTACGTATAAGTGCCCTTCAAAGCTTATTTTGATCCCTCTCCTGTTGTTTTCTAGAACTTCCATGATGAACTAGTACATTGTAGTAAGATGCATGTGCTTGCTTGCATTGAGGTTATTTCAGGTCTTACATATTGACGAGCTGTTTGAAATTAACTAGGAGGTATGCGCGTATTGGGGAATGTGGCTTGCTGCTCTACTTTTTTTTTTAAACTTCTCACGACATGTAATGAGTGTTTAGTGTACATTATATGGGACGTACAGTGATAGACGGAAAGTTATTTCAGTATATTCGAAATGACTTTTAGGTAACTCCCTTTTCCTCCCACTTCATCAACATTCATTCATTTCATTTCATCTACATTATTTCATGAAATGCATTCAGAAAATGAAGAAGAAAAAAAAGAAACGAAAATAACCCGTGTAAAAAAAATATTGTCGGCAAGGCAATTGTCGGCGGAGCAATTGTCGGCGGAGCAAATGTCGGCGGAGCAATTGTCGCTTCAGGCGGAGCAATTGTCGGCGGAGCAAATGTCGGCGGAGCAAATGTCGGCGGAGCAATTGTCGCTTCAGGCGGAGCAATTGTCGGCGGAGCAATTGTCGGCGGAGCAAATGTCGGCGGAGCAAGTGTCGCTTCAGGCGGAGCAAATGTCGGCGGAGCAAATGTCGGCGGAGCAAATGTCGGCGGAGCAATTGTCGGCGGAGCAATTGTCGGCGGAGCAAATGTCGGCGGAGCAAGTGTCGCTTCAGGCGGAGCAAATGTCGCGTTTTGCGGAGCAATTGACGGCGGAGCAATTGTCGGCGGAGCAATTGTCGGCGGAGCAATTGTCGGCGGAGCATCTGTCGGCGGAGCAATTGTCGGCGGAGCAACTGTCGGCGGAGCATTTGACGTCGGAGCAAATGTCGCGGAGCAATTGTCGCGTTCTGCGGAGCAAATGTCGGCGGAGTAATCGTCGGCGGAGCATGTGTCGGGTTACCTAAATTCCTACCAGATACCCATTTGCTTCACCTGGGTGGAGTGTGGCAAATAAAGATCAATGTCATGCCAAAGGACATTAGTGCACCGGAAGGACTCGAACCGCGGACCTTGTGATGGACAGTCCGGCGAGGTAGTGGGTGGGGAAGGAAGAATGGAAGAGGGGAGAGAAAAAGAGGGGGTATCAAAGCAAAAGAAAAAGAGAATTCCCAAATGAAACAAACCCCAAACTTACCTCCATTTTGACAGGGCATGCTATCACACTCATTGATTTCAGTCTGGCAATCCTGTCCAGCATAACCACTGACACAGCTACATTGATAGGAAGCAATGCCATCTACACACGTAGCTCCGTTCATACATGGATCAGAATCACATTCATTGATCTCAAAGGAACAGGATGTACCAAAGAAACCAGGAGAACAGACACATGTGAACGAATTAATGTTGTCTTGACATTCAGACCCGTTCTCACATGGATCACTAGCACACTCATCAATATCAGTCTCACAACGTTGACCTGTAGAGAAGAATATATAATATGAAAGAAAGAAAGAGAGAGAAAATTACAAAAAATGAAGTTAATGTAAAACAAAATCTGATTCACCATATTATGTGACAATAACAATAACAGTTGGTACTCTCGAACAAAATTTCAAGAAATCTTAGTATATGTCATTCGATTTGAGCTAAAGCCCACCACACATGTACATGTACCTACACTATCCTTCTGCATTCCGATTTTCAACGAAATTGTAATACATTATAAAAATATATATGGACATTTAGAAAAACAACAATTTCCTGCTTTATGTTCTTACCGGTATTCATAAAATGAATTTTAGTGCATTTTAGCCTTCTATAGTTAGATTAAAAGCCGAATCGGCTTCATACATGTATTGTAGACAATCACACTCCTGGTCTGACGTCACGTACTGTGGCTCTTAGCTTATTAAGCCTTTTCTCTCATTGGGAAGCTGGCAATTGCTCCCAATTTGTATTTTCTTAATAATTAGACTATTCAGAAAATTGGTCATTAAAATAATATATACACTGCTACTCATCCATCATAGATCACTAAATTTTCATCAATCATCATTTTAAGTACCTATTACTGTCTAACCAAAGTATATATATACATGTAAATTACAGGGCTAGTGTTGAATTAAGATAATTGAAAAATTTGGCAACCATTTTTTTTCTATAAAAATATCCATCAAGTATGATTGATATTCAAATTTATTACTTCGTATTAGAATTATTTCTTCTCTAATCAAAATTAATTTCATCATCAAGGCTAAATGACCTTTAAATCAGCTCTACAAAAAAAATATTTAATTTGTTTCTCTGTCTTGATCAAATTACCAAATCCTTACTCTTCAAACTGATAGAGCATGCAGTGTCCCATCAAACACATGTTACTATTTACTCAGCAAACATTGTGCATTCCTAGCATTGGTTTTTCGAGGATCATGTACAAATCATGGTCACAAATCTACAGAATGTACATTTTTTGATAGTTCGCTATTGAAGGAAAAAATATTATCTAAAGATCATAATTGAGAGACCGATAGTGAGAGCAACCAGTGGCATGAATGGCCTACCATAGTTCAAGTCCAACTTAAGTCGATCTTAGTCTTTCTGAACCCCCCCCCCCCCCCCTCCCCCCCCCCCCCCCCCCCCCCCCGACTATCACATACCTTCAAATCCAGCAGAACAGATGCATACTGCTATGGCACCAATTTGCATACATGTTGCTCCATTCTGACATCCAAGCTGATCACATGTTGCAGTGCCTCCTGGTGTTGTAGACAACATTGTGGTAGATGGATCCACTGATGTTACCTGCACTGTGGTTCCGGCAGAAGTTGGTGGTTGCATGGTAGAAGTGGAAGCCTGTGTTGTGTCTTCGGGCAAGATTGTTGTTGGTGTATTCTGTGTAGTGGATGTTGTAGATGTTGTTGATGAAAAACTTGTAGATAGCGATGGTGTGGTAGCAGTAATACTTTCAGTAGTAGCCACTGTTGACTCAACTGTGGTAGATGGGCTTGTTGTTACTGCTGCTGTTGTTGCTTGCATGGTAGATATGGTTGTTTGTGGAAGAATTGTAGAAGAAATCCCATCTGTCTGCATTGTTGTGGCTTGTGTGGTAGACGCTGATGGTGGCTGAGTGGTGACAACAGTCTGACATTGGTCACCAAGTGTGTTTGGGGGACAAATACAGTCATAGTATGCCACTTTGGTGCTGGTTCTATCCATCGCTATACACGTTCCTCCATTCAAGCATGGGTCACTGTCACAGGCAGAAACTGATAAAAAGAACAGAAAACAGGATGAAAGTGCCATATCACATACATGTACATGTATGGACCAAAAGGATCCATAAGCCCTGTGTTACAAATTCAGGATATGACTGAACTGACCTAGCTTCATCGATTTGTTACTACACTGTAATTACATGATCCTTTCAATTTTCATACACACATAAAATGAATAGTGCAAGGAAATATTCATTGATTCAAATTTTGATGACCAATAGAGAATGAAATCTCCTCATACAAAGTGCTAAACTGCACCATTTTTTTGGTCTTTGCTTACAAATATGTAAATGCATGGCAGCTGTGGGCAACAAAGTTCCTACATGTACATACTGAGCTCTGTGTTATAGGATACAGAAATGTGAGGTGTTTACATTTACTAATTTACTTCATCATTTAAAAGAAAACATTGTTTACTGGGTCATATCTGTATGAAGATTGATTCTCAAAAAGCTCTCCACTCCCATTCAAAACTTATTCAAATGAGGTTTTTTTTAACTCAGACAGTACACGTAGGTAATATGTTCACCTGTAACTTTCGCATTAAAGTAAATATGACCAACATCATAAAACTTAAGAATATACACCCGTAAATAATAGTATTCATAATAATGACAGTAGGAGTCTTTACATAGCGCTTAATACTATATTTCTAGGTACATTACATTGTTATCATTATTACCCCAGTTACCCATCATCATCATAATAATTATATAAAATGATAACAATACCGTAATTAACGTTGTATAAACCGCCCTCGTGTATTAACCGCACCCCTCTTTTTCGCCATTAATGTAAATTAAAAAACAGTAGGGGACCTAGGATAGAACCTTGTGGTACACCATGTAATAGAAGAAAAATTGGAGGAATTATTATTATAAACTACATATTGAGATCTATCAGAAAGATTACTATCAAACCAAGATGACAGACAAATTTGAGTGTTGTTCTAGTTTCCAAGTGGTGAGTCAACACACCCATTACCGAGCTGGGAGACATTGCCAGGCATAGCGCCAGGTGGAGGGGCATAAATTGAAACTTTATATAACAAATAAAATAAAAAAGGAGTGGTTAATACACTGTTAATTACGGTAATAATCATAATTCTGTAATAATCATAATTCTGTAATTATAGGGTGCACAAATCTCCCTGAAATAGGTACCCTTGTATGCAAATGCGTCATCTTATTATCATACTGTAATTATTAGTAATTTAATTTGAACTGCATATGAATATATTTACTTTTTGTTTGTTTAAGTAAATGAGAGAATTGTAAGTTACACGTATAGTCCATATACATACATATCAGGCCTCGAATTACGTCAAATTTGGGTCAAGGCCACTTTTTTGAGAGGGCACAAATCCACTGAAAGGGGCACAAATGTATATCCTAAGGGGCACTAAGGCCAAAGTGGAAATTGTGCGTAAAATCACCTCACACCGTTTTAATGGGGGGGGGATTTGCAACCTATGACGTTTTAATTAAAACGTATGTGAAAGAAGACGATTCGATGTACCATTATCTCAACTCTTAATTGTTTTCTGATTTAATTCCCGACCCTCCTCCCGAGGAAAATTTTTCACTGATTAAAAACTCTGAAAACGCACAAAAAAAGGTCACAACGCGAAGTAAAGATGTTGAACCAACGATAGGTAAACAAAACTTCCCGATATTGATTGGTCCAAGTAAAAAGGATGGAGATGGATTGAAAAACTAAGCCCGAGTCATTACGGTTTTTGTGCCAAACGTTTCAGTCATTTCGATGAAGATATGCTTTCATATCTCCGTATCGGCAATGAAGTCCCGCCAATAGTAATTAATTACCGGTAAGGAGTTCCATGGTGGCAATGAAGTCTCGCCGATAATTATTGTTTTTTAGATCTCCGTAGGGGCAACAAAGTCTTGCCGATAATTATTGTTTTAAGATCTCCGTAGGGGCAACAAAGTCTTGCCGATAATTATTGTTTTAGAGCTCCGTACGGGCAACAAAACCTTGCCGATTATTATCGTTTTTAGAGCTCCGTAGGGACAACAAAACCTTGCCGATTATTATCGTTTTTAGATCTTCATAGGGGCAACAAAACCCTGCCGATTATTATTGTTTTTAAAGCTCCGTAGGGGCAACAAAACCTTGCCCATTATTATCGTTTTTAGAGCTCCGTAGAGGCAACAAAACCTTGTCCATTATTATCATTTTTAGAGCTCCGTAGGGGCAACAAAACCTTGTCGATAATTATTGTTTTTAGAGCTCCGTACGGGCAACAAAACCTTGCCGATTATTATTGTTTTTAGATCTCCGTAGGGGCAACAAAACCCTGCCGATTATTACCGTTTTAAGATCTCCGTAGGGACAACAAAACCCTGCCGATTATTATCGTTTTTAGAGCTCCGTAGGGGCAACAAAACCTTGCCGATTAATAATGTTTTTAGAGCTCCGTAGAGGCAACAAGACCTTGCCGATCATTAATGGTTTTAGAGCTCCGTAGGGGAAACAAAACCTTGCCGATTATTATCGTTTTTAGAGCTCCGTAGGGGCAACAAAATCCTGCCGATTATTATCATTTTTAGAGCTCCGTAGGGGCAACAAAACCTTGCCGATTATTACTGTTTTAAGATCTCCTTAGGGACAACAAAACCCTGCCGATTATTATCGTTTTTAGAGCTCCGTAGGGGCAACAAAACCTTGCCGATTAATAATGTTTTTAGATCTCAGTTGGGGCAACGAAGTCTTTTTGAACATTACAAGTCAGGGTTGACTTATGATGACTATAATGTCGGCAAAACTTTTGTGGATTTAAATATTGTGGCCGTAAGCGGTTTGATTTTGAAAAGGGCATTCCGGCCAGTGAGAGGGGCATGGCGGCAAATTGCCGATTGCCGGTGGGTAATTCGAGCCCTGATATATGCATCTCTTTCTCTCTCTCTCTCTACCATACCCACCCTCTTTCACAACTTTTGTAGTCAAACTAAATATTTATCATCAACAAGTAATTGTACTGTATGTACAAGTACACTGTAGGTTCAAAGAATTTATAGTTGTAGTTTTTTAGAATGCCTACATTTTATACCAATCATGTACTTGTTTCATTACATTCTTGTTCAATCTGTGTACATGTATGTTTAATCATTTAATCATTGTACATGTATGTCTGCAATTATTGGAATTTTTCTATAAAACCTGTCTATTGGGTTTTAACAACAAATATATGTCAGGTTACCTGTAAGGTAGGATATTTTGAATGATAGGTATAGAAGAGATTGATAGAAATGGCACTTTGGGAAAACAAGGTATCCTTCTTCTCCTATTAGTTTACTTGATATTTTTTAGAGGTGTTGTAGTTGAGTGGTTCGAACACTTTAATGGAAATGCAAAGGTCAAGGGTTTGATCCCCAACATGCCACAAATAACCTTTGTCAAAATCATTAATCTACATTTGCCATTAAGGAACTGGTAGGATGGCAAAAGCCTGTGTGATACTAATTGCAATGGGTGACCATATGGTAGGAATACTCCCCAGGGAGTGATAATAATACCTGTAAAGAGCTTACAGATGGTATTCCATAAAGCGCTATATGAATTGAGATTTGTTTAGAAATCATTTATCATTGCAAGCTGGGACCCGTTTCACACAGCCTTTTTTCAATGACAAATGACAAAAATCAGTGACAAATCTGCTGATAAGTGATAACCAATCAGAAGCAAGGGTTTCACTAGATTATAACAGAAGCTGTCATTTTTCACTGATGACAAGTTTTGTGAAATGGGGCCCTGGATCAAATGAGCTGCTAGGTCAGAGATTACAGGTGGACTGTTGAGTCACTGGTTTACCTGTATCATTACAAGTAGCAGGAGTCTCATCAGAACCATCAGAGCAGTCTACGACTGTGTCACAGACAAAATTAGAAAATATACAGCTTCCATCAGCACACTCTGTCTCACTGAAAAGTCCACCGGCACTGCAGGATTGCCCTGAAAGATCAAACAGAAAATTACCATAATTATTTACCATGAAAATAATCATATTTATTATTATCATCATCATCATCATCATCCTTATCATTATTATTACTGTCAATATCATTATCTTTGTTTTGACCATTGTTATCATTAATATCATTATCATTATTATTATTTAATCAGTTGTATGTAACACCCATAGCGTCATATGATTTCTGTATGATCTTATGAATAATAAAGCTAGAATCTTGAATACTGAATTGTAGAGGTTAAATTGCAATTAACGAGCTACATGTGTAAGCATCATATTAAAACAAGAGGGATGTTCATCATACTCAAGTTGGAAACATAGAATCACACAAGGCAAAAAGTAGAGTTGCTACATTTCAAATAAAGAACAAGTGATCATGTAATTAAACACAATGCAAAATATAAAATTCCATGATACGAATCTAGGTCTATGACTAACTACATGTAGGTGATACACTAGATTTTACACCTACCGTAGATTTGAACTCTGCAGAAGGAAGAATCCCAGATTGATAACCTCACACATGAATGAGTGGAAATCTTTTCAAAATAATATGAACACTAAACAGAATTTGTTTTGATCCACAATTGTAAATAAATTAACCTAACCACAACTATAGCATTAAGCAAGGTTTGGGGTTTCCAAGCTGAAAATGAAATTTGTATTCAAATAATGTTCATCTTCTCATCAAGGTTCATGTGTGATCTAATCTGGACCAGCTAAACAGACCTAAAGCTTCAGTCTCTGATATTGATGGTTGTTCTGCTGTGATTACGTCTGGCTCCACTGACCGCCTCTATCATTATTAAATACCCCTAGCCCTCATGCTTGTGGCAAGGGTTACTGTCTGTGTATTGGGAACTTGGGAAGGTTCACAAATATATTAGTTTTTATAAGAATTCCCCATACCAAATGATTATTTCCATCTAGACTAGTGCCAGCTAATAAATAATAATATATATGCACACGGCACATATTCATAATAATGAAATTTGAAATCAATTCTTCTAACAGTACGGTAACTAATAACATTCAAGAGAAGGTTGAGTTCTGGAAAGAGGTGAAAAATAATTTGTGAGCTTTATCATTCTTATCATGCAAGTGTGGAAGAACATCAGATAAGACATGTTCCCTGAAAAGCATGGCTCTTCAAATGCCTTCATATTCTAAATATGTCATGTAACATCGTAAAACTCCAGGGTAGGATTTCTACATCACGTGTTCGTGTAGTCCCATAGCCATCTTTCTGTGTACAGTGTTTGTAACTTTACCAAGACTTGGCCAAATTTCTTATCATTTTGATGATTACAGAACCTTGCAATACACACAAATTCTTATATGCTAGATGATCAACCTTTTCTGGTCGATTCCACACCGTTTCTTTCACAATGCAATCGCATGACCAGAACTCAACTTCATCTTTAACGATTTAAAACAGGTAGAGGTATAATGTAGTGAGTACCGAATTGCGAGTACAACATCAACAACTACAAGCTTCAGCATCAGCATCAGTATACGGAAGTGTGAGGTGATCCTGTTGAAACTTCCGGTCGTTACATTGAGTGGTGCTTCGTTCAAATAAACCTGAAACAATTATTGCTCGCATGGCGGGTGGACGCACATATTAATGATTTGGGTCATTTCTTTAATAAAACTGACATTTGTTGTTATTCCCCAATACAGATGGCAACCCAGAGATCTCGTACCGTGGGGATGGCTATAGGCCTATATGTGCATATTAATATAAATGATTATGAAGGAAAAACTGTGCGCCATCTACACGTTCGTAATGGCGTTATCACAGTTTTTCCTTCATAATCATTTTGCCTTCGGCGTAGACTAGAAGGGATGAGATTGACGGCAGCGAGAGTTTAACACGGCTTGCAAGATTTTCAACATGGATGTCGATTTTGACCGATAATTTCCTTAAAAGGGACCATTAAACGGATTATATCAATCAAGTTAGTAAGTGGAACCGATGTATTATAGCCTAGGCCTAATTTAAAATTGGAAATGAACGAGGTAAAATGACATTTTGGGGGATTTTGGGGGCATAACAATACGGCCGTGGCAAGTTTGTGGGAGGGGCCTAGCGGCTAAAATCTAGCGGAATAAGTTCAACACAGGCTGGCATAGGCAGTCGTTCAGTCTCTATAACCGGAGGTCTAGTGGAGCCAGACGTAGTCTCAGTGGAACAACCGACGATTATAGAGACTGAAGCTTTCGGTCTATATATATGTTATTTTTAATTTGTGTTATAATTGCAGCAGTTATGAGGATGTAAAGAGTGAAAATCTCGTTGCATATCTCATTCATCGCGGTCCGGTCGAACCGAACCATTTGTTCCGTACAGTGCCTCACAGAAAGAGGTCCCCAGACTTCAGTCTCTATAATCGGAGGTCTAGTGGAGCCAGACGTAGTCTCAGTGGAACAACCGACGATTAGAGAGACTGAAGCTTTCGGTCTAGGTTGACTAGGGACTGTTGTCTGTTGATTGTGTCTAGTGTTGTCTGTACTGTAGTCTGCATTGACAATCAATTCAATGTCAAGTCTCAAGACATTTGTCATGTTTGTCTAGACCAAATTTTTCTGTCTCTTTCGTTCGTTAGCCTCTGATTTGGGTAAGGTCGGCTCTCTCTTCTCTCTTTAGAGAGAGCCGACCTAACCCAAATCAGAGGCTAACGAACGAAAGAGACAGAAAAATTCGGTCTAGACCGACATTAGACTAGATTTCTAATTACTATTAGGGTCTAGACCTAGATCTAGTTTCATGAGTTTAGTCTAGACCCTAATCTCTAAATTTTAAATAGACCCTAGACTGGGTCTAGACCTAATTAGATCTATTAGTCTAGTCTAGATTTGTTGAGCCCTAAACTGCCCTAGTTAAAGGCCTTATGAGACATGTCCATTTTCAGGGAAAATAAATAATTTGTTTATTCGTGTGAAACGATGAATTACCTGCTGTAAACGGAAGGGAGACAAGTGATCCGGCGAGAAAAGTAAAAAGCACAACACCAAACTTCATGAGTGGGACCGATGCGCCCATTCTGTGATTCAAATCCGTGGAGATGGCCATTACGATCACACACGGCTCAGCGTCACTGGTAGCCTTGGTAAACCGACGCTAGCCGACCAGTCTCTGCCTCCTACCGAGTTCCGGTTCTAGACTAGGTTAAAAACTAGCATTCTATGAAAAAATGATTTTTAATTGAGGTCGGAAGTGTATCCTGTCAAATTTCTTGATGATTTCGTTTAGAGTAAAACTTGTGAAGAAACTCAAGTTATTGCGAAAGTGATCGAGAACAGCAAGAGCAGACAGAATTTGAAAATCGATTTTTATTGTTAGAAAAATGGCCTATGGTATGCTAATTGTGTATACGGTACGGGGTAACGCCCGAATCCTATGACTCAACGGTATTATTCTTTTCTTCTATTATAAATGTGAACAGGTAAACTAATGATCTTTAATTCAGCCGAGGTTGATTATCTGAGCTGTTTCTGTTTGGTTTTATTTGAAGATTGGTCAGAAATTAACTATTTATTAACTTTTTGTAATATTCTGCTTTTATAAAAGTAGGTTTATTCTACTTTTTTTTAACTATCTTTTCGTTCAAAGTGGTTTTTAACATTTTCCAGGCCGATATGAAATCAGTTTTTATAATTACCTACTGCAAACTATATTAAAGTAAAACGAGCCTATAAATAAGCAATCTGAAGTGCACATTTTCTTCTTTGCTTTCTTTTTTCTTTCCTCCTTCTCCCCCTTTCTTTCCGGGTCGGTCTGTCTTTCTTTTTTTCTCTCATTTCTTTTCTTTTCAATTGATTAACTTAATTATCTATTTATTAATATCTGTATGTTTTCCCTTATCTTCATTTATTCATTCAACTCTCTTTTGAATATTTGTTTTTCTTTTCTTTTCCCATTTTTGTATCATAATTATTTTTGCAAATTCCTAATCAGCGTGTGTCAAGAAAAAACTTGTGGGACTGGGGAGGGGGAGTTCAAAATTATTCGTGAGCGACAATTAATGTCAGAAAACGATAATAGATTCAAAACTTGTTTAGATTAATATAGACCCCTAATAATACTTAAAAAGCTTTAAAATGATATTTTATAGCCCTAGATAGGTCGTCTCACTCTGATAGGATCTACTCCAAAAATGAGTATAGTAAAAAAAAAAAAATGATAAGGTTGTCTAATGTGGTAGTTTTCCAGTCAGGATTTGGAGGGGGTCTATTATCTTGGCCTTGGTAAAACTAAGAATGCTTGATCAATATTGGAACAAGGATTGTATTTATATTTTTTTTTTAAATCATTCAAAAAAATCATAGCAGATGAGCATTAGTAGGAGGGACATGTGCTTACCGACCTCTCCCACATAGCGCCAAAAGCCACATGGGGCCCGTTTCACAAAGCCTTTTTTCAATGACAAATGACAAAAATCAGTGACAAATCTGTTGATAACCAATCAGAAGCAACGATTTCAGTAGCTTATAACAAAATCTGTCATTTGTCACCGATGTCAAGTTTTGTGAAAGCCCCCCCCCCCCCTGGAAGCAGGGACCAGTGTGAGGGATACTCCCTTAAAATTACAAGTGGGGTGCAAACTTTTGCGGTATATATAAGATAAGCGATAGGCGATGAGCCTTTATAATAATTGTTAAAAATCTATTATTTTCTTACTATGTCGATCGCCCATCGCATAAGAGGTATTTGTAGGCTTTGGATGCGGGGACTGGCAGATGATTCAGGATCATTGGGCAATTTCATTTTGCCTTCCCCTCCTCCTGCTCCTACCCCTCCTCCTCCTCCTCCTCCCCTCCCCCTCCTTATTCTCCCCCTCCTCCTCCTCCTCGTAAGACAAACAAAATGTTATCAATAATCAGCAGAAAACAAGACTTATCTTAAACTTGTAGAGACAGGGGCGGATCTAGCTTTTTGCTAAGGGGGTAGGGGTTGACCCAATGACGATGCGGGGCATCGGCCACGAGCCGTGTAGCGCTTTTTTTTTTTCTTTTTTCTTTTTTTTTGTTGCTATTTTAAATCCCCGTAACAATTACATTTTCCTGGCATCTACTAACACAATGGAGACCATAAAAAGGAGTGCATGATAACGTGTTTTTAAATCAAGCAACAGTTATATCCAGAGTTATCATGACAGTTACCAGATGAGTTGAATGACTTCTGACACATGAAGGCGTTTTTTTATGCACATAACAATTTTATTTGGCAGCTCAAGGGGGGGGGGGGGGGGGGGGGGGGGTTAAACCCCTTAATACCCCTTAACCCCCTCCCCGCCACTGAGAGACTGGGCAAGCAAATTTTTGGGCTTGTGCTACCCCCCCCCCCCCCCCCCCCCCACTCCGAGAACGGACGGACCTCATGCGTGTTACCAACATGTCCGTTAAAGGGGCGCTTTTCGTGCGACAAAGTCCGGCCCGAGAATTGTAAAAAAAAAGGGGTATATTAACTTTTCACCCGGAGATTTCTTTAAAAAGGGGGTGTTTTTTCCTTTTTTTTCTCTCATCTCTTTGGACTCCTGAGAAATTATTCCGAATTTAGGGGGTACATTGAGCATTTTTCATGATTTAGGGGGTCTCCAAGGCAGGAAAATCCTAAGAAAAGCCCGCGAAAGGGGGGTTCGGAAATGTTGGCAGTCCTCAGATAGGGGGTGCTTTAAAAAAGAGGGAACAAGCATAATTATGCGTACCCTAAACAACACTGAGTGGGGGGGGGGGGAAGCCGGGGTGCTATACTGTAGAAAAGATCTTAAATGCAACGTTTCAATTTTACGAAATTATAATTTCTCATTCAGCGATGAGCACCTTCAACATCGCAGAAACCATGACTACGTTAGGCGATGAAGGGGAGGGGCAGGTGTTTCTTTCTATTGAAGGGTCTCAGGGACAAAATCGATTTCGTCCTATATATACCTACCTACCTAGTTTGACTAATTATTTAGCATTATGAATTTATGATGATGTATGCGGTTTCTAATACATACTTTCAAATTCAAAGATTCAATATATATAGCCTATTCCTATACACAATAGGTTTTCTCTTGGTCGCTATGTTATAATTCGGTGATGCAGTTTTTGCTCGCATTTTAGAATCCTTGTAGATAAAAAGTATTGCGCAGCGTGCAAATCTTCATTCATAAGACAATCATAATGGCAGCATGTGATCGCCCGTCTGTCTGATTAAATGAAATAAGCATTCATTTGTATAAGTTTATATGGGTTAGTAAGCCGGCGCTCCCCGGAGGCAAGATGACACAGTGCCCCCCCCCCCCCCACACACACACACAACTTTTCAAGTACCCCAAAAAGTGTTCCTTTTTACATTAGATAACTGCCCCATTTCATTTATAATAAATATCCCCTTTTCACCTCCGATAAATTCCCCTATTCGATTCTGATAGGTTGCCCTTTAATTTTGACAAGTGCCCATTTCTTTTCTGACAAATGCCATTTCCCCTCTAATAAGTGCACTTTTTCTTTCTCAAAAGCACCCCTACTAATAAGTGCCCCCTTTCACCTCTGATAAGTGCCCTTGTTCAAATCTGATAGGTGGCCTTTTTACATTTACAAGTGCTCCATTTCCTTTGTTATAAACTCCCCTTCTTAATATAGTGCCCCTTTTCAGGTGCGAGGAGTCCCTCTTGTCACCTCTGATAAGTGCCCTATTCCCTTTTTAATAAGTGCCCATTGAAAATATGATAATCATCCATCCCCTTGTTTCTTTTCATAAGTGTCCTTTTCGTATGCCGCCCTTTGAAAAGTACCCCTTTTCATCTAAGTTTCACATTGTAGCTTATACAGTGTGCCCCGTTTTGCGTTCATATATAGAGCCATATAGTTTCATAGAAAACAGGCCGGTACTCTATGAAAGGCAGTAGCCAGAGGAAGGGGGCATGGGGCACAATCCCATAAATTTCATAAATAACACGAACTGCACCCCATTTAGAAAGAGGATGTCATTTAAGACACATTTTTGCAAGGATTTTCAAAACGAATGTGTTTGAAGTCGAATATTGATAAACGAATACAAAATTGAGGTTTTCTGCGTACAACAGAAAACCTAGATTATGTATTCTTTCATCAATATTTGTCTTCTAACACACTTTTTTTCAGTTGGGGGGGGGGTGATCTTTGCAGAAGTGCGTCCCTAATGACACTCGCTTTCACAATCATTATTACACAATTTAAGTGAAATTTTGCCCATCAGTTTTTTTTTGGGGGGGGGGGGCAAATTTGGGGCTCCCGACACCTTAGAGGGGCTTCAATAATGAGATGTTATCTGTCATAATGTGAACTCACAAGTTTTATTTCGCATTCTCTTAAATAAATCTTTAGGCAATCTTACACATTTGCAAGGTATGTGCTGAAGCATGCAGCTTCTTGGCATTTTATTTTTCACCTCTTACATTTTTGCCTCTCATAATTTTACGTCTAACATTTTCACAATGTCTAACATTATTACCTCTGACATTTTCACCTCTGACATTGTTTCCTTTGCTATTTTCACCCCTAATATTTTCACCTCTAACATGTTCACGTCTAACATTATTAGGCCCTACCGCTGACATTTTTACCTCTGGCATTTTCACGTCATGTCTAACAATTTCACGTCTGACATTTTTACCTCTGGCATGTTAACCTCTTACATTTACGTCGATCTCGGCTGACATTTTTACCTCTGGCATTTCCATCTATTGTATGTTACCGCTATCATTTTTAAAACCGAACACACACCATCATAACAAAAAAAAAACAAAAAAAAATTAAAAATGGCCCCGAAATGGCCGCCCAGCTGAATTCAAATTAACACCACCAGTCAGCCGAGTAATATGTACCATGGCAGGTTATAATGTCAGAGATAATAATTATTAATATTATTAATTTCATTTTATTAATTTGAAGTTCAGTGTAAAATATCTGGGCCTACACAAAATAAAATGGTATCATAAAATGAAAAAAGTAAATATATAATAATGATAAAAACATCAACAATATATAGGATTTTCAGTTCATGGCAGAGGTAATCTAGTGCCCGAAATCAGAATGCCAGTGGTACTTTTTTGTAGTACATTTTAGTAGTAGTAGTAGTAGTAGTAGTAGTAGTAGAGGTAGTGAACTAGTAGTAGTAGTAGTAGTAGTAGTAGTAGTAGTAGTAGCAGTAGTAGTAGAAGTAGTAGCAGTAGTAGCAGTAGTAGTAGTAGTAGTATAGCAGTAATACTGTAGAGGATTTTTTTTCTTGAAATTATGGCCTACCCCCACTCTTACACGTATGTTTGTTCCCTCCCTTTGAAAGTACCCCCCCCCTATTTATTTTGGTGTGTATTACGAGCCGGACTTTGTTGCGTGAAAAGTAGGCCTATACCCCTTTACCGAAGATTTTGGGAATATAAATGTGGTCCCTCCAGTCCCGGAGGGGGGGGGGGGGGCGCCGGGGGCCTATATACATCCTCGGTCATGAAGGCCCTATTGAATTGGGGGAGGGGGTGAGTTCCGCTGGCCTTTTTGTTTTAACTGTAGAAAAACTTTGTTTTTTTTTAGTCTCTCCCTATCCTTTTTTTTTTTTTTAAAGAAGGGTAAGGCAACTGTATTACCCCCCAGAGGCGGCCCTCCCGGGGGGAGGGGGCAGGGGGGGGGGGCACAATGCCCCCCCCCCACTTTTTTAGATACCCCAAAAGTGCCCCTTTTACTTTGACAAGTGCCCCTATTACTTAGTAAACGTGCCCCTTCCCCCTTTTCATCTCTAACGAGTGCCCTTTTTATTTTTGACACGTGCCCCTTTTCCTTCGACATGTTCCCATTTTCCTTTGCAATAAGTGTCCTTTTTCCATTCTCATAAATCTTGAAATTATCTTGAATAAGTGCCATTTTTAATCTCTAGTAAGTGCCTCTTTTCAGGTACGAGAAGTGCCCCTTTTCACTTTTGATAAGTGCCCCCTTCACCTCTGATGATCGCCCTATTCAAAACTGAGAGATGCTCCTTTTACTTTGACAACTGCCCCTTTTTTTCCTTTGTAAAAAGTGCCCCTTCTCCTTTTAATAACTACCCCTTTTTTAAACTCGTATGAGCACACCTTTCATTTTAATATGTGCCCCTTTTATTTTCTAATAAGTGCCCCTTTTCCTTATGATAAGTGCTCCCATTAAAAAGAGAGAGCTCCTTCCCCTTCTCATAACTACCCCTTTCCCTTTCTAATAAGTGCCCCCTTCTCATTCAACAAATGCACATTTTCCTTTATAATAAGTGCCCCTTTTACATTTTCATAAGTGCCCCTTTTTTTATATCTGGTCAGTGTCCCTTTTCACCTCTGATAATTCCCCTTTAATAATGATACGTGCCCCTTTTACTTATAAATGACCCTATCAGAATCTGATGGGTGCCCCTTTTCCGTCAACAAATGCCTATTTCCCATTTTCGTAAACGCCTCTTTTTCATCACTGGTGAGTGCCTCTTTTCAGGTGAAAAAATGCCTCATTTTCACCTCTTATAATTATCCTTTGTACTTCGACACGTGCTCCTTTTCTTTTCTAATAAGTGTCTTATCCCCTTTCGATAATTGCCCCCTTTTCATGTAATCATTAAACGTGCCCCTTATTTAAAGCGACTAAGAGCAATTTCCCCCAAAGTTCGCTCGCTGCGCTCGCTCGCATTTAAAGATGATATAATTATGTTACTTATCAAAGGTCTTTTCAGTCTTCCGTTATGAGAATGTGCTTATAACCCCATCACGATTGGCTTTTTTCCTCTTTATAAGATGTAATTTTTCGCACTGTGACCTCACAGATCTTTAAAATTTTTCTCGCTCGCTTCGCTCGCTCGTAAATGCATATTCAGACATCACACCCAACTGTACAGTATGATGCATAAGCGATATCTTGTATGATGTATGAAGAGAAACTTAATAATGAAATCATCCCTGATCATGTAGAGGTATATACCAATGTCTAAAAAATGGTATATTTTCGCTTTGAGATTTCTCAATAATGTAGGTGCCTTTTTTTCTCCAGAAAGTACCCCCCCCCCCCCCCCCCCCCACTTTGGAAGTCACTCGGCCGCCCCTGTATACCCCTCGAATCGAATCCTCAATCCTCTCATTGCTGTAAAAAAATGAGAGCGTCAAGCCTTTTTATTTCACAATGCAGTACGTACTACTTACGTATGTATACTATTCTCATCAAGACTAGACCCCAAAAGACAGGTACAATTGATCAACAGTAGTAGCATTGCTAGAATCCAAGCAACGTACCGCTGTACCCGTTATTGCGTTTTACATCTATCTTTTGATGCAGTCCCTTTACTGGTTTGACTGTGTAAATCAACTAAGATGGCGGAATCTCAACCGGTTGCAACTGCTCTTGCAGGTTCGTATTATAACAATGGCTTGTTTAATTTTTGTACTCCCGTTACAACATATTTGATGATTTTGTCATGAATTATTAATTTGCCGTTGAATATTGTTATAAACTGACTCAGATTGTTGGATTGATTGGTGATAACGGTGCGACATGAGTGCGACTGTTGAGACTTTTTTTGAGAGTGTTGTGAAAAACCCGCGCTAATGCCAATGGTTGATTTGTTATTGTGCCATATGTAATGCGTTTACTGAATTGGTTCAATGTTACTCGCGCTCGCAATGCAAAATTGCAATGTGCAAAGTCTTGGACTTGGATACAATTGGGGAATCTATGAGTATTCTGGTGAAATAAACCATTGCTCAATGCTCATGCATCTGCCTAAAGAGCTCAGACGCCAAAGACGTCTGAGCTCCAGTGCAGAGCCCGGGTAGGAAAACGATTCTAACAGCGGGTTGGGTCACATTTTTTCGAAATGTAAAGAGGTTTGTAGAATCTAGGTCTAATTACAATTTTGACTTGGGGTCTACAATGTCTTCGACTCCTCTGGGCATCTGTCCAAACACTTGAAAATTTGAAATTATAATTTGAAGAAGTCTTTAAATGGAAAAAAAAGGTGATTCCTCGCCCTAACCCGATTCAGCGCTTGTTCAGAAGCCTATATGCAAAATTTGACCCGTAACTCCGGCGTGGAGAACATACCCAAAATGAAGTAAATATTCATAAAATGTCCAAATAAAGATCATAATCTAAAAGTTGTTATGTTTATTACCTGTTTCGTGTCAATTTTCTTGTTATTTTTGGAGTATTTTTCAGAAAAACATTGATATTAGTATACACTTTTTCACAGGTTTCATGGCAAACCGCTGCACAATACAAGTGCATACCGATGGTGGGTTGCGGGCGGGCGCGCGCCTGTGTGAAGTTATTTACCGTAATGAGGATCTGAGAAATTACGGTAGATATCTGATAATAATCATTACTTCAAAGTTCAAATGTTTCCAAGCATTGAATTTTGATAAACTTGTCCAATCAAAGTTTCACCTTTACAATAATGAATATAGTCGGATTCAAAAGTTAGTTTTTTTTCTCGCAGCTACTTTAACAGAATCAATGGAATCACTTTTTCAGATGCTCGGTGCGAAAATTTCAGAAGCGTTATAGAATGTATTATTCTACTTTCTAAACACTTTTTCTGCCTCTGCCCTCGGAAGTTGGTGCTGGAGGCACTATAAATGTTTTCAGGATGTCCGTCAGTCCCTGTGTTTATCCCGCTCTCTTGTTATCACGATATATGAATTTCAAACTTGATGATTGTATGTATAACACTTGGAACATGATCTGATATAGACTAAGAAGTTCAAAGTTCATAGAGGTCAATTTATTAAATTACAGGTTTTAGCTTCATTATCGCAATATCTAAGTTATGAACATCTACATGTAACATGATGATGGGGTGTACCACCCTAGGCCTAGGGAGATGATCTGATTATAATAATCTTCTTCTTCTTCTTCTTCTTCATTTGGTATTATACATGTAATGGATATTAGTCAAATTTGACCATTGTTGCCAATTTCATCGCATCTCTTAATGTCTTGGTAATGTTATTATTTTTTTCCAATCTCATTTAATATAATATTAGTCATAGTCTACCCAGTGTTATGTAACAAAAAACAAAAACAAAAAATTATTTCAAATTAAACCACGATCCGCACACAGTTCCAATTCACGCTAGCCCTGTCCTTTCTATGATGCCTTCTTACCAGCCCAGCGAGTTACGTTACGCCGTACGCTTCTCGGTTGATAAACTCAACCTAGGTCACTCTGGCATAGACAAAGGGGCGTCGTGTACCTGTATGTTTAGAGGGTTTATTTATTTATTTGTTAACGTATATCAGGAGAAAATCAACTGCAAAAACAGGCAAAAGCAAAACACTTGTGGGCTTTATTAGTTTATTTGAGTTAGTACATGAGATTATTTATATAGTGCATGACTTTTAACTACTATTATTATTTTATTTGTTTTAATTATTTGTTTGTTTTATTTTTATTTTTTTATTTTTTAAAAATAAATTAAGAGGCCTAAATAAGAGATAGGTATAAGTATGGTATGTCAAAGGTCAGAAAAGAAAACTTCTTTGAAATTTCAGGTTTTCAGTCCTGTTTCAATATTTTAAATTTAAAACTGCTTCAAACTTAGTGATAATATGCATAAAGTAGTTAGATATTGAGAATAACTACATGTACATGTAAGCATATGATCATCAAAGTCAAATCCATGAAATTCTTGTTTTTTAGCAATTGTTTTTCGCGATATCTAATTTTAAAGTATCAGTTGAAAAAACGGACCCATACCTTGATACTGAAATGTATCACCAAAGAGCAGGGTTTCAGAGGGTCCAGATGTGGATTCCATAAAACCTTAAAGGTACGAAATATGGGAAGCCATTCGGCGAAAAATTATCAGGGTCATTCATATAGTCGTCATATGAAGTAGTTCAATGTACTATGAATCATTGAAAAGATGGACAGAACTTGAACATATTAGTCAATTTTCAAATAAAGGTGGTTTTAGGTCTATATCTGAACTAATGGGAATAGTGACAATTAAAAAAGGAAGCAAAGCCTTCCAGGCAGTCTGTATTGACATGCGCGGCGGTTCGGATGCGTACCCGGGTCTGGACGTTGAGTAGCCCTGCCAAAGTGGGCTGAAATGATTAGATTTTAGGGTTGTTGGGACAGAGGTTAGTGGCCATTAAATTCTATGTTTCTGTCTCATTTAACAAATCTCAATATTTCAAGGACACTTTGAGCCGTAAACTTCAAACCTATACCTTTACAAGTACATGTAAATGTATGTAACACCTTTAGGGAGATGGACTATAGTATGTCAAGATGTTGGGGTAATACTTACATTGTAAGTCACCCAAAGAAAATTCATGACAAATAAGGACAAATTACATGTACATGTATATATGGATGGAAAAATTTCTCTCGAAAATTACGATTAATTTGCTGAAAAAAATCGTAAAATGGCTTTGTGGCTTGCTGTGTCTCGCATGTGATGTCACAAATCTTGATGCCCTACAGAGAGGAACGCTGAAGGCAGAAAATCTGGATATCAAATAAACATTTATGAGAGATGATTACTGCGGGCCCCAAAGATATTTTGAAGAGGGAAGTTATATTTGATCAGTAAGGCTTCCCCTTTGCATCGATTCAAAACACTTTTGAATCTTTGGGTGGCTACTTTAATAAGTTGGTGTCTGCATGTGTTTTATTATTCCTGTATAGGAGATTCGTGTAACCCTGAGCTGTCTAATGGAGAGGAAGCATCGGTTGCTATGGACCAAGACAAACAAGGCATCAAGGTATACCTCACACAAGCTCAATTATCACTATCAAAATAATGTTTATTATAAATAAATTATATTTTGTTTAAACAATGCAACATTAAAAGAAGAAGAGAAATAGTGCTCCATATAAAATCATGTCATTTCTTAACATAAGAGATATTATAACAGGCCTTTAAATCCTGATTAGACTGAAATTTTGACCAGATTTGAATAACAGTGAGATAGGACTAGGGTATGGTTTCCGGAAAGAAGTGAGTCTTTGAAACGTTTTGCTAATATTAGTAACATGTACATGTACCTGTACACTTAAGTTGAGAAGTTGGGCATTTCAATTCCAAAAGCAAATTGATGTGGGTGATTAATACTAATTTTTGATCATGCCAATAATAAGGATAATAATAATGATGATGATGATGATGATGATTATGTTGATGGTGATTGATGATGATGATGATGATTATGATGATGATGATGATGATTATGATGATGATGATGATGATGATGATGATGATGATGATGATGATGATGATGATGATGATGATGATGATGATGGTGATGATGATGATGATGATGATGGTGATGGTGATGATGATGATGGTGGTGATTGGTGATGAGGATTATGATGATGATGATGATATTCATAGTTCAGACACTATGCAAATGTATTCTACCCTGCTGTACTACTTTTCAAGTGGTACTATAGTACTGTTCTTTCATAGGTAAAGTAATGTATCAATGTCTTGTGTAGGCCATGACATGATGCATGAAATCCAAATACAGATTTATGAAAAATTACATTAACTTGTCATGTAAGAAGAAAGCCAAATTAAAAATGTTGAGAATTTTCTAAATAAATGACAGCTAGCATGATTGTATCAAATTAGTTGATAACATTCTATAGTAGAATTGGGGTTTGGTAATTAAAACCTAGTGAAAAATAAACATACATGTACACGTGTGCTTTACGATTGCTATCCAGTTGGGAATACTGCTATATATATATATAAAGCAGTCTAGGATATGAAAAAGGGATGAAGGAAGGAAGAAGGATGTAAGGTTTAGTCATTACTATTAAACAACAAAACACATGTACTATAATAGATGTTCAGTACAGAGAAGGATTTCAATACACTAATATGATCTTTTTGTACATTTGAATTGCAAATCTCTGAAGAATTATTGATGTAAACATGGTGTTTATTTTTGTCTTCTCAGCGTCCAGCAGAGCAGCAGATAGGACCTGATGATATCAATAAAGGTACTGTGGCTCTCTCTCTCTCCCTCTCTCCCTCCCCCTCTCACTCTCTCTCTCCCCCCCTCTCTCTCTCTCTCTGTCTCTCTGTGTGTGTGTGTCTCTCTCTCTCTCTCTCTCTCTCTTTGTCTTTCCCTCAACATCATGTCATATCATTCACACCCCCTGCTAAGTCACATGTACATGTACTTCCAAGCAAAGTTCATGAAAGAGAGAGAAGTGTTGATTAGTTACAAATCATTTTACTTTAAACTTTTGTTTTTCATTATGTTTTTGCAAGCAGTGATTTTATGCAAAATGGGCATTGAATCTTTCATACAGTGTACATGTATTTACTCGTAAATGTTGAATAGTACACTTGAAATATTTAAGTATACCTGCCAATATATTCAACAGCACATTAGTGATAAATGAATAGAGAGCAGCTAAAAATGAAACACTCCTAATAGAAAAGGAGCCTGTCTTACAAGAGAAGATATCAATATTACTAGCTGCACTGACATTTAAAAAAAAATGAAATGTGACATTCTTATCAAAATTGCTCAAATTACTAGTGTATTACTTTAAACCAGAGACTTTTGTACATGTAATTTTTCAGACTATGAAGGCATTCCACATCTTTGAGAGTTTACTGCCCAAAATTATTTAATAAAAACATTGATTTTTTGCTACTGGGAAAGTGTATTGCCAGTAAAAAAATTGCCAAAGCCACCTGTTTTAATATAGTAAATATTAATCCACATAGCCCTAAAGAGTTGTCCTATATTTCTTCATAAACAAATATTATCTTGACCATGATATCTTGTATGATATGATTTAGGACATGTACAGTGCGACCCAGAAAAAACGAAACCAAGAATTATCGATGTTTTATCGTAACTTAATCACAATTTATAATGAATAAATGACACATATTTGTAAAGCTTAGAATATCCTCTTTCATTTGATGCAACTCATATGATACATATTTCACGCATGAGTGATTGAAAGTAACTTGAAGGAAGGAAAACGAAAAGTCATTTGGCGGGCGGTATCTGAATTTTGAAGAAAAATTAACATTTCTAGAAAATTCATTTTCTGCTCTTTCATATGACACCTCAATCAGGAAAAATTGAGCCAGGAATAACAAAGTTCTGTTTGTGTAAATTGATGCTTGCATTTCCATAATTTGATTAAACAATTTTTTTTTTCACTGGCTGCCTGCCTTATAATTATAATTATAATTGTGATTAAGTTATGATAAAACATAGATAATTCTCGGTTTCGTTTCTTCTGGGTCGCACTGTAGTGTGAGGGTTAATCATAACATTTTTGGCACTTGATTCTTGGAAGGAAGAGAGGCAGGAAGTACATAATTTAGCTTCAATGAATTTGCTCCAAAACTCTACAATCTCCAAATACTTGGGGATTTCAAGAAGATTATCTAACGATCCAGGCACTCCTGTGTTAAGCTAACCAATATTTAAAGGTGCCATTGAACTTTTTGACATTATCATGAAAGTTGTCAAATATTTAATCAATTGGCTAATTGTGGTTCCAGCCTACAAAGTGATTGTATCTTTATCTTCCCGTTTTGTTATCAGTGTATTTGGGTAAAAAGGAAGTTTTAATATTCTTCGAAATGCCGGATATGTCAAGGTTTTGCATGTATCATTAATGACAAACAAAGTGGTTTGTCATCAAATGCAACATCCTCTTCTGGTGCAGATATTATGTGATGTACATTTATGAATAACCATGTACAGAATCCAGACATACATGTATGTGTGCAAGTTAGTAAGGTGCAGTGTAGTGTTAATTCTGTATGATAATATACATGTAGTTGTATTAGAATGTTACAAAACAAAAGATCATCATCTCATTGTCCTTTGTACTTGTTACTTTAGCATTTGTCAGTAGTCTGGTTTTCTCTTTTGTAATCCTAGAATTCAAACCAGAAGAACCAGGGGAATTCCCTAAGGCTGATGATGATGTCATAGCACAGAGAGCTGTCTTTGCCCCAAGTGCATGTATGTCATAAAAACCAATTCATCTCATTACTATTCTATGTATACTGTGAGAGGAATTGAAGAATTACTGTCAGTCTTTGTTTGTATATTAAAGGCTGCAATCTTGTTCAGAGTATTTAGAGTGCTTACTTATTATGCTGCCTTCAGTTTATATTTACATCTTTTGAATGTGGCAATTTGTTCTGTTTGTCAAAAGTCTTTCTTTTTTTAAATGAAAAATAAATGTAAATAACTTTTAATGGTGGGACAAATTATTCTTGACGAGATCGAAGAGAAATGAATGTTGAGAACTAAAAATGAATTATTCACATCAAATTTTAGATAGAAATGTACATGTACATGTACAACATTTAAGTAAAGAGCAAAGAATGCTTAAAATAAATAAAACCAACGATGATGGGTACATGTACATGCAGTACATGTGGTCTGCTAATTGTGTTTTCAGTGATTGTGATTTCCAGGAAGTTTTCATTACTTCACACAAATATTTTGCTGATAACACACAATGTATTATTACTTCAAATTCAATTTCATTAAAGGGATCGTTTAACAATGTTAAATCTGAGATACACGGCCCTACGTGTCATATGTGTCTGTGATATGGTGTAATTTTGAAGCCCTAAAAAAATCTCGCTTCATAATGATCAAGAAGTGCCTCAAAAAAGTAAAAAATCTTTGAGTGACCAGTTTTACCATACTCGTTTTCCCCAATAGACTGTAGTGTTATGAAAACCGTCAGGTGAACGGTTTTCAAAATTTGTAATTCCAATCATAAATATCTTGATAATCAGACAGGCGATCGGCTTGTAAAAGTCATTGGGTTCCTGACTGACCTAAAGGTTTATAATTATCATTGCATCATGAGCTAAATCCAGAATTTTGTTTCAGAATCTGGATCCCTTTAATAGAACTTTACTTAGGCATTGGTTTAAATGTGCATTGATTTATTGTACACATTTGCATGCTATTATTGGCAGTGAGAAATCCAAATACACAGGGATCATAAGTGATTGAGCTTTTGGAAATTAAAAAAAATCTTTTGGCACTGTTTGATGAAGAATCAATAACAAGTACATTATTTAAGGCATTGTTTTTTAATTACAAAGACACCAGAAATCCATGTACTATTCATCATGCTATTATTATTTGAATCTATACTGGTATATGTTTGTATTACAGTTCCAACAATGGGGGAGGAAGATGATAATGCCATTGATGGTGAGTGCTGTGTATCACTTCCTTGTTACATCTAAGCTAACGAATGTGGAGAATTCTCCAGTAACATACCAGTTAGTGTCAAAGAACTTGTCAATTTGAGATTTCTACATGCATATTGTCATGTTATATTCATAACTTTGATATTGTAAACTTTCCAGTTATTTGATGCATTTTTAAATTATTTTTTCTTAATTTTAGTTTAATAGGTAATTATATAAAACATGTTTGACATAATAATTACATATTTTTTTTACATAGAAAGAAATTAGAGGTCTTGATTGAATCTATGCATGTTATTGAGTCTGCACAAGTATATGTGAACAAGCAACTGGTATTTTTTTGGAACATTAAATGGAGAGGGTCGTCAGTTTCCATGTGCAGAAGGCCATAATTAGATGACACCAGACTTGGTGGAAAATGGAAATACCATTAATGTGTGTACAAGTCTGCACACGTCAAACCCGTAGTCTCTCAGAGAGTCTTTGGTGAGGGAAAAGTGAGATTACAAAAGGCCTGTCAGTCTTTAAAAAGAAGGCTGATCCTGGTGATTGACAACACCTGTTGTTGGGTAAACACCCTAATGATGTCAAATTTCCCGTAGGCCTGTCTTTATCAGCTCGAGTTTGCCAAATAACCCGCTACTTTAACTATCCTGATTGCAAATTAACCAGTTAATTTACATCTTCAACAGCCGGCAGTTGCATTTAGCGGGATATTTGGTCGAGAAAATATCCCAAGAAATCTTGGGTCTTGTTTCCAAAATATCCTGCTATTCCGCTAATTTGCGCCCGTCCGAGGATGTTTATAATGAGCGTATCGGTCTGGTGAAGACGCAATTTTGAGCTTCGGGATAATATCCCGATAATATCCCGAGTCTGAAATTAGCAGGTTATTTGGCAAACTCAAGCTGATGGAGACAGGCCTTATGAGAGCCCGCTCTTACATGTACTTAAAGGGGATAGTATTGTGATCAGACATGTACATTTTATGGAATGGAAGTGAAAATAAAGAGTAATGAAAATGTTTTTCTTAATTCAGAAGATGGTTTTAGCAAGCCTACTTTCAGACTCAACCCACCTACCCTGATCCATGGACAGGCTAAATCAGCTCCTACATCAAATTCAGGTAAGATAATCTCTCTGATTACATCTAGAGCATTATTATAATAAAGTCGAGGTCTGGTCATGCGATTGCATTGTGAAAGAAACAGTGTGGAATCGCTATAAAGATGTATATGGGACTACACGAAAATCTGTCCCTATTTTTAATGCTGTTACACGCCATATTTAGAATATTAAGGCATTTGAAGAGCCATGCTTATTTTTTTATTAGGGAACATTCTTAAGCTGATGTTCCTTTTCAGGGAACATCCTTTAGCTGATGTTCTTCCCAGAACTCAACCTTCTCTTTAATTGAATTCCCAAATATCTACTTGATAATAAAAATGTCTCTTTGTATTGCACTGTTATCTGCCTCGGTACAAAACATAGTTAAGTACACAACAAAATATGCTCTACACACAAGCCTGTCCGTGCAGACGAACGAGTGGTTTCCAAAACCACATTATAGCCGATTTATCATAAGTGGCTTTAAAAAAAACAGAGTTATGACTTTGTAAGACAATATCTCTGATTGTTTACATGCAATAGCCAGTGAACATCTGGGCCCTGTCTTACAAAGAGTTGAAATCAATCGCAACTTATTTACGATTGATATAATCACAACGATGTACATTGTAGAGAAAGGAGACTGCAAACTTTTGAATGATAAGAGGACTTGCGATTGATTTGGATCAATCGCAACTCTTTGTATGACAGGGCCCTGGCCTGGTCACGCTTGCCCATGTACTTATTTTACATTTTGATTTGAACGTATTATTATATTGTCGGAAATAGAAAATAAAATGTTTGCTATGCTGCTATCCTTATATTTATTATGATTATAATCATGAATGTTGTTATTATTATTGGTGTTTTTAATTATTGATATTATTATGCTTCTTCTTCTTGTTATTGGTTTTATTGTTGATGTTAGTGTTGTTGTTATTATTATTATTATGATTATCATTATTATTGTTATTTTGTATAGATGGTGAGGAGAAAGAGAATGAAAACAAACCATTATTGAGACCTTCAGCTCTCAACAACCATGGGTTTTATTGTTGATGTTAGTGTTGTTGTTATTATTATTATTATGATTATGATTATGATTATTATTGTTATTTTGTATAGATGGTGAGGAGAAAGAGAATGAAAACAAACCATTATTGAGACCTTTAGCACTCAACAACCATTGGTTTTATTGTTGATGTTGTTGTTGTTGTTGTTATTATTATGATTATCATTATCATTGTTATTTTGTATAGATGGTGAGGAGAAAGCGAATGAAAACAAACCATTATTGAGACCTTCAGCACTCAACAACCATTGGTTTTATTGTTGATGTTGTTGTTGTTGTTATTATTATGATTATCATTATCATTGTTATTTTGTATAGATGGTGAGGAGAAAGAGAATGAAAACAAACCATTATTGAGACCTTCAGCACTCAATAACCATGGAAAAGGTGAGTTATTAACTCCAATGTTTTGTTTCTAAAGGCAACTTTGTGACAAACTACAGATTAAGTGCCAGGCAGTATCTATTACCTAGATAATTCACTTACGTAAGTGACAGACAGGTGACAGACAGAAATTTCCTGTGAAAATCCTGTGAAATTTCTCAATAAGGGAGAATTTTCTTGGTTTGTTGTAAGATTTTTTGCGGAATAATTGATGACAAACAGCGAATTATCTAGATAGCTTTTTTCTAGATAATTGGCTTCTGTCTGACACTGCCTATAGTGAATTTGAATTGAATTGAATTGAATTGATTTATTGTCCATGATATGGAAATTCATTGTTCACTGGTACAATTGTGTGTTACAAGGAAATGTACAAAATTAAACAGATTATAAAACATAATAACAACATAACATCAATGGCGTTTCATCTAAAAATAAGATCTGATTACTTGTATAGGAATGGAATGGAGGAAAGAAAAAAAATAAAAAGGGTACAGTGTCTACATTGATTGCCCTCGTTTTACCATACTGTTGAACATGTGAGTTGAATCTGGTATAAATGAGCGTCTGAAGCGTTCCCGCCTAGTGCGGGGAATGCAGAGGCGAATTCCTGAACGGTTGAAATTATAATTATAATTATAATTAGTGTGGTTCATTAATATCCGGACAAGTAAAATTTAACTTTAATGATAATACCGGTAATGATAATAAAAGGATCACATTCACGAAAGTAAGCACTGTCCTAGCGTTAATGGCTTCCAATGTGTAACCTCTATTGAATTCTCTAATATCCGTAGGCCAAAAATTTGATGACAAAATTTCACTGAAATTGTATCATAATGTGAAAGAGAATGTCATTTAAGACACATTTCTGCAAGGATTTTCAAAAAAAATGTGTTTGAAGTTGAATATTGATGAAAGAATACAAAATTTAGGTTTAATTTTCTGTGTACAATAGAAAACCCAAATTATGTATTCTTTTATCAATATTTATCTTCAAACACATTTGTTTTTGGGGAAATCCTTGCAGAAGTGTGTCTTAAATGACATCCTCTTTCACATTATGATACAATTTAAGTAAAATATTGCCATCAAATTTTTAGGGAATTTGAGACTCCCAACACTTCAGAGGGGCTTTAAGCGTATTGGTAATTTTCTTCTCTGTTCGTGTCCCTATCTGACTAGATGAAGGAGGAGAGGAGAAGCCCGTCAACCCAATGCAGCCCGATGGAGCTCACAGTGTACCCTTCGCAATGGCAGAGAACAATAGTAGTGAAACAGATAACGAGGCGAACAAAAGGACTAAATTATTCCTACCTTTCACCACCCGTGATACAAGTGAAAGAGACTTGGGTTTTGGTGTGTTTGGCAAGTTCCGTGATAGTGCTTATAGGATTGGATTCACGGAGCAGGATTGCCATGGTAACGCTTCTAATTCAGCCGATAAAGAACCCGATCCTGTCAGCCACGAGGGAGCGACGCAAGAGAATTACTTCAAGCAGTTTGCAAGTAAACATGACACGTAAGTAGGATCAATTTCTTCCTCGCATTTTAATATTGCAAATTGTGTATTGATTTAAAGGCAAAAACGTGATGAAATTACTGTAGAAAAAGAGAAATGCATCTTCACTCAAGTTTACCTCAAAGTGCATTACTTAAAGATAAAGTGAGTTATGGTCATGCGATCGCATTGTGAAAGAAATGGTGTGGAATCGATCTGAAAGTGTTGATTATGTAGCATATATATAAGTGTTTGTGTGTACTACAAGGTTCTGGAATCATCAAAATGGTAAGAAATTTGGCCCAGTTTTGGTGAAAGGAACAAGCATTGTACACAGAAAGCTGTATATGGGTCTACACAAACAGGTGACATAAACATGAGGCCCACATTTTTAAGCTGTAAAATGTCATATTTAGAATATGTAGGCATTTGAAGAGCCATGCTTTTCAGGGAACATTTTTTATCTGATGTTCTTCTTATTTGCATAACAACAATGATAGCGCTCACAAATTATTTGTCACCTCTTCCCAGAACTCAACCTTTTCTTTAAATTATGACTGGATTTAATGTGCAATATTGGTATTCTGTGTATATATATACATGTATCAGTCTGTGATTCTTTCAAATATGCAACAGGAAACTATTATTATGCTTGTAATTTTACAAGTCATGTTATTGTGGTTTAATACATTGCAGAATTAGCCTGGAGAATTGTAGCTAGTGTCAATAAACACTTTGCCAAAACTGCTAATTCATTTTTCTTGGCAAGGCAATACTGCGAGAAATGCCAGATATCAGTAATAATACTGCAGTGGGTAAAATAGGAATACAATTTGCTGTCAAATGCAGGAAATATTTGACCAGTTGGAGATGAGTCCAGTATTGTTTACAAATCAGGTTTGAAGTCTTTCCTGTGTTGGCCGAATTAAGACAACAAATATTATGATTGTTATTCCAATTACATTAAACAACTATTTTTACTTCTTGCATTTTGGCACCATTATTCATACTTAAATTTCCATATTTCCCTTTCCTCATGAACTGCAAGGTTAAGTATGATGTACTCTCTAGTTCATTTTGCAAAGCGTGTCTGACATTGATAAGCTTTGTCAAACTTGAGGAATTTGGTAAATGCAACCAATATTCTTAAAGGGGAAGTCCACTCTGAAATTAAGGTAGTTTTAATAGGAGTAGAAAAATGAGAGAAACAAGTCAGTGAAAGTTTGAGCAAATTCCGATTAAAAATAAGGAAGTTAGGATTTTTGAAGTTGTGATCAATCAAACACAAATTGGCAACTCTATGACGTATCATGCGAGCTCAACTTCCATTGGCTCAGTACTAAAAAAATCTATAATTGTCATTTTCCCTCAAGAAAAATTTTAACCATACATGCACCCTAAATATAATAATTGCAAATATGTTTCTATACTCCCCCTGCAAGGAACAAATATATATTCCGTCATCAATTACGAAGAAAACATGATTTCATGGAATATTATGCACAAAGCAAATGAAGGAGAGCTTGTATAATAAGTCACAGAGTTGCCAATTTGTATTTGATTGATCACAACTTCAATAATTCATAACTTTCTTATTTTCATTCAGAATTTGCTCAAACTTTCACTCACCTGATTTTCTTATTATTCTGCCTCTATCGAAACAAACTTATTTTGGGGGTGGACTTTCCCTTTAAGTAAGGTTGCGCAATACCTATTTTGTCAATTTTTTTTTTTACCTGCACGTGATCAATGTTTCATATACAGTCACTGTAGACAGGTGGCCTATATAGAGAGGTGGTCGCTTATACAGGTTTGACTGTATTAGGAAATCCAGAGTTAGAATAGTGGTCGAGCTTACCGAAGTTATGAAGTTGACCAAGGATCATTAATATGTTAACAAATATCACATAGATTTGAATTTATAGAAGAAAAAAGTTGATACGCATAAAATGTGATTCCTGTTTCTCCCGAGGGCCCCAATTAAAACATATGTTGTCTTTGCGCGCAAGGTGTTCAAAGTAAAAATATGTAAGTATCAAGCCCCTTTATATGGACAAAACCACAGTCATAGCATTCATTTATGTTCATTCTGAAGTAAGTTTTTTTGTTTTTTTAATTAGCCGAGATTTGAACAGTTCTGGAGACAGTCCAAGCAGTCTATCAAGCTCATCAGGATCATCATTCCTTTTCGGACAAAACATGAATGAAAGAGTAACGGTAAGACTACCATACCCTTACCGCCACCCCTTATCCCTCTCTTCCTCTCTCTCTCTCCCTCTCTCCTCCTCTCTCGCTCTCTCTCTCTCCTCCTCTCTCTCTCTCCCCCTCTCTCTCCCCCTCCACATTTCTCCAAACCGCATATTATGTTTCATTATGATGTCTCAAACATGAATAAACAAAAACAACAATTAATTATTTCTGTTATTGTATGTACCCAACATGATCAAGATCATCACTCTTGCTGACATTGAAATTTGACGCAAACAATAATCACAAACTGATTATTGGTATCATATTTCAAAGTCTAGGCTCATTAGGAGGAATGAACAGATACAATCTATTTCACAGAGGAACATCCATGTCAGAGTAAGAATAAAGAACATGTATTGATATGAATCCTTTGTTTTTATCATCAGAGTCCTAACAGACAAGAAGGAGAATTACAATCAGCTGGTGAATTAGTGTTTGGTAACAACCTTGCTTCAAGAATCAAGGTGAGTTTAATAATAATAATAATGATATTGGGTTCTTGTATAGCGCTCGTATCTGTCAGACTTGACACTCCTGGCGCTCCCGATTATTATCCTGGCCTTAACATGGCTGCCATTACAGCGCTCCAGCATTTCAAGGAATTAGTACCTGCCAAGTATCCATTTACATCACCTGGGTTGAGTGTGGCAAAAGTAGATCAATGTCTTGCCAAAGGACATAAGTGCAGCGGCAGGACTCGAACCGTGGACGTTGTGATCTACAGTCCGGTGACGTATCCACTCGACCATGACACCTCTCCCTCTCTCTCCTGAACATAATTCTGTCAACTTTGTGACTATTTTCAATTCAATTCAATTCAATTTTGGTTTTATTAAAAATATACCAAATAAAAAGTCCAAAGACTAACAGTAATTGGCTCACATTGTATCATATAAGAATGCATTAAAAACAGTAGATTTAAAAATTCAGTAATAAGTTAAAGTACATTGCTCACATTGTATCATATAAAATGCATTACGAACAGTAGATTTAAAAATTCAGTAATAAGTTAAAGTACGAAAAAATATCATGAACAGAAAAAGAAAAAGGAATGATTGTAAATTGTGATATACATGTAAGTAATTTTGTTTAAAAACAATACGTTAGATGACATGTTAAAATGTTTGTGTTTTCTTTTGCTTTCAGAGTGATGGCTTTAATGAAACATCCCCTGAGAAAACCAAAGGTGAGTGTACTCTGTTAGTCTTTCAGTCTCGTTTTTCTTTTGGAGGAGGCGTGATAGCTTAGTCGGTAGAGCAGTGGTCTCGTAATCCGGTGACCTGGGTTCAAAACCAAGGCAATGCGCTAGTGCCCTTTGGTAAGGCATTAATCCTCATTACCAGGTCCATCGGAGAGAACCTAAAGCCGTCGGCCGTCCAGTTGTTTACTTACAAGCATTTATGCTTTCTTAGCAGTCGGGTAAAATAACTACCACCGCCACCATCTAAACCTCAACACAAATTTTTGTAATGGAATATGAAAATTTAAATCTTGCACTTCTGCTCATTCTGGTCTGAGATTTCATGTTCAGCATTATTATTAAGTATTTGGTGTCACCTGTGCCTGGGAGGGAAAAAGCTGTCTGAATCACTGTGAACCTCAGTCTCTCCTCCAGCTTTAACTGATTGGGGGGGGGGGGGGTGCAGGTGGACTACTACAACAAACCAATTACCAAAATAACATATGCAACCGGCAGAATTTAACCCTAAGTACATGCAGCCAGCAGCCTATGCAACATTTTGCTTTGATGTTGTATATATCCTGATGATCTATTAATAGCCCAGTGCAGTTAGGTTTGATTATAAAGGGAAGATAAATAGATATTCTAGGTCACATCTGATATCCTGTTATTGATTTTATTGAGCTTCCATCATGAATATCTATAAGCTGTAATGTTGTGTCCAGAGTAATACAATTCTAATTCTAATACAGTCTTGTTTCCTTCCAATGATAATATAGTAAATGTTTTATAATGATAATAATAATAATATTCAGCTTTTATATAGCGCTTAATACATCTCGGACGTCTCTAAGCGCTTTACAGGTATACTATTACCCCGATCATTGGATTCAGTGCTTGCCCGCACACAATGTGTGCACAATCTCCACTCCCTGGGAGCATTCCAGCCAGGCGTTACTTGACGCTCAAAAACTGACCAACAATGACGGTCGCATCCTACTAATGTTTCCAAGCATTGTAATGTAGTTATTACCCTGGCATTAGCCGAGCAGCCCTAATAAAGGTGCTCTGGCATTCAAGAAATTTCTTCCTCCCAACATTTCCATTATGTATAGTCGTAAGTGTCCGCTATCATCTTGTTCACACCTATGTGTATTTGTTTTATTTTATTACAGAACAACAAACATTAGCCGAGAATGCAAGCGCTCTGGAGGAGGCCAGGGAGAGGATGAGGAGAAAGTTTGAGGATGTTGAGAGTGTGACGGGAGAAGAAGATGAAGAAAACGTTGTTCAGGTAAGATATTCGGCCACACAGCTTATACACCATACAGGGGGGTGTTTCATAAAGCTATGCCTAAAGTTACGAATGATTTTACAAATGAGTTGAATATGAAGAGCCAAATGGGATGCCCAAAGTTTTTCCTGACATTTTAACACAGTGTGACTGTATTTCCCACAATCTCAATTGATTTGTAGCCAAAAATACAATTTGCATTTTTTGAGGCCGCCATCCTAGTCAAGCTTCACTTATTATTGCGGTCTCCTGCAATTTTTCAACTGATAGTTTGGATAATACTTTAAATTTATAACAATATGTTATATATATATGTTCTTATATGTACATATGTAAAAAAAAATATATATATTTTGACTTGAAGTTATCATTGTTTGTATATTTTGTATTATACCTTACGTTTATGTGTTCTGTTATTATATTTGGAAAATTGCAGAAATAAAATCAAAAATCAAAATCAAAATGTTTTGTTAATTATGATAAGGTTAATCTACATCTGCATATTTCAACTTTAGCTTATGCAATTAAAAGGATTTGAGAATCCCATTGAGCTCTGCATATTCAAGTCTTTCGTAAATTCATGCGTAACTTTATGCACAGCTTCATGAAACACCCCCTATGTTTATTAGCTCTATAGATGCTAATGTCGTAGCGTGGGCCGGGCAATTTAGCAACTGCATAGAATGCTTCTTTAGGAGCCTCAAGGGTTATGATTGCTTCCAATCGAGCGGAGACTTCTAATTACTCTAGTGACCAGAATAGTAATGTACTTTAACATACTTCTTAGCAAAAGACAGTTGTTGGTATTATCTATTAGTATTGATTAGGAATTTTATGCCTCCGCTATGCCGGAGGCATTATTTTATTCTACTTTTTATTTACTTCCATGAATATTTTATTGTATATATTATAATAAGTTGTAAAAAGTATTCTTAACTCATATCCTGCCATAAGGCTGCTTGCACTCTACCGTTGTAGTGCTTTGTACACGTGAGCACGCTATCGATTGGTTGCTTCATTCGTGCGAGCGAGCTACCGCTTATCTGCTTTGTGCATGCATGCTCGCATTCGTAATCGCAGTTATTGTTCATGCCCATTGCACTGTGCCTAGTGTTCCGCACGCAATAGTACCATAGTACCGTTCATCTCAAAATTAACTTGCACAGGGGGATTTGAGGCTTGGCACAATGGGGATTAGCCCTGTGGCATTAGGCTGTATTCATTATGGTAGGATAAGAGTTAAAAGCTTATTTGATTGTTTTCTTCTTCTCCTGCAGTCCCATGGTAAGCTGTTTGTATTTGACAATGTGAAGAGGAATTGGCTAGAGAGAGGGCGTGGTCAGATCAGATTGAATGACAGCCGTCAATCAGCACCAGACTCCGCCTTCCAATCAAGACTAGGTAAATGAGTTTTCTTTCATTGTCTAAGAGATTCAAATCTTTGTTCCCTTGTAGTTTGTGGAGGTGTCATGGTATAGTGGTTTATTCACTTGACTCTCAGTCCAAGGGTTAAGGGTTCAAATCCTAGCCTGGCTCTAATATCCTTTGGCAAGATTAATCTACATTTTCCACTCTCCACCCAGTGTAAATAGGCCTGTCCTCATCAGCTCGAGTTTGCCAAATAATTTTTTTCAGACTCAAGATATTATCCCGAAGCTCGAAATTGCGTCTTCACTAGACCGATACGCTCATCACAAACTAGCTGGGACAGGCGCAACTTAGCCTGCTATTTCCCAAAAAGCAGAATATTTTGGAAACAAGACCAAGATTTCTCTGGATATTTTCTCGACTGAATATCCTGCTAATTGCAACTGGGGGCTGATGAAGACGCAAATTAACTGGCTAATTTGAGATCGGGATAGTTAAAATACCTGTAGTTTGGCAAAATCGAGCTGATGTAGACAGGCCTATCGAGTACTGGTGCAATTGTTGGTGTAATAATAATTGCTGGGCCCTCAAGAAGAACAGTGGTGATACTGATGATGCTTCCCTGGGTGAACAAAATTATCATAATTAACTTTATAGGTATCCCTATTGACTAAGCAATCTTTCTCTGTCACTCTATAACGGAGTCTCGATGTCTGTGCCCCTAAGATTGGCTTGATAGGATTTTCTAGCGTTTTTTTCTAATGCTTTCTGATACTATTCCTGATATTCTAGAGTAAACGTGCCAAAAATCTAATTAAATTCTGAGCAAGATCAACATAATTTTTAAAAGAAAAGGCAGCCATGTCATTTTGACATTGTAAAAATGAAGGTTCCCATGTCTGCACAATGAGATTTTAGGCATGAAAGATAGCATATGGAGGTTTGTGAATAAAATCATTAAAATTTAAATTTCTCAATATTAATTACTAACTTTTTGCATGAATATGTATCACAATGATAAAGATGAAACTCTACACAGTTCGTGAAGTAATATTGATGTTATTCCATTTGAAAGGTAGGCTTAATCTGTGTGCAAAGTACAAGAACTATGTATCTTGCAACTTTATTAGAGAATGCTTAAAGGTATAGACCAGTTTTGGAAACGCCCCCCTCTCAAAAATGGAATGGAAGCTCTTATTACCAATCATGTGAAAGAATATGTTTTGACTAATGCATGATGATACAAATTTTCCCGGGAATCCGCGTACTAATTGATATATTTGGTCAATTATCATATCTATCCGGCCTAGATAGATATCGCATAGTCCCACATACATCTTTCTGTGTACAATGCTTGAAACTTTACCAAGACTGGGCCAAATTTGTTATCATTTTGATGATTCAAGAACCTTGCAGTACACACCAATACTTATATGCTAGATGATCAACCTTTTCTGATCAATTCCACAACGTTGCTTTCACAATGCAATTGCATGACCAGAACTGGTCTTTACCTTTAACACCTGAACTATTACAGTAACTTGTGTTTTACTTGAAATTAACTGCCTGTCATTAAAGATAAAGGTGAGTTCTGGTAATGCGATTGCATTGTGGAAGAAAAGGTGTGGAATGGATCAGAAACAGTTGATCATGTAGAATGTAAGGATTGGTGTGCACTGCAAAGTTCTGGAGTCATCAAAATCATAATAAATTTGGCCGAGTCTTGGCAAAGTAACAAGCATTGTACACAGAAAGCTATATATGGAACTACACAAATGGTGTCGGGGTTACCTACCTTGATTTCCTTATCTTTCTATGCTCATTACTCAGCCATTACACATTTTCTACCATAATTGTTTGGCACATGACATTTATTTGTAATCTTGAACATTCAGTGTAAGTTTCGTTTTTTTCTGTGAGAATTCATTTTCTCTTTTTTACCAGAATTCAAGTTTATCTTGAACTATTTACTTGTTTGTCAGATGAAATGAACTGCCTGTCATTAATCCATCTGACACCCCCTGTTTGTTTACAGTGATGCGTACCCAGGGCAGCTTGCGTCTGATTCTCAACACTAAGATCTGGAGCGGAATGACGATAGAGAAAGCCACCAATAAGAACCTACGTATATCTGCAATGGATGCAGAATCTGACACAATTAAAGTCTTCCTTATTACGGTAAGTTCAGAGCTGCCAAGTAGTATGTGTTTTTTGGGGAAAATATGTCTGTACGTTTTGCTGTGCCAAAATACGTTTTTTGAAAGTTCTGAGTATGGCTGTGCGAATGTGGCTAGCGGCTGGCTGTGAGAACGAGCATATGCATAGTTTTGCTATTGCTTTGTGTTGGCGATTCCTGCAGCGTGCTCGCATGTACATTGCACACAACACAGGGGATATCCACCACTCAAAGAAGCACATTTCCCCAGGCCATGTATACACACGCAAATGAGATATATCAGTGCACTGCACTACACACACCGTGTCAGTACAAGAAAGTCCCGATTTAACTTCCCAAAATTCATCCCAAAAGCCAAATTTTGCTGTCAAAAGTGCGGAATCAGAGCCATATTTCCAAAGCTCACGAGGGGCTAAGCCCAGTTTTAAGAAACAGCCTCACCAAAAAAGCGCTAAAAATCAAGAAATCAGCGATTTTGTTACCAGTTTTTTCGCCCATTCGCAAGCCCTTCGAATGTGATGGTATCTTCAAAGAGCCAAATAAAAAACAAACACCAGACCTGCTGATGCATTGACTTATGTACAAAGTTGATTTCAACTCCAGACTTGCCTTGATTCGAACGCAATGAAGCACTAATGGGTGCCGCAACTTCGGCATAGAACATCATCGTGTGTTGCGCCACAATTCAGCAGCCCTTGTACTCATTGACTAAAATTCTGTGATGTTTTAGATAAAGGATTTTTCTGATAAAATAGGTAAATATATTTAACAAATCATTTTTTTGATTTTTTTTAAGTGACAGGTCTGCAGCTCTCAATGATTGAACGCGTTTTTATTCAAAGAAAAATGATTGCAATAGCATTTTATAGGGAAAATAACAAAAAACATTAAAAACAGGCAAAATCTGTTTTGTTCACCTAAAAATATGCTTTTTCATGCTGAATAATATGTCTTTTGAAAGTGACAGGTTAGCAGCTCTGTAAGTTCTTTGTCTACAACATGTGCATCATGTTTTGACTTTCACCAGCTAAGTCGCGAATATGTAAGTTGTTTGAATTAAAGGTAATACAAAGTTTTGGGACGGGGTCATGAATTTGGTTCAAGTGAACATATTGGAAGCATATGCGATTTTACAGTGTTCAATAATCGTCGTGGCGGTTAAAATCGAGTCTAAAGTGATGAAATTTGTAAATAACAAACTCTTTATGTTGTATAGCTCCCTCTCAAGACTGATATTGCTTTAGCTCTAAAACAATGTTTCTTGACTACAATCGACCGATTTGCTATTCCCATCGGGAATTATTATATCAGAACTGCATATTCTGAGATTTTCATGGTCGTTATCAGATTCAGGCTTACCCGCAGACAATGTATGCCCATTCTCCACTCCCTGGGGAGTGTTCTGGCCAGTCGCCATTTTACAAGCGCACACTTGCTCATCCAACCACATTAGCATCGTTATTAATTATTATTTACTTTCAGGGTACCCCTAAGGATATAGAGCAGTTGTTTTGTGCGATCGAGTACCGAGTACAAGCATTGAAGCATGTAGAAGAATCCGAGCGATCGGACGTGGAGGAGGGGCAGACGGGAGCGCAAGATACCAAAGATGGAGACTATGATGAGGAGGATGAGGACGAGGAAGACGCAGAGGATGACGATGAGGATGATGATGAGGACAGCGAGGTGGCGAAGATCTGTTCTCGTGATAGGAGTAAACCAAGTAAGTCAAGAGGGAAGAGTTCGGGGAAAATGATAAATGTAGACATTGTAAGTATTATGCACGTATAACATTATCACAGTAGACCCCGTAGAAGGATACTACATCGCGGTTCGGTGAGTAAAAGGAGGGGCGGTTTCAGGGAAGAGTGAGGGGAAATGAAAAATGAGAATCCACAGGCTTGTATGGACAAGCAAATCTTGGGGAAAACCTGTAATATCTTATTGGAAATCACCTACAGTAAAAACATTGATTAGTACAGATGTGGCCAGAAAGGTAAACTACATGTGTTTCTGATGTGATATTTTCAGTTTTGTGAAATACAAAAAAACATTAAACAGATGATTTTTTTTTTAAATAGCAGACATCCTATAAAAAAAAATGAGAGACAGACTTCCCTCATACTTATGTTTTTAAAAGATTTGTATTTGTTTAAAAGACCCCTTGATTGTAAAGGTCTGTGATTTAGGTCTAGAAAAGTAAATCTGATTTGAACATGTGCAGAGCACCCATAATTAAAGAGAAAATTGTAAGGTGCTCCCTTTTGCATACTAGCTTAACCCTTTAGCAACTACTTGTATACCGTCCGAAACCTCCCCTCCTTTTACTCACCGAACGGCCCGTCCGCTATTGTCCGTTTTCAACGCGCTGTAGTATCCTTCTATGGGGTCTACCGTGATAATGTTATACGTGCATAATCCTTACAATGTCTACAGTAGGATTCTGCATAGAAAAATAGCCCATGTTTCATATTGATCAGAACAATGTAAAAGTGAGAGCAATATTGCCACATCTTCCAGTGAGTAATAGGCCATTTTTACAACATCTCTAGTTGCTAATGGGTTAATAAGCAACAAACACCATACAAGCATCCTGCATGTGTATCCAAAAAACATTCCTTTTTCTTTGGCCTATCCAATTTAATTTGGATTTCTGGTAGACAAACTACAAATTACATTACCCGTAGGTTGCAAATGGAAATGGATGATATTCAATAATCCAAAACATATGCTGTAGGGAATGTGAAAGACCAAAGGGGCAGAGCCGGATGCCTGTTGTCAAGTGCATTTTACATGCTACCTATTCAAACCATCAAGCTTAATGTGTCTATGATTTTCCCACCAAAAGACAGACAAAAGTTCATTAAAGGGTCATTCAGTTTTGCAGCAGTATACCACATCAGTTGTTTTAAAAGTGTGTCCTCTAGTAAAGCTCTCTGTTATGAGATACAGAAATTTGAAGCATAAAACACTTTATGTTGTCAAAATTATTTGCCCACCGTGATTAACCTATTCATATCTGAACGAGCCTAATTTGGACCTACGAAAACTTCAGAGGGGCTTTAAGAATGAACAATTGCGATATTTATTTGGGGCTATTTTTATACTGGTAATTTTACTGGTAATATAAGTCATTCGTAAGTGCCTTGAGAAAAGAGTAAAAAATAATGACTTTTTAATTTTGTATCTTCCTCTTTATCAGCATCTCCCAAGAGCACTGAAGGCAACAGTGCATCGGCTTCACCATCGTTACATCCAGAGGAGTCATGAGCTGTACTGCAGGGGGGTGTTTCTCAAAACTGGTCATCAGTGACACATGGCAGTTGCTGTGATAAGCTACTGTAATCCTTGCTTCTGATTGGTTATCAGCAGATTTGTCACTGATATTTGTCATTAGTCATTGAAAAAAGGCTTTGTGAAACGGGTCCCAGGTCTAGCTAGTCTGCATTCTCACTTGGATTTTAAACTCGGGGACTTTTCATTTAGGGGGAAGATAAAATAACATTCAGAGAGATTATGAAGCTGGGCATTATGTTTGTTGTAATGTAAGTATAGCTTGGTTGTCGTTCATCCTTCTGATGACCGGAGGAGATGACCACTCTCATCACCTGGGGGGCCTTTCACAAAACTTGTCATCAGTGACAAATGACAGTTTTTGTTATAAGGTACTGAAATCCTTGCTTCTGATTGGTTATCAGCAGATTTGTCACTGATTTTTGTCATTTGTCATTGAAAAAAAGGCTTTGTGAAACGGGTCTCAGTTTCATCACTGGGTCCATCAGGTTTGTCGGTTTGGAGGTGGCTGTAGAGGCTTATTTAAGACACAAGTCTTCTTGGGCAGTGAGGACAAGCCCACAGCTTGGCTATGCTTATCATTTCATCATTATAACTTAAATTATTCTAAAAGCTTGATTCTAAAACTCATATTCTAGTTTTAATCAGCTGCCAAAGAGGACTGACCAATCACAATTTCAGAAATTCCTATGCATTTTGTAACAAGTTTCAGTATGCCATATGGGATACATGCTATGGCAATATTTTCTTTAACAACTAATCGCCAGATTGGCGAGATTGCTCCATGGTACAGCGGTGGTCTCGTAACTGGGAGGACTCGGGTTCGAAACCAAGTTGATTTGCTAGTACCCTGTGGTAAGGCATCAATCCTCATTACCAAGTCCCTCTGAGAGGACTTAAGGCCATCAGTCCCCTTGTTGCTTACTTACAAGCATACACATAGCCGTCAAGTAATGTAGACCCCCAATTAATCAAACCATAGTGTCATCTGGGATACAAGAATATGAGTATAAAATCCATTTCTTGATTCAATAGGTCATTCAATTAGAAAAATCATAGGACTAGTTGTGAATGGTTGATATTAATCTACTGTTTGTGTATCTTTGTGTTTCTCCATTATCACTCAACATTCCAGTGCTCCCCGGGGAGTGGAGAATGTGCATACATTGTATGCGGGTAAGCCTGAATCCGATGACGGGGGTAATAATATATCTGTAAAGTGCTTAGATACATTGTTGTATCAATGTTTTATTCATCCTAAAAACTAAAGGGATTTCACTTTATCATCATGAAACTTTTGAGGACCATTGCAAAAGTTGCATAATTTTATGGGTATACCAAAGGTGTTCAAGTTATTTAACTATAAGGAATATGAAATCAGATCAAATCCTTTTTTTACCAAGATTCATTTTGTGAATGAACTATTCCAAGTACTGAGTGATATATGAAAAATCACATTTTTGTTCAGTTTTACATTTAGTACATATAAACCTTGTAAAGAATTAACCACAAGATATGATACTATGCAGCAATGGGTACCAAATGACTGATATGTAGTTAAAAATGTTGATTTTAGAAGTCTATTTATCTCATTTCATTATAAAATTGTCCTCATAAATTTTGTTTACCAGTATTTGTAAATTTTCTTTATATTTTGAAGAAGATTGGATATCAAAGTAAATGAATTTTCTCTTCAGCTTGTTTTGTATTTCTTTTTTCTACCTAATAGATAAAGCAGTACTAGTTTGTATTGTCTATTGCTAGTACTGTGGACACAAAATAAATAGATTGCATTATAAGCCTAGAAGCACATGAAATATCCTTCCTAAGACAAAGCTGTTTTTTTTCCCTTTTATTTTTGATGGTACATCAGTTCGAATGAAGGCTAATTGTAATGATGGCCTTTAACTATCTATACAAAAAAGGTTATATTCTTAAGTTTAATTGCAGAATGAAAAACAATATCATTCATGTATTATGGACACATCAAAAATTGTCCATAATAAACTTGCCCATTCCACAAGGCCTAGTCGCATTAGAAATCCTATTTTATTTTCGATTGTGGTACTTGGAATTTATTTATAAACCAAGCATTGAATTTGCATAACATTAAAAAAATGTTTTTCACTTTATTTTTTGCTGCAAAATGCCATATTTGTCCATGCAATTTTTATTAACATTATATTTGTTTGATAATGTGGAAGAAATGAATGTAAAGAAATTGTTGCCATTTTGAAGTTGAAAGGTCAATTTGTTGAGCCATTGTTGATTTCTCTTTCTGTTGAACAATGATCAATGAGCAATGTTAAGAAGTCATTGTACTTTCTCTTTAATATGATCCTTTGTATAGTTCCAAGTACAGTGAAACCTGTCTATAAAGACCACCCAAGCAAGGGAGACAAGAAAAGTGGTCTTTATAGGCAGGTGGTCTTTATGTACAGGTTCCTGTAGTACGTGTTTCAATGAGAAACCATTCTCAAAGGGAAACACAAAATGTGATCTTTGTAGACAAGTGGTCTTTCTATACAGGTGGTCAATAAAGCAGGTTTGACTGTATATTGTTATGTGCCCAGCAGAAGGGTTCCAATGGAATTCAGGCCAGCGGATGTACGTTACTCGAAAGGTGCATGTTAAAGCTAATCTTGAGCTCTGGTATGGGAATCATATTTTGAGAGAAAATTGCTATGATTTAATCTGGATTGTTTATCCTGCAGTATATTGGTTGTTTGAACCAGTAAGATAAAAACAAACGCACAAACACTTATCAGGCATCATCTTCGATAAAAACCGCAACTCCCATATGCACATAGTGACCTGTGTTAAGCACATGGTGTCGGGCCTACTTACCAGATTTCCTTATATCTTCTATGCTCACTACTCGTCCAGTATACATTTTCTACCAAAATAGTTCTTCACTTGTCATTTATTTGTAATCTTGATCATTCACTGTAAGTTTTGTTGGATTCTGTGAGAATTTATTTTCTATCAATACCAGAACTCAAGCTGATCTTCAAACAAAGAGCTTTGACCCTACCTCCTTGGTTTGTACCTTTCACTGCAACTGTATAATGCATTTTATATATTTCATCATTTAAGTTATTGATTGTGATAGGCTATAAATGTTTTTATTTATTTATCCTTTGATTACAAAAATTAAACTTTGGCCTTGGTTTGTGTTGACACCCTTCTGCTGGGCACGCAATGATATATCAACCATTCCTGGTAATTTGATGGCAACAAAATTAATTGTGCTGTTTGTTTCAAGTTATGCATTTGTTTTTGTCATAAGTATTATTTTATCCTAATACACACCTTTTTTTTCCTTCGATATTACAATCAGCATTAAAGGCTTGTATTGATGACTGTAATCATAGGTATGTTACATTGAGAATAGAAAATTATTAATGATTATGAGATGACAACAGGCACCAGTCATCAAGATATTCATCTCTATTGCATCTAAAAACACAGAATTTGAACCTGTTTGTCAGATATGCTTACATGGAAAATGACAATGATAACATTAATCAGGTCATATTTCCCTAGGGTACCTCATCAATATTAATATTGCTCTTCCAGCAGACTCTGTTGGAAGAGCAGTATCATTGGTCTATTAATTGGGATGTAGATGTTGATGAATTATCGGCATCTAAATGTCCGATATCCAATTAGAAGAAGACGGTATGTGCTCCACCCACACAAAAAAAAACTGTTGATTGGCTAGTACCCTATGATAAGGCATCACTCCTCATGACCAAGTCCCTCTGAGATGACTTAAAGCCATCAGTCCCCTTGTTGCTTGCTTACTTACTGTCTATAGATGCTATACTTCCCATGGGAAACAGACTTCTTGTTTATCTGTACAAGAATTCTCGCTATCGCCACAGGCAGAGATAAAGGCTTCCTGGTGCTCTAATAGATGATATGATTCCTATATAATTGAGTAATTTAAACGACTGATATTTTGAATATCACTGGGGGAGAAAATGTTTCTGAACTTGATATTTTATAAGTTGTGTTTATGATCTCAAATGGGGTGATTTGTTTAAAGGGAAGTATCTTCAAGTGTGTAAATCAAATCAATACTTTGCTTTATCTGAATTGAGATGTATAGCCTGCATGTAGAGGGGCTTTACATTTTAGTTCAAGGAGTCAGCATTTCTATGTTTTCAAAAACTGAACATTCTTTACACTTATAAAGGACTGGTCATCTTCAAGACAGTCATTGCTCAAAGTGCGTTTTAAATGTTTGATTCAATGGTAGATGTATTCAGAGTAAAATCTTGAAGTTCATTTCACTCAGCTGTCCTGAAGGGTTTAGATGTAGAGTGTATCCAGGGGTGTATTTCACAAAGATCATAAGTTGAATTTATCTCCAAGTTGGACTTCACAATTATGGAAAGCTGTTAGCATCTTAGAAAATATTTTGTAAAACTTATTTTAGAAGGCATAAAATGTTGATTCAAATCATTCATAGTTTCTATTTTCAAGGAGATTTCATGTTCTTGATGTGGAATTTATGAAAAGTCTAAAATACTTTTGCTTTTGAATATGTTATTTTAAGGCTACAAATGGCTCTCCATAATGTTTCAGTCCAACTTAGAGTTAAGTTCGACTTAGGATCTTTGTGAAATACCCCCCATGTATTGTATGTTGAGAATGTTTGTTATCTCTCTAATGTTCATAGGACCATTAACTATGTGAACATCTAAGAAGTGGAAAGGAGTTGATTATGTTGTTATGAGGATTCGTTTTGTAATTACTTTGTTTTTTATTGCACTAAAGCATGTGAAAAAATAAACGTGTTTTGGTATTGTACATATGTAAATACTAATGGTTGTCTTGGCCTTCTGTTTGTAGTCGCTTGCTATGAGTATTGGTTGATTGAAAATGTATTTGTTTGGTGAATGATTGTCTGTATTGGTTTGATTATTGATGAATGATTGTGCCTGCAATATTTTGAAAAGTTAGTGTACATGTATTTCTTAAGGTTGATTTTGTTTGACATTCAGTAAGCTTGTATTTTCCCAATGCTAATAGTCAACCGGCGATTTCTGTCGATGAAATTAACCTTTTTTGGATGTAAGAACCACAAGGGGTTTGACTTTTGTTGAAGTAAAAAAAAAAAAAAAAAAAAAATTGACTCCAAGAACACACTTTGTCCTTTTAGCACCAGCTTGTGTTACCCCTATATGAGTTAGAAAGTCTTTGAATGAAAGTTCATGGAGTTAAGCTCATGATAAGAAGGAATTTACCTAAATAATAAATGGAATTAAAGAGTGCATCGCATACCATGATGTATTTCAAATAAATTAAAATAGGGATCAATAATTTATGATACTTCATGAAATGGGCACTAAAATTGATCAATATTGACTTTCTATAATCTAAATCTTAACATTATAAATCATAAAGGAAATGTTTAATCTTGCTTACATAGCGTGGGTGTCATGGTGGAGCTTTTGCGGATGAAGTAGCGAGAGAAAAATTCCATCAAGTGTGGGGAGAATGTGAAAGTAGTTTCATCATCTTCTTGTCATCTTCGTTATCTTCTCCTTTTTTACGTGTTTCGATGAGGGGGAGCTTACCCTTACCCCATAGTAGCTACATGCACAGTACACCAGTAACACCACTGCCTCCTGATACGTTTCGATTCACTGCTGTCGTCTGGGGTTGATGATAATGTTGGGCGGCCAAGTGAAAAAAGAAGAAGAAAAAAGTAAAACAGTAAAACGGCACTGGGCCACCCCCCCCCCCTGGCAAAAAGCTAGATCCGCCCCTGAGTACCCCCCCCCCTCTCTCTCTCTCTCTCTCTCTCTCTCTCTCTCACTCTCTCTCTCTCTCTCGCTTCCTCTCTCTCTCTTCCTCTCTCTCTCTCTCTATATTATATATTATACATCTCTCCCTCTCCCTCTTTCTCGATCTCTTCTTATATGTCTTCATTACAAAGGGATAGAATAGAGGATATAATATTAAGTATGTATTATAGAAATTGATGTAGATTTCGATTCAATTTACAACAGTATGACTCTAGCTAGCTACATACGTGAGGTGTACAATCATTGTAGCTTGACCCAACTGACCTTCCTCCTTCAAAGGTTGTCTTAGTAATTCACAATAAATACCATCACGCAAACTTCTCAAGGGGTATATATCAGTTACTTATTAATGCCTTATCTTATGTACATAATGATTGAATCTTTATAGTTCCAAACTCTGAGACTAGAACATATTTGTTAGCTTTAGATCAGGACAACACGTTGACTGTTATATGCACTCATTTTTATCAAAAGGGACTTTCTACCATTGTCATTGACAGCTCAAAGAAAAAAAGGAGGTTACCTCAGATTAAAAATGGCTTTTCACGACTTCTAAAGTGCTTAAAGACAAGAATTCTTGGATTGAGACTGCATGGTATCATTAATCTGAAGTGCATTTATTTTGATGGAGTAACATTATGATCTGATACTCAAGCAAGATGAATAGAAACGAAAGGTTTTGATTTCGCATGTTATTTTGGGACATGTCAAAATGATTTTCGTCTTGTTTCTGATCGGGATGTTTGGAGGCTTCGTGTCTGGAAAGCAGAACGGTTAGTAAGAATGTTTCTAACAAGTCCTAATATTATACAATGTTCAGGGCCACGTCTTACAAAGAGTTACGATTGATCCAAATCAATCGCAAGTCCTCCAATCAATCGCAAGTTTGCAGTCTCCTATCTCTTATGTACATAGTTGCGATTGATATCAACTCTTTGCAATACGGGGCCCAGGTTTTACCAGCATTTTACACAGCGGAGTATTAATATTTCTAACGTTATACTGCTTTGATTGATAATTCTATTTTGTCCGTAATTTACCCGAATGTTTGGTTTGGGAATACTTCTAATTCTTTCATTCATTGATATGTGATTTGAAGTTTAAACTTAGAATACCATTGCATGAAATGTCTCATTTTGTAATGTTATATACTTAGCAAGTACAATAACTGATAACATATAGTATAGATTGTAATATGGTTTATATGCATGTCGATGATTAGAAGTATATGTGTAGAAATAACTTGCTCTCTTGTTTCAACGATCCACTACTTTCCTATTCTATGTCCGACTTTCCCTAAGCATACTTTGTAACATGCAATAATATTGTCCCGTTTCTCCGATTTTCTGTTTCTTCTCAAACCAATAGCTTTCGAAGGATTTATTTCATATTAATCAATATACATCCATTTCATTGTAAACGTAGACGTCAATCATTTAACAAAAATTAATTTGTTTATGAAAGACATTTTAAACAAGAGTTTGTTATTTACAATTTCGACCGCGACAACGATCACTGAATATTGTAGGATCGCGTAAGCTTCCAATATGTTCATCTGGATCAAAGTCATGACCCCATACCAAAACTTTTTATCACCTTTAATACTTTGATTCTTCCGAGCAATAACAAAAATAATATATAATTTAGAAATAACAAATAATGTATGTAATTTTCTGCCTTTAGTGTAACTTCACATCATGCGCCATTGAACTGTAATTCCTCATATCTTCCTCTAAATGACACCGATTGTGGAACAAACGAGTCAGATTATACCATTGGTGTTCCTGTTTCCAATATCGATTATCACTAGTCAATGTTTTGTTTTAATACTCTACTAGTATATGGGTAAGCCCCCCCCCCCTCCCCCCCTCTCTCTCTCTCTCTCTCTCTCTGTCTTTCTTTCTCTCTCTCCCTTTCTTTCTCTCTCTCTCTCTCTTTCTTTATCTTGTTCTCTCTCTCTATCTCTGTCTGTCTTTCCATTTCTTTCTCTCTATCTCTGTCTCTCTATCTCTCTCTCTCTGTTTGTCTGTCTGTATGTCTCTCTTTCTTTCTCTCTCTCGCTCTCCACCCTCTCTCTCCCTTTCGCCATGTTTGTTTGTTTGTTGTTGTTGTTGTTGTTGTTGTTTTTTGTGTTGTTTTGTTTTGTTGTTGTTGTTTTTTTTTGGGGGGGGGGGGGAGATTACATGTCGACTGTGCCCCCTTCATTATCTACGTCACCATCCTCAAGCCCCTTCACCTCTGCATGTCTGCATCTGTCCATTATGCATATAAACATTTATCAACTGATATATAGGAGGACGATGGAATGATATACATTATTCAGCTTGGTGAAATACTACAATATTCATAACATCATTATCTTTCGTGTCCTTCCAATCCTTCTATTATTATTATTATTAATGTTTTGTCGACATTTTTATTCTATATGGAGCAAAAATTTCCTGTATCTAATTCATCTCAGCTACGATCGATCTATCACTTTTAAAGCGGAGTAAAAGGCGAGCATGGAATGAGGCGGTGGGGTGGCGGGGGGGGGGGGGGAGTGGTCTTGACAGGCTGAAATCATCTCATACCATCATCCCTGAAGTTGAAAATATGTGGCCTCCCAGTTTACTCTTGCTATTATCCCTTTTTGTTTATCAGGGGCGGATCTAGCTTTTTGCCAGGGGGGGGGGGGGGGGGGGGGGGGGGGGGGGGGGGGGTTACCCAGTGGCGGACCCAGGATTTTCCAAAAATCGCGCCGTTTTACTTTTTTTTTCTTTCTTTCTTCCCCCCCCTTTTTTTTTCTTCACTTGGCCGCTCAGGGGGGGGGGGGGAGGGGGTTAAACCGCCGAACCCCCTAGATCCGCCCCTGTAAATCATCCCATTCATAGCGGCAGAAGACTAGTCATCCTTCTTTTCAGTTCAGATTAATCTTATCTCCTTTCTCCTTCGCCCACTTTTCTTTTCTCCGTACAGTTTCCCTTTTTCTTTTTTTTTTGCATTTTCTTTCTTATCCTGTGAATTGGTAATGCAAACTTTGAAATCTAGATGAATAATGCTACACATGCATAATCAGGGGCGGATCTAAGGGGCAGTTTCGGCGGGCTAAACACTCCCCCCCCCCCCTTGGGCGGCCAAGTGAAGAAGAAAAAAAGGAAAAAAAGTAAGACGGCGCGATTTTTGGAAAATCCCGGATCCGCCACTGGGTAAAACACCCCCCCCCCCCCCTTGGCAAAAAGCTAGATCCGCCCCTGATAATCTGTGAAACTAATTAAGATTCTTGTATTTTCTTCTACCTGTATCTATCTAGGTGTAGAGCTGACATGCAATGGCGACTCGATGATAGTTAGACTCGATACCAGTCGTCTTCTCACTGATACATCATCACCATTCTCTGTTCACCTCATCGATCCTTCATGTCAAAAAGACAATCATGGCGCCAAACCGGTTACTATAGCAACAGCTTACAACAAATGCGGGACATATAAACAGGTAATTTAGACGCCCCCAACCGCCGCCCCATCTTTCATGATTTGTTTTGAAGAGTCTGATTTAATTTGTTAACCAAACTTTGCTTCAGTTATAGACGCTTCTCTTAATTACAGACCGACCTTGATGTGAAATTAAAGAAGCGAACAGTGAAAGGTCGTAAATAGATTGAGCAATCAAACAAAGCGCAAATGAGCGCAAAACAAATGAGCCCATAATCACGTAGGATGTGATGAATAGATCGAGTATATCCGGGTGAAGAAAGAAACCGCTTTCATTACTATTTCTCAATTATTATTGAGCAATCGAATGAAGAATAAAGTTAATGAGCACATACTCACGTATAGGATGGGATGAATTGAAACCGCTTTCATTACTTTTTCGTTTTACCCATCTTTTTATTCGCACGCTTGTGGGAAAGAGAGAAGTGAACTCTTTAATTAGTACGACATTTGAAGATTTGAAACAAAAAAAGATTAAGCGAACCGGCATTTTGATAACTTGAGATATTTTGTAATAGCATGCAAGGTAAAAAAAAAAAACACAACAACATCCTGATTTTACCAACGGGATGTTTATGAGGAAAAAAAGCAATGAAGATTTGGTTGATGTAATGAAAGTAACATTTCATATTTCTCATCAGGCAGTATCACCATGGATACGGCATGGATAAGATTCCTAGAAAACTATGATGACACATTGTCATGATTGTGAAAGACAAAGCAGATGGATGATACGTCGGTTCGGATATTGCAATGGTCTTACATTGTCACTAAACAGACAGTGCAACGATGTATGGATGTTTACTCCCAAACTGAAACTTGTAATGTAATAGAAATTTGATTTGTCACATAACTTTTTATCTTAAGCCTTCATTATAATTTCTTGTCATAAATGTTCACATGGAATACTACCAAAAGCATATACTTTGATTAAGATTAATCTTTAATAATCTCAGATACTATACCAACATTTCACCACTCATATTGAAATGTGTCATTATGATACTTTTCACAGAAATCGATAATTATTTCTTAACAGAGGATTGTTTCCTTTAAAGTACGGGATGTATTTGAAGCTATAATCAAACTGCTATCATGAAAGTAATTATACTTTTTTTCTTCTTTCTTTTAGGTTCAAGATGCGAGCATTGTGTATTCAAACCAAGTATACATCCAATCAACCAACGGCGAGGATCTCGACATTCTCGTACAATGCGAGATATCCCGACGAGATTTCACGATCGGTGTCATGTCATCCTCATCAATCAACGATCTCTCATCATCAAACGATACCGTCAACGAAACCCTCGATGAACCTCAAGTTGGATATGGAGCGTTTTATATCACCATGGATCGCTACACCAACGCAAACTTTAATGACATATATCCTATTTCAGAAACAAATTTAGGACTAGACCAAGACTTATTCTTTGAAGTAGAACTCCGAAATGTGGCAGATTTGAGGCTGAATTTAGAATCGTGTTGGGCTACTGTGGAATCGGCATCTGATTCTCAACCACAATATGAATTCATATCAAATGGGTGAGTGTGTATACATAAAACAATGATTATCTTCATGTTAATCATCTTCGAATGATAATCCGTCTTGCTATCGGTTTGGTAGTCCCTATTCCATTTTCAAATTATTATATATTTTTTGTTTATAGACAAAAGGTACCTCGTGCAATATCAACTTCTTTGATATAACTTTGAAAAGGTATTACGAACCATTATTAATAAGGTGGACATATAATAATCATAAACGTTATAGTGAGTTTTTGGCTTCTCATGCCAGTATTAATAGATTTTAGAATATTATCACGACTTGGCGAAAAGAATGCCTGTGTTGTAGGTCTGTTTAAAAAAAAAAACATGTTAACATTCTTCCACATAGTTACCAACTATTTGTAACAAAATTTGAACTATTAATTATTATGTATACAAAATACTAGCCCCCCCCCCCCTTTCCCCACTCCTCTCTCTCTCTCTCTCTCTCTCTCTCTCCCTCTCCCTCCCTCTTTCTCTCTCTCTCTCTCTCTCTCTCTCTCTCTCTATCCCTCTCCCTCTCTCTCTATCTCTCCCTCTCTCTCCCACGTCACCCATTCCTCATTTAAAGTTACTCTTGTTTTCCGCAGATGTAAACTAGACGAGACTGTTGTGTTTTATAATGACCCTACCTCGCCCTTCATTCAGCGATACTCATTCCGTTCGTTTGCTTTCAAGGGATACAACCCACAGGTTAGTGTAGTTTACTTGTATCATTTCAAAATCTCAAATTGACCCCCACAAGAAAACCAACAACAGCCAAACACAAAACACGAATAGCTTTTTTAAACAAATAAACAAACATAAACAAGAACAAACGAAGAAAAAATTGAATGTCGGAGAAAATGATTTATATCTTAATTAACTTTTGGTCTCACAACCCGACAAATCAAGACAATCAAAGTGTATTATCATTTGGGTGATGTGGAATATTGGGAGACTATAAGTATGTGGATGTGCGAAGACAATCATTTATTTTATTTGTCTGCTTTCCATCCGGCGTTGGATACACAACTAACTTGAGAGTACCTGTCAACGAAAAACAACAAATTGCGACAAAAATTGTTTCCTGATAAAAATATGAGTACCCCCCCCCCTTTTGTCGTTCATTTTCAGTTTTGCTCGATATTACTTTTGATGCGTTTAGATACTTTGATTTCATGATATAGAAACACTACCTTACAACCTTAACTCTGAACTTGAAAACATCTGCATCGTGCGTAAATGTCAATATTTAATAGAGCATTAATCATCACATACTCAGAGTTAAGTCTCGCCTAGTTAAGGAACTTCCACAAAGCAAATATACATTTCGTACTTGCTTTTTGATAAAAACGTGATACCAGAGATATTGCAATTTTCCATTTTCTTTAGAAAAAAGGGAGTTTCGAAAACCGAAGTTAGAACACGAGCCTGTATACAGGGTCCAAGTACCAACTATGTCATATTTGCACCCCTAATAAAACTTATCCGAAATAGGCCTAACCCTTAATATTTTTATTGGTATTATATCTCCTTGATCTTCTCTCTTATCATATAGGTATACATTCACTGTAAAGTCTTCATTTGTGACGTGGAGGATTCAGAATGTATCCCATCATGCAATCGGTCTAGACGTCGAAGAAACGCAAGCCAGAATACCATCACGAGAGACATCAGAAGCTATCGACGTCAGTTTAACCATCATTAATGAAAATCTGTCCCCGTTCTCTTTAAGAACGTGAAAGGACGCAAACTTTCTTTCATGTTTATGTTCAAAAGATAAAAGAACAATTTTTAGGCCTCCCCCATAATATGGTGCAATTCTGCTACGATAGCAGCTCCATCTGCTACGATAGCAGCACCCTCTGTCAAATACGCGAATAGGTGGATGCAAATCTTCACCCCAATCGCACCCTTATTTGTTAGTGTGTAGGGCCTTTATTGGTTCGAACACTAGGTAAAACCTCTGATTTTACTTCGTTAGTTAGTATCTCTTCAAAAATCTACTCTTGAAATCAAATACGAGTGTTATAAACCTTACGTCTTCCTCTTAACATCTTCTTAACCATAGAGTGTATGAAGATTAGTATATTTATTTGAAGTAAATATCATAATTTCTCATAATTTTTATTCAGTACAGTTAAAGGTAATACAAAGTTTTAGGATGGGGTAATGAATTTGGTTTAAATGAATATATTGGAAGCATATGCGATCCTACAATGTTCAGGGGTCGTTGTTGCCGTTGAAATCTAGTCTAAAGTTATGAAATTGTGAATAATAAACTCTTTATGTTATAGAGCTCCTTCTCAAGGTCAAGATATTAATTAAGCTATAAAACAAAGTTTCTTGACTAAAATCGACCAATTAGCTATTCCCGTTTGAAAATTATATATCACAACTACATATTCTGAGATTTTCATGGTCACAGCTACCATTGTACGGCCGTAGGCGCTATTTGAAATTTATCAAAATTTACCGGGAGCACCGGTAAATTGTTATATTCAATTTTTCTCAAAAGGAGAAGTGTTTTAGGGGCTAATTTTTCTTGTGCTTATAATACATCTACAGGGGCATCCAAATATATCAAAATTGTAAAGAATCATTTTCCACCCAATTTTTAAATTTCCCAAAACTTTGTATTACCTTTAACGTTTTCTAAGTTCATTCTTCTTTATCAAACACACAAATTATTGAATCTCAACATCGATTTTGGAACAAAGAAGGATGTACATACACTTTGAAAGCACTGGCGTTGCCAAACTTGTTGAGGTTGGGGGGGGGGGTGACATACAACATCACACAGTTCCGTGTATAACCGGCGGGGGGGGGGCGGTTATTGTGTAAGAAATTGTAAATATAAGATATCTGATAGAAAGAAAAAAAGTATTGCTATATTTGTGTCTGTTGTATCATACGTCACACTGATAAGGTGACCAAATAATCATACGTGTGCCTAGACGATAGGATATGGGATCTCTTTTAAATTCTTGACAACATTAATTCTGAATAAGAATATTTTAGTGTAACACAATACTGATTGATATACCAACAATGAAATGCGAAGGAGATAACTTATTAATGGAGCAATATACCAAATAAAATTATCAAGCCTAAAGGTGCAAATAAAATGAAACAAATTTATGTGATTTTGGTATACACCATTATTACCTTTAAAGGTAAAGACCAGTTATGGTCATGCGATTGCATTGTGAAAGAAACGTTGTGGAATCGATCGTAAAAGGTTGATCATCTAGCATCTAGCATCTGCAAGGTTCTGGAATCATCAAACTGATAAGAAATTCGGCCCATTCTTCGTAAAGTTACAAGCACTATACACAGAAAGATGTATATGGGACTACCCTATATCTCTCACAGACCATGAGAGAAACAAATTTACCAAATATATGAATTAGTAGGCGGTTTCCCGGCAAATTTTGTATCATCATGTATTAGTCAAAACATATTCTTTCACATGATTGGTAATGAGAGCTTCCATTTCATTTTTTGAAATTGGGGCATTTCCAATACTGGTCTTTACCTTTAACATGTTTATGCTATATTTTTGTTATAACTTAGAGGATTTGGGAATGCTCAATAAAGTTTTGACAGTGTGTAATGCGTATTTTACCCAGGCCAAGAATCTTTTAGTATATACCCAGTTCATAGACGATGAACAACAGTCTGAAATATAAAGATGTGTACAACAGTACTGTAGGAAAAGAAATGTTGTGTAATAACTAATATAAATGAGATATAATCATGACAATTGTCAAAACATTACTCGGATGAAAGGAAGGAATAAATGGCTATGCATACATGTTTTGAATTCATACATGTGAGTGTCGTGGTCGAGTGGTTTAAGGCGCTTGACTGTAGATGCGAAGGTCGAGGGTTCGAAACCCGACACGGCACTAATATCCTTTGGCAAGATATTTTCCTGCACTTGCTACTCTCCACCCAGGTGTTAAATGGGTACCCGGTAGGATGCGAACGTTCATGTGGTTGGACGAGCAAGTGTGCGCCTGTAAAATGGCGACTGGCTGGAATGCTCCCTAGGGAGTGGAAAATGTGCACACATTGCGTGCGGGTAAGCCTGAATCCGATGACCGGGGTAATAATATATGTGTAAAGCGCTTAGGCACATCGTTGGATCGGTGTATTGAGCGCTATATAAAAAAACGGATTATTATTATTATTATTATTAACACGCTCGCAAAGACATTAAGGAAATCTACCTAAGGGTAATTTTAATACGTCTTTGCAATGTATAGGTGACTGTTAAAGGCTACTAAATTATCTAAGAAGATTTTTCGAATGTCTTTTCGGTCGTGGATAGAGCCTACGGAAATAGCTATATAGGCCTACTTGTAACATTGTTTTTTTTTTTGTCAATGTTCAACTCTGATATTATACCGTGGATATATGTTGTTGTTGTTGTTGTGTTTTGAGTTATTGGCGATTAGTCAGTAATTTGACTATTGTCGCCAAAATACTTTACGGCACGTGTTATATCTCTCAATTTTGGATTTTTTAAAATCCAAAATTGGCTAATTATGGTATCAACGAAATAAATAAACTGCCATAATAGCACGTGCACGTACGTGTTCGGAAATGTTCCCTTTGTTTTCTTTCTTCTTTTGTTGGTTGCTGTGGTAACTGTAAAAACATGATTAAGGGAAAAAATCGAGGTGACTAGAAACTACCCATATGGAAAGTGGTTTGGACAAATACTAACATAGAAAAGAGGAGAGAGAGAGAGAGAGAGAGAGAGAGAGAGAGAGAGAGTGGAATAGACAGAAAGACTGATATAGAGCGAGAGACAAAGAGATGGAGAGAGAAAGAATGGGGGGGGGGGGGAGAGAGAGAGAGAGAGGGAGACATGGAGATGGAAAGAGAAAGAATGGGAGAGAGAGAGAGAGAGAGAGAGAGAGAGAAATGGAGATGGAAAGAGAAAGAATTGGAGAGAGAGAGAGAGAGAGAGAGAGAGATCCCGAAAACTAATTACACGAGAGTTGTCCGTATTATTCCGGTGGTCCGGTCAGTTGTTGTTCCACTGCTGGTTTCCATAGTAACAATAAACGGACAGTACATGAAGGTCTTCGGCCTTGGAAATATTGAGACGCAGAGCAATAACTAGCCAATAAAATATTAAATGCCTTTCTTAATCCCTCCGCACCGTGCCAATACTGTGTCATCGTGCTGGCGGTCGCTTTATATTTGGGTCTGTTCTGTTCATTTTCTTTAATAATAATGATCAACCCCCGCCTTCATGCTAGAATCGTTCTTTTTAATCCGCCCGTCGCTCTTTTAGTTTACGTAACAGCATAAAGCAAACACAATACCTGATACAAAGTGTGAAATACGTATTGGTCTTGTACACAATATTGTGTGGTGTATATACTGAATTGCGTCAGTTTGATGTGTATTTACAGTACACAAATCAACGCATGTGATAGGATGTATGATACCATAGCTGAGGGACGGATCCAATAAATCAATGCTCCTGCCTTCGAATTATTAATGGATTATTTTCTGGTACACGCCTCGTAACATAATTCAACAAGCATTCAATTACATAATTCTATTAAGCACGTTTTATGAGAGTAGACAGCGTCCATCGTTTACATAGTAACGCGCTGAGAGAGAGGACACCACTCAATATGTACTCCAGGAATCCGCTTGCGGCTTGAGTCTCTCAACACCTTCGCAAATACTGATATGAAATGGGTAAGTCTAGATACATTCCTAACCGTTTGTGCTTATGATTGTTTTAATGTAGAACCAGTAATTTTTTTTTGATGAATAAACTGCTATGTATACATGTAGATAGGTCAATTTAAGGTAAGAGGCTGTTTTGTATTGAAATTATTTGATGTGAGTCTCTCATTTCAAAAGATATATTCCAATTATAATTAATTTCCGAATATTGTATGCTCCAGGCATTCATTTATAGAATACTTTTTGATAAGTTTTCTTCATCGCATGGAGACTGAGTTAATTCAATCAACCATGGATTAATACATAAATAAATAAAATCCTAATAAAAATTATAAGAGCGTAGCTAGATGCATAGAAAATAGCGAAGGTTATCTTTTATAACGGAAACATACTCTCCCTTGAATGGCGTTTTATCGCCTGCCAAATTAATTTCATCTAATTAGAGGGGTTCAACCCATATCACGGTTATAATGTGTTTAGAAATTTGACCTTGACAAATAGAGTATGATAGGCAGCTAATATGGCTTCTTTTTTAACCAGGTGTATCTGGAGAAACGCGTACAGATATTTAGACTTTAAGAAAAATTGTTACTCGCTATTATTAGCTCACATATTTCATCTGGAAATTATATTTTCACATTTGGAAAAATAAAGAGATGATTCTTTAACTATTACGATCCTTTTGCTATAATATCATTTTGGGAGGGGTAGATCGCGGCGGGGCCAATCGGGGGGGGGGGGGGGGTTATGGAGGAGGAAGGACCCCTTCCATGTGTATATCTCCACCTTCTTTTATGGCACTGTGAACTAAATACTTCTGATGATGACCATGACTGGCAATAGTTATAATCCTGTGATTGGGATTAAATATATTGAACTCTATATTGAGCTACGAACGTGAACGAAAATATACAAGTAGCAAAAACTTTTTTTTTCTCGTAATATTATATTTTGCTGCAGACACTCATACCTGTTATGTTCATGAATTTTGTCAAGGCCATAAATATCTTAAGCAAAACCAAACGAATAAGTGATACTTCGAAAATATGAAATGTCAGAAGTGACATTTTGGCATTTAAAAAGAGAGTCATTTAATTTGATGCCGAGAATACATTTTGATGTCAGTCTATATTATACTCATATTCCCTTTACTTGATATCATTCTGTTAATGAAATCTGTAGAAAGAATGATAGTTTACCAAATATGATTTGTCGACCGACGTTGAAAGAAAAAAATGTGATGCTTTACTCAAATCGTCACTAATCTCATAAAATGAGAAGAATGATCATTCTTAATAAAGGCATATTTTAAAAATGCATTTATTCTAAAATGATATCGCTTCTTTTAAATTTAAGAGGAAGATGGTGAAGTCTTCTTTGCAATTTTATTCCTCTCTTTTCCGATTTGTCTTCCCTCTTTTCCGACTTCCCCACTTGTTTTTTCTTCATTAATTTTTTCTTCTTCTGTTTACATACATGTATATACATAGGCCTATATATATACATTTTAGGGGGTGTATGTGTGTATGTACGAGAGACAACCACCCACAATCGCCCCTGACTAAGCGTTTAAAAAGAGGAGGAGAGAGTATTTACCGATCGAAGCAGGATGGGTGTTTGGTCTTTACAATGATGTCACCTGCCATCATTCGAAAGGCTTGCACATTATCCATAGACTATTGTCCTCCTCATCAATAGTGATTGTAGAGGAGGGATCGACTTATCGATCCGTTTGTGACGTCACAGTTTTCGACTGCTGTCACTTCATGGGTCAGATAGGAAGTGGCAATATACAATATGCAAATAAATATAATTGAAACACGATTTAGGACTAAAGTATGGGAACTGCTGGACACATTCATGAAATAGAAACATTCAAACGGAAGTCATGAGAGAGAGAGAGAGAGAGAGAGAGAGAGAGAGAGAGGGGGGGGGGAGGGATGGTATGGTATGGTATATTTTATTTATTCACGGTTAAAAACAAAAATACAATTGTGCCCGCATTCAGCAAAAGCTGTTTTTTAGCGAGGCCGTGATTACATATAATTAAAACAGAATATAAAACAATGAAAATACAATTTAGAAACAAATATGCAAGTTATAATAAGTGAACATCTTTACAGAAATTTAAGTACCAAATAGAATCATAGTGACAAAGTGAGGGGGGGGGGGGGAATTATCTACGAGATGAAAGAAGTGAGCAAATATCTAGAATTTTACTAATCTCAATGTTGTAAGATTTAAAAACATTTATAATTCTGATATCGTTGGGTAGAGTATTAAAAAGCTTTGATGCACGGTATAATGGACTACGTTGATGAAAATTTGTGTGAGGTCTTGGAAGGGGGATTGTAAATTTGCTTAACGAAACATTAGAATTAAATTGGATCAATATGACGATAAAAATAGTCACACGGTCACATAGCCATACTCAGTTCAGAAAAACTCCTTCTATACAGACGATGTACCTATCATCATAGCTTCGCTTATCAATCAGACACTCAAAGTCAAGTAGGAAAAGGGAGGTGTCGTGGTACAGTGGTTTATTCACTTGACCCTCAATCTTGGGGTTTAGGGTTCCAATACCAGCCTGGTACTAACGTCCTTTGGCAAGGCGTTAATCCACATTTGCCACTCTCCACCCCGGTGTAAATGAGTATCTGGCATTTCCTGGGGGTAGTGCAGGGCACTCAGGAAGAACAGCGTTGATGCTGATGAGGCTTCCTTGGGTAAACAAAATTATTTTTATTATATCAAAAATAAAGTTGTAAATAAATTAAAATCTATCAAGAGTAAAACCATTATCATGGTAACTGATAATTATTATGTTGAAGGAAATATGAGAAGACGATACTGGGATAATTATACCAGCCATATTGTTGATATATATGTAGCACCTTGGATCGCAAACTAAATGTATTACCTTAGAGCGAAGTAATTATCCTCGAATTTCTAGGTATTTGGAAAGGAATGAAAATGAGATCAATCACACAAATATCACCGACTTCAATTATGATTTTGATACGCCTGGATTGATATATATATATATATACCAAACAGATAATTGCATAAAGGTGATTTGTACTGAGTTATAAACAGTGGCTGGTCCAGGGGGGGGGGCGGGAAAAGAAAAAAAACACGTTAATTTTACCCTTTTTTGGAGATGGGCCTCCTCCCTTGGCGCTCAAGGGGGGCGGGGGCGGGGGTGCGATTTTTCAAATTTTCGAGGGTCAATTTTTTTTAAAGTTGGTGCTCATTACATCATATTTTCACCTGCATGACTCATTCTTTCTAATATGGTAATTTTTTCTTAAAATTTAACAGAACGGATTTCAAATACTTTGTTTCTAACATGTCTAAAAGATGAACAGGATCGAGATACAGTTCAGACGCAATGTGTAATATGGTGTTTTGTTTGCCACCGCAAACTATAAACCAGATATTAATAGTCATGTCTTGGTGTAAACGCATCTTCCCGCTCGTGTTGAAGACTAGTAATTCATAATATATAGAATTCATAGATTGCATAGAATGAAAATATGTTTCACCTCGATAACGACGACCATGAAACGTTTTGTTTTGATGGATACGTCCCATTTAAATAATTTATATCTTTTAACGTACAGAGATCCATTTGCTCAATTTGTGGGATGAATTTCTATTATTGACAACAATAAAGACCCCATATACCGTATATATGGATGCGTGTTAATTATGGACGGGACCTTGGGCTGTGGTGCATAATTATTCTGGAAGTGGATGGGGAAAGATGGAAATTATTTATTCAACCAACAACATCAACAAAAACAAATCAGAAACAAAAATCAATTTCGAATGCAAATCTTCTCTTTTAAACATAAACATACGATTTTCCCTTTCTCCTTCTGTTTTCTCTCTTTCTATTGTTTCTAGTTATTCCCTTGTAACAATGAGAGTGAATCATATGTCTCCTTTCTGCTTGTTAGCTTCCCTCTTAATAATTTGCCACTTGATTTCTGTCTCTGTCTGTCTGTCTGTCCGTCTGTTTGTCCCCCTCTCTCTTTCTCTCTTCCTTCCTTCTTTTTGCCTGCGCTCCCATTTTCTCTCTCTTTCTCTGTGCCTCTTTTGTCTATTCAGTCTCCTTCCCCTCTCCCCCACTCTCTCTCTCTCTCTCTCTCTCTCCCGCCTTCTCTCTCTCTCTCTCTCTCTCTCTCCCTCTCTCTCACACACACACACCTTCTCCCTCTCCCCCCCTCTCTCTCTCTCTCTCTCTCTCTCGCACTTCTCTCTCCCCCTCATCCTTTCATCCCTCTTCTCTCTCTCTCTCTCTCTCTCTCGCTCTCTCTCTCACTCTCTCTCTCTATCTCTCTCTCTCTCTCCCCCTCTGTCTCTGTCTCCCTCCCTCGCACATCTTTCTCTCCTTTCTCCCTTCGACCATACACTCTTTCACCAATGCTCTCATTGCCCTCTTTTCCTTTCGACTGTCGAATCCCTAAAGCGTGTCAATTCAATTTAATGAATTGCATTCTATCACTGCTTAACAATGCTTAGGAAAGGTCATTCTATCAACATATCAATAATCAATCCATGCTTCGGAGATGATCTCAGATGGTTCGAATCGTTGAAACATCGCCTCATTTCATCTCGGCATTCTCTCTCCTAAAGTTTGATGGACTGGCATCCTGAATAATCGCATTAAATGCCAAGATATTCTGTTAACAATGTTTCCTCTTGTCTTGAATGAACAGACGCTCCACTTCATTAAAGTTATATAGAGAATTTGCATATTTACGAAGAGCAAAAACCTCAAATACATGGATATAATCATGCGTCATGATTTAGCTCGGACATCGTTATGCTAATCAGGTCTTTAATAATTTGAAGCACACTTTGGGAGTACGCAGTGAAAAGTATCACATCTGAGATTATAATTCATGAGTACTGTCTTAAAATCCTTTGTTGGTCGATTCTTGGTGATAAAAGTGAGTATCATTTAAAATCGTTTGGTCGATGACAGTCGACTTATTTTCCGGAATGAATTAAATTATATTTAAAAAAGTTAGCTTCTTCATCATCGTGTATGTGCAGTGGAATCGGCTCTTATCCCAGTATTATTACATATTCGAGAAAAACTTGCCTCGTATGAAAAACAAGTCTTTGTTGGACCTCTAGTCGCGTTGCATTTTCACACCTTGTCGTTTAAAACGTACAACGTTTTGGTCAATAAGATGACATTTTCTTTGTTATGACGAGTTTTTATTTTCCAAGAAAAGTGCTTTCATGTATACAGAGCCTTTCATCAGAGAGTCATCAACTGTCTTAACAATACTAATGGCACATAGATTAATGTTGAAATATTATTCACTCTCTCAATACCGTTTGAGTTTTCGACATGGGAAGGCATTTAAACCTTACCGACTCCATCATAATGCCTTTCTAATAGATCAAGATGGTTGTTATTAAGAATATTTTGACTGAGGCACCAAAGCAATCATAAAACATCGTATAATTTGCCGACATCCTATATAGAATGTGCATAGTATTAGAAATTCCGAAAGCCTATTCTATTCAAAAGGTTAATTTCTATCATTTTCATTTTGTTTCTCATTTTAATTAGGTGAGCCAGAGGAGGAGGGTCGGAACAATTCCGAATCGCCGGGGACAGCCGAAGACTCAACGAAATTAGCCGAAGGTGAAACGGAAACAACCGAGAAGGATACGATGAGTGCAGGCTGTAGTGAATGTGGGAAACCACCATTGTTCTACAGCATCTATGACAAACAAAAGACGGTGTTTTGTTCGTCAGAATGCCACGGAAAGAGAAATGAGAAAGTAAGTGACTCTTTTAAGGCCTATCTCACTGAGCGGCGAATGCTTGCGAACGTAGCGAATTTGGGGTTTCGTCAGAGTTTGTAAAATGTTGTAAAAGGTTGCAAGAAAGATCGCAAACAGTTTTCTTTGTTGTGAACAGTTTTTCTTGTCGCAAAGAAATTTTGAACATGTTCAAAATTTCTTTGCGAATTTATTTTCCCGCAAACAGTTGCAGGCGTTTGCAAAACAGTCGTTAGCGTTTGCAAAACAGTCGTAAGCCTTTGCAAACGGTTGTTAAACGGTTTTGCTCTTCGTTTTCGTCAGTTCTCTGTGTTTCGCCAAAGCTAGCGACCACGTTACCATATGGTTCCTTTATAATATCGACCTATTGAGTACCAGTAGTTAGCAAAAGGTCTCAAACGTTCACAAATAGTGGCAAAGGATTGGCAAATAGTTGCTAATCTTCGCAAAAGTTGTCGCTAACATTTGCTTACAGTCGCTAATAGTCGCCAACTGCCTTTCGCAAACACTTTCAGAGACATTCGCTCAAATGTTGATGTCGCTGATTTTCGCCAACATTCGTCAGAAAAGTTGGCGAATCCAAATTCGCAACGTTCGCAAGCATTCGCTGCTCAGTGAGATAGGCCCGTAGGATTGGGTATCTTTGTCTCAGATTCTAAACAAAATCCTGGATTTAGCTCATGCTGCAATCATAATTATGGTCAGTCAGGAATCCCATGACTTTACAAGCCGATCGCCTGTCTGATTATCAAGATATTTATGATTGGAATTCGAAATTTCCTTATAACACTACAGTAAAACATTATGGTAAAACCGGTCACTGAAAGATTTTTACTTTTTTGAGGCACTTCATGACCATTTTGAAACGCAATTTTTGTAGGGCTTCAATATTACACTATATCACAGACACTGATAACACATAGGGCGATGCATCTCAGATTTGTAAAACTGGAAACATTGTTAAACAATTCCTCAAACATAACATTTTGATTTATTGACTTTCTTGAATCATTGATTCACTATTAAACCGAATAAAAACAATAGATAGTTAATAAAGCTACATCACTTATACATTATATATCCACACTTCTTATAAAAAAAGCATCTCTATGTGTTCTTGAAATAATTTAAAACCGCTCCGGTTTGTACTTGACCGTAAGCAATGACATGTAAGTGTATCATAGCCATACTCTTTACCAACTGGAACAGATAAAGGAATATCAATTACATAGTTTCAACATTTAGATTTTCCATAATTTTCTGTCGCGCACAGTACATGACTATTTACGAGGCCAGTGTAATATTCCAGCTTGAAATAATGTGTCTGCATACCTGTGCATATAGCTGGGGGAAATATTAGTCATCATCGGACACTGTTATAAGTGACGTGTAATTGATCTTATATAACCGTTAACACTTAGTCGCGTTACTGTTTACTCGCTCATTTGTTGCTAGGGAATCAACACCTAATTATACCGATGGGTGTTGTAAATATTGGCATTTAATAACAATGTGATCGGAGGTGAGATAGAATGTCTGAAATGAATGCAGTTTCGTCTCCTCTATTTGAACATAGACAGACAGACAGATAGAATGACGGGTAGACATGACAGAGGAAGACACACGGGGACAAAGTGGATAGAGAAGAATAATGTGGTCGATAAGGGAGAGAGAGAGAGAGGGGAAGAGAGAGAGAGAGAGAGAGAGAGAGAGAGGAGAGCAAGGGGAGAGAGAGGTGGGGGGGGGGGGGGGGGCGGGAGAGAAAGATAGGGAAGAGGGTACATGTACAGAGAGGAATAGAGGGAGAGAGAGAGAGAGAGAGAGAGGAGGAGGGAGAGAGAGAGAGAGAGAGGGGTCGAGGGATAGATATAAATAGAGAGAGAGGCCGAAAAATACACAGGAAAAAAGAGGGTAAGAGAAAGAGAGAAAGGTATATAGTAAGGAAGAGAAGAAAATAGGGCGAGAGAAATCGAGGGAGAGAGTGTGAGAGATGAGAGAGATGAGAGAGAGAGAAAGAGAGAGAGAGAGGGATATATATACAAATAAAGAGACAGAGATAGAAAGGGAGAGAGAGAGAAAGAGAGAGAGGGAGGGAGAGAGAGAGAGAGAGAGAGAGAGAGAGAGATACTCAGTGTAAAAGAGGGTAAGAGAAAGAAAGAGAGATAATTATTTAGTAAGGAAGAGAGGAAAATAAGGCGAGAGAAATCGAGGGAGAGAGTGTGAGATATGAGAGAGATGAGAGTGATGAGCGAGAGAGAGAGAGAGAGAGAGAGAGAGAGAGAGAGAGAGAGAGAGGAGAGGGAGAGAGAGAAAGGGAGATAGAGAGAGAGAGAGGATGACAAAAAAAGTAGATTTGTGATATTTACGGATGGCTGTTTCAAGTACATGTGGAAAAGGTACAATTTATAACACTTTGAATGATGCAAAGGATGTTGGAGTAATATGATCAAAATGTTGCAATAATGGTCATTATCGACTTCGTGATATACTGTAACATTAATGTAATGATGAGGAGTTAAGTTTTGTTGTTGTCAAGGCAACAACTCTTGCGTGATGTTAATGATTTTGCCTGAATTTAATCCCCCGAAGTGAGGCATTTGATTTATAACAGAGCACAATGCTCATTACACCATCACATGAAACCCACATAGTCAATGCATTAAAGGGTTCTAGGACAATTACTCCCTGGACAATCATCCCCCAGCCAATTACAGGGGGAAAAATCACTCCCCAAGGAAAAATTAAACCCAGGAAAATTACCCTCTCCCCAAGGACAAACCACCCCGAGGATATTAACCCCCCCCCCCCCTCCGTGGACAATTACTACTCCCCCCAACAAAAAATATGTTTTTATTAAAACCAACCAACTTATTATCAGGGTGGACTTCTCCTAAATGAATTTACAGGGATGGAGATTTTGTCCTCGGGGGGGGGGGGGGGGGGGGGGGTAATTGTCCACGGGGGCTAAATGTACTATAGGGAGTCATTTTCTGGGGTAATTGTCCAGGGGGTAATTGTCTTGATACGGAATTAAATAGCTTGTAAGCACAATTGTAATTTCATGGAATGATCACGGTTAGGATGAATCATTGTGATTCTGTACATCCACGAAAAGACGAATTCCAAAACGCCATTACTTTTTTGACAAAAAACGTGAGATGATGTCCATTGTGACCAGTGATATGAGATCTAAAATCATTTACAGCAGCCACGAGCATATCCATGTTCCTCATGCTCACGGGGGAAGGATAAATATACATAGATGTGTGTATTAAAGGCAATACAACCAACCTGTTTGGTATAAGTTCGTTTGTATTAAAGCAGAACAAACAGAGAAACAGAAAGATTGAATAAATTGGACCAAAACACAAGAAGGATATGAAATATGTTTTAGATATGACATCACTAAATTGTTTAGTGGCGTGTGACGTAGTCGCGAATATATTATCTAATCTTGAATTTCTGTGCTTTTTCTTTCTCATATACAGGTGCCTTTTCTTTCGGGGCACGACTCAAAATATATTTTGGGAAGCATATTATTGAGGTTCTCTAAAAAAAAAAAGATCCTATTGAGTCTTCATATATTTTTGAAAAAAGTTATATTGTAGTCATATTTGCGTTCGAACCAATGGGGAAATTGTCCGCCACTACATCTCAGAGACATTTCCGATTCGGCAAACTCGAATAGCCCCTAACTACAGTGATTACAACTTTTACGAATTCATAATTTTCTCATTTTCCCCGATTTCATTCAGTATTTCATCAGTCTACTTGTTTGATCTGTTTACTTTCCACTAGAGTAGTTTGCTATCAAGGTTGGATTCCAAAGCATATTGTATTTGCTAATTTTCATAGGAATAATTAATAGATTTATATCAAATTTTATGGAGGGCACTTGCCCCCTGTGCTCCTCCATTTTACCTAGTGACAGATCCAACAAATTTACTAATCCCCACTTGTTCCTGGTGATATACAGTGTGAGTCCAAAAAAAGTTTACACCTAGAAAATTGCTAATTATTAAAAAAAAATCATCTATGAACAGTAAATGATTATACATTTTATGAAAGAGTATTTTATCCAAAATCATTTGCTATCATTTTTGTGCGATATGTGTTCACGCTTGGATAAACAGGAGGCATTGTTAGCGAGAGCGCAAAAATCGATTTGCGCCAAAGTTGCTTGTGTGATGTTTGAATAAACAATTGGGATTTGGGTATTAATTCGGTCTTTGCAGATCCAAATAACATCCCTAACAAAATTAATCATGCCACACATATAAAATATTAAATATCAACGAACATCTGTGCGCGCGTGTGTGTGTGACTTTGCTTCTGCAAAAAGCATAATCAATGCATTTCATTTGATACATTCAATTCATTCTCTCACTCCGCTAATCCCGACATAATACATGCTGTAGGCATCACTTTGGCGCAAGTCGATTTTTGCACTCTCACAAACAGTGCCTCATGTTCATCCAAGCGTGAACACATAAAACACAAAAATGATACCAAATGATTTGGGATAAAACACTCTTTCATAAGATGTATACTAATTTACTGTTCATAGATGATTTTTAAAATAATTAGCAATTTTCTAGGTGTAAACTTTTTTTTTACTCACACGGTAGTAAGCAGTGGCGAATCCAGGGGTTTTACGAGGGGGCACATGACTCCGTCTAAAATCAAGCCAGTATCTATTATGATAACAAGAAGCATTGTAAAAAGAAAAGAGCAATTTTAAAAAGCAACTGTATCCCCGTTAATGCCCTTGACTGCATTTTAGACCCCCAAAATGCGCCTAAAATGAATTGTCTTACCTATAACCCCTCCCTCCACAGAATCATGAATTGGTGAATTTAAAGTAGGCCTATTCAATTTTTCAACCATAAAGTAGTGCATTATTCATGTGCATACTGCAGGGCAACGGCAAATTGATATTTACAAATTTCCATCTCAAATGCAACTCAGAAAGCTTAATCAATTAATTTCATGCCGTTTTCTTTCGAAGTTACATAATTCCGGAGGATCGTATTTCGAAAATGAAACAGGGTTCGTAATTTCGAAGGTTATTATTCCTTAAATGGTATAGAACGTCGTACCGTTTTTCATAATTACGAACTTTTTGTAATAACGACCCCTATTTCATTGTGAGAATAAAGAACTCCCTGTTATAGAAATTTGTGTTTCGGAATTAGGAAGCGTTTGAATATAAACGTTTTAAATGAAGATTCTTCGGAACAACGAGTGCTTCACATTTAATAGAAAATGACAAGTTTTTCCTTTTTTATTGACACATTATTCAGGAAAGATCACCAAACCTGATGCTTGTTAAGCTTGCAGAAAAGAGTGATGATGGTAAGGAGAGTGATGCCAAATCTACCGGCGAACAGAATACTGATGAACTAGTAGATGCAGCGGTAAGAACCATTTACCAAGTACTTTCATTTTTCAACTTGAAACAGCAACGGAATGTGAGAGATTGATCATCATTCACAGCATTTATTCTTTTTTAAAGTAAATCCATTAAAAAAAAAAAAACATTGTTCAGCATTTTCTGCTCTTAAGATATTCCATCGTAATTTAAATTCTCTTTTCTTTTTTCTTTTTGTTTTCCACTTACATCATAGAGTATGACTGTATGACGTAATATGATCCCACTTGTTATACTTTTCATATTGTACTATCTCTTTTTATACATTTATTGTAATATGAATCTACTTTGATTTACTTCTGGTATACGCTTTAAATACCCGTTAATATGCTAACTGGTGTATGCATATGGAACCTATTACATGTATATGAACAGGATATTAATGTACATCAATGATGTTTAATTAAAACAAATACGATACGTCATTCCGTGGATATTGAGAATCTGTCGCCTTTTTTATCCTTGATTTTTCAATGTTTTTCTCTCCACGGCCTTGTTTTCACATCAAGCTATAACCTTCATTATCAAACAACATTTGTTTGTTTTATTCATGAAGCTCGATCAGGATATTTTCGAGTGTTGTCATGGAGGACTCACGAACAACACAAACCTTCATGGATTACTAGAAGGCGGGGCCGATGTCAATCAGAAGGATTCCAACGACCAATCACTGCTGATCTACGCGGTGGCTAACGGTGACGTCACAACCATCAATCTCCTATTGGAGAAGGGTGCTGACGTCAATCAGCGCGGTAAAGCACAGGCCACGCCCCTTATGATTGCTGCTGATATGGGTGCTAAGGAAAAGGTACGTATACAGATATATGGGGGGGGGGGGGAGGAAAAATGAGAACGGAGAGCCAGAGCGAAAAGAGTTAGGTTTTAAAGGTAAAGACCAGTATTGGAAACGCCCCAATTTCAAAAAATGAAATGGAAGCTCTCATTACCAATCATGTGAAAGAATATGTTTTGACTAATACATGATGATAAAAAATTTGCCGGGAAACCGCCTACTAATTCATATATTTGGAAAATTTGTTTCTCTCATGGTCTGTGAGAGATATAGGGTAGTCCCATATACATCTTTCTGTGTATAGTGCTTGTAACTTTACAAAGAAAGGGCCAAATTTCTTATCATTTTGATGATTCCAGAACCTTGCAGATGCTAGATGCTAGATGATCAACCTTTTCTGATCGATTCCACAACGTTTCTTTCACAATGCAATCGCATGACCATAACGGGTCTTTACCTTTAAAGTGACTCAGTAACATTGTTGAAGGTTTATGAAAAAACTGCTTAATTTTTGTATGAAATGTTACCTATTTTATTCCTTCTACTGTACTAACCCTCTAACATGCAAATAATCCTGAAAAAATTCTCAAACCACAAAGATATTTGCGGTTTTCTTTGAAGGTGTCACTGTCACTGTGTGACACCCAGTAAATTCTCCCAAACTTGTTTGCATTTTTCTAACGTTTTTCCATGTAAAAAAGACATGGCAGGCTTTAACAAAAATATGTCAACACTTAAATGTCTGGAATGGTATATAGAGCTAATTCATTGCTTTGTGACGATTTACCTAAAATGTAATTAAATTGTAATAATATGGTTGGGAGAATTAAGGAACCGATCAGATCAGTTTTTCCCAATTTGTATGACTAATAATGGTCTGTTTTCACTCAAACTTTCAGATTTTCTTTAATTGGACATCTAGCATTAAAGTCATTACCTTAGCACCATTTTCCCTCATCTGAACAATGTTACCAGGTCCCTTTAAAGGTACTATGTCCCATTTGCAGGCCAAAAAAATGAAAAATTAAAATTCCAACTGCATTTGAAAGATAATACTTATTTAGAACTTCCCTAAAAGAGGTTGGGCTTGAAAATGTCTTCAAATGGGAAAATAATGACTATTAGTTGTCAAATCGACTTTAGGGCTATAGAGCCCAAAAGTAATAGTCTTGATTTTCAGACAATTGTACCGAATGGTCATACGTTTTATGCTGCGCAAAGATTCAATCAGTTTAATCTTGGCCATCACAAGAAGTGGGTTATTGATGTAGACAAATGCTCATGTACCCTTTACAACTCTTTTCATGTATGTTATTACCAAAGAAGAAAAAAGCCAGTCAGTCACTCAATAGTGTCTGACAGTGAAGTCTAGCAAGTAAACGGGCTTCCTTGCATAATTTGAATATGAGGACACTGCTAACGTTTAAATTTCACAGATAGGACATACGTGACATATTCATAATTCCTGCAAAGTTCTACAGAATTTGAGGTTGGCTGCAAAAGGGACATAGTACCTTTAATGGGGGATAGATGAAGAGTGACAGAGAGAGGTAGGAAAGAGAGAGAGAGAGAGAGAGGGGGAGGGAAAGAGAGAGGGGGTAGGAGGGGGAAGGGGGAGGCAGTTAGGGAGACTCAATTATAAAAAAAGACATTTATCTCAAACACTTTTATTCTGTCATAAAGAACTAACAGTTAAAAAAAAAAATCATATACCAAAACAATAAGATTCATTCCATGTACCATCTATTTCACATTAGAATTAGACATCAGTCAACACCTCTTTTCGCTTGAAACATAAAAAAGAGATGGATTTGTTTGAAAACAATAATAACAATGTACCTCTTATTTCACACCATATCAATTATGAGTGGCAGCAAAGCATTCATGGTCATCGAAGATTTCAGTGATCTTCCGGGGCTATGAGCGTGTGTGTATGATACATGCTACTTTATACTTCCCTACAATCATCTCAATGTTTGGCTTAGCTTCTACTTTTTCAGCAACTGTCCCAGTCAACAATAATTATATTCCAATGTGTATCTAATGAATTTATCCTCTTATATAATTAACTTCGAACTAGCCTGTAATCTACTTTTGTTACCTCTTATTCTTTGAAAAAGGCGCTATATAAATCCAATTATTATTATTATTATTCTGCCCTTCTCTTCCCTATCTCCTACTGTATCTATATTTTGCACTCCTACATTTCTATTGCTACTATGTCTCTCTCTCTCTCTCTCTCTCTCTCTCTCTCTCTCTTTTCACCCTCTCTCCCCCCTCTCTCTCTCTCTCTCTCTCTCCCTCTCTCTCTCTCTCCCTCTCTCTCCCCCTCTCTCTCTCGTCTTTCTTTCTCTCTCCCCTCTGTTTCCCAACTCCCTCTGTTCGCTACATCCCCCAATTTATTTCACTCTCTCATTTCTACCTTCTCTGTCTTTCTCATCTTGGTGATGTCACAGGTTTCGTTCTTACTAAGTAAAGATGCAGACACAATGCTCAAAGATGATGATGGAAAGACAGCGCTCCATAGAACAGAGAGAAATAGAGTAAGTACACATCAACATTCCCATTAACATCATTACATATTATGTTTTCCTTTGTCTTTGTAAAACTATTTTTGGATCGAGTTTCGAGCTTATGATCTGAAATAAATTCCAATGAGCGCGTACGCTATAAATATTTCCTTCTGTTATATCAGGAGAAACATTTTCTAGCTTTTTTCATATTTCTGTAAAGGGCTTAAAGGTCGTAGAAACACTTATAGGGACTTTCTAAATATGAATACTTTTATTTCCATTGTAGTTCTACCCCAGCTCCCTCCCTTTCCCCCTCTCTCTCTCTCTCTCTCTCCCTCTCTCACTCTCTCCCTCCCTCCCTCCCTCCCCTCTCTCCCTCTCTCTCTCTCTCTCTCTCTCCCCCACTGTGGCATATGTTAATTATCTATCATTTTCATGTCCTTTTCCACTAGAATACAAAGTGTGCAGATTTAATGATTGAGAAGAATCCTGATCTCCTACAGGCTCGAGACAACTGTCAACAAACCATTTTACATCAAGCGGCTGGAGAGGTAAGTCTAGGCGATATACACCTAATTATATATTATTATCAAATGTAATATTAAACTCCGTTAGAATTCAAAATAAATCAACAAGCGCTATGAAAACTATTAAGAATAGCAATTTCATAATATCGGACAAAATTATTAGTTGTTAAAAATATGTTGGTACCAGCTTCTTCTGTTAACCGTTCGAGGTTGGTTAAGTGGAAATGGAATTCTTATGCAAATCACCATCTATTATCTCGGGGAGCATAGCAAGCCTTGGAATATAATCACAAAAGAATCATTTCAAAGCAAGCTATTCAAAGTGAGGCATGGTTGCTTTCAAGTTAAGTAATGAAGTTTGATTTATTCACGGACTTCTTTTGGATGACTGACCCGTGTATCTAATAGCGGTCCCTACTCTATAGATGATTTCAGGCACGGTACTTTCCGCAGGATTTAGATCATGACTATGGGTTAATTAAAAATACCCTTATCTCATTTTTAGTGCATATTGTCATCTCTCATATAGAATCGGATTTTGTATGGTAATTTCCTTTATTGCTGAGTATAAAACAAGATTCTACTGTAAGTTCCTGTTAATTCATCGGACCTCTGTTAATTAATGGCCTGTTACTTCTCTGTTTATAATCAATATCCCGAGTATTGAATTTGATTTTATATACAGGTTAGTTTCTTTTATTTATTATTATACTAAACAATATGATATTCAAATATCTTATTAATTTCTAGGACCTATCAATTAATGCCCTGTTCCGTTTCTATTTACAATCATCATCCCTCGCGTTGAATCTGATTTTGTAGGCTAATTTCCTTTATTACTGAGTAATAAAAACCAAGATTCCATTTTAAGATCCTGTTAATTCATCGGACCTGATAATGAATGACCTGTTGCTTTTTTGTTTACTTCCGTCATCCCTCATATTGAATCGGATTTTACAAGCAAATCTAGCCTTTCTGTTCAAAGATCCTCTTAATTTCTAGGACCTAGCAATTAATGACCCAGAAATTAATGACCCGTTCCTTTTCTGTTTACAACTCGACAGGGTAACAAGGATCTTGTGGATTTTTTGTTGGAGAAGAACGCTGATCCATGTGCTATGGATAACCTGAACCGATCAGCTCTTCACTGGGCGGTTATACAAGGCATGGTAGGTTACCATGGTTACAACTTCCTATGAGAAAGAGTCTCTCTCTCCCTCTCTCTCCCCCCCCCTCTCTCTCTCTCTCTCTCTCTCTCTATATTTTCTCTCTCTCTCTCTCTCTCTCTCTCTCTCTCTCTCTCTCTCTCTCTCTCTCTCTCTCTCTCTATTTCTATAGGGCGCCAACCAGTGTCACACATTAATACATTTATCCAGTACTGTAGTAATTATGTGTGATTAATAGGTTGTGTAAGGCCGGATCCATTATAACATCAATGAATTAAAAAGATTAATGATAAAATGGGGGCAATTTATGCTGTGCAGGTAACAAAGGTTTCAACTATTTTGAGAATTATTTGCATCCAATCTCTGAAATAATTAAAAAGGAGGTTGATTTGATTCTTCTGATACCCTTCTCATTTGGCAACTTACTGGCCCTCTCTCCCTCCCCCCCCTCTCTCTCTCTCCCTCTCCTTCTCCCTCTCTCCTTCCTCTCTCTCTCCCCTTCTCTCTCTTCCTCTCCCTTGTCCTTATCTTCCCCTTTCTCTCTTTCTCCCTCTCTCCCCTCCCTTCATCTCTTTCCCCTATCCCTATCTCTCTCTCTCTCTCTCTCTCTCTACCACTACCTCTTCCATATCTCCCTCCCTACCCCTCTATCTCACCCCTTCTCCACTCTCTCTCTTCCTCTTCCTCTCTTACGTTGACCCATTGCAGTAGTGTATTCCCTGTCAATCCACCGTGGTCTTTTCCAAGATTCCATCTTCATCATTGTGTTGATTTTCATGCAGCCCTATCAAGTCAAAGTATTGTTTCATATTGTTTGTTGAATCAAATTTGGAATTTTTTTTTAAACTTTGTTATTATGTATCAGTCTTTGAACTGCTTTTACTGTGGTTGGATAAGCATGCATCCGTAAAAAGACGACTAGCGGGAATGCTCCACAGGGAGTGAAGAATGTGCACTGTAATGTGGAGAATAGTGGTTGAATGCAATGACCGGGGTAATAATAATACTGTTAGCGCTTTGGTCAGTCATTCATTAATAATGGTACGCGCTTTAGAAGAAAGAAATATTATCTATTAATCACGATTAAATTATTAATTCTACCTCAGGAATCTGTAGCGACTAGTCTACTTGAACGAGATTGTTCAAAGGTGATCGACGAACCTGATCGCTTTGGAGTCAGACCGATACATTATGGAATACAAAGCAATCGGTCGGACATCGCCGGAATGCTCATTGAGAAGGTATTAAAGAGATTGTATGTACAGAGGGTACCCAGTAAATAACGGACAATTAATACCAGAGTACGCCATATACAATTGTACCTCGAACTCGTTTGCCGCTCTAGAAAAATGATCAATACCAAAATGAATTATTGGTGCCTTGGATTGAAGGAAATTGTCACGAATATGAAAAATGAAGGGGTGGTGTTGGGTGGTCTCTGGATACGGTTATGTGAATATAACTTAAAAGCACATTGGAAGATAGACATTGAAATGTAGGATACATTCCATATTTGTGCAATTTGGTTCATTCAAAGATTACTGTATTCTTATTCTCGTATTTTTCGCATGTCAAAAATAATATATATATATATATATATATATATATATATATAAACTGGACAATTTTCTTTCTCACAGATAACCATGCTACATTTGCCCCAAGATTATTCTATTTATGACAATATATTTTAAAATGTTTTATACTGTTAATTTGTTTCTGACTAATAAATCTTAATGTTTCCTTTTTGGTATATTACCATGTAGGGTTGTGAGTTAGAGGCAGGTGAATCAAGGGGTCTGACTGCTCTCATCTATGCCGCAGCCTGCGGGAAGAAGGACATGCTGGAAATCATGATCCCACGGTGTAAGAATGTCGACGTCACGGATAAAAAGGTAAGAATTGATTCATTTCGATGATAGCATTAGTCGAGAGTTAATGTACTATAACGTGATAATACCACACTACCACTGGTGAATCCAAGGGGAGGGGTGCAAAAAGGAGCGCGCAACCCCCTTCCCCCTCCCCACAACGTGCCTACGTTTTATACATGCGCCCCCTCATTTTTCCCCTTCCATGTTCCTAAGCCGTGTGCTCCTCCTGCAAATTTATACAGCTTTTGGGGTGTTTTTATGTCCTTGCCAGAGACTTTGAGAATTAATTATGGATTGAAAAATTTGAATAATTATCTATTGATATGATATCAAATAATATATGATGTAATTTAAAGCTAATGGTTATAATTTCTCATGATGGCTATCTTTTTATGTGTATTTTAAAATGATCAGAACTTTCAGAGACTATTGCACATACTTGTATATCATTCAAAAGAAAGAAACAACTGACATGAGAAAAAACAGCTGATTTATAAATACAATTTAACTGTATTATTTTCTTCTTCACAGGGTTGGACAGCCCTTCATCATGCAGCTAAACGAGGGGACGAGGATGTCTGCATCCTCCTGCTTGATCATAAAGCCAAGGCTAGTGTGAAGAGCTTAACGGACGAACAAACACCGCTGATCATTGCAGTCAATAATAAACATCTTGGCGTGGTTAAACTCTTGATCAAACGAAACCCATCGAGCAAAGATGTGAAAGATGCAAAGGGCAGGTAAGGATTGATAGCATGCAGAGTTGAGTTAAACTATAAGATTATGAATTTCTTGATAAACAAGAAATATCAAAATCATGTTCGTGGGAGTATTTCTAATAATAATAAAGATATTTAGATAGGGGAAAATATGATCATAATGATGATGAGTCTGATAATGGGTAAGATGGCGATGATGCTTATTGGTGTTGATAATGAAGAAGATAGTGATGATTATGAAGTCGACCACGATGGTGCAATTGACAATGATAGAAGTGTTGATAATAGTGAAGATGGTGGTGGTAAATATGTATGTATACTGAATCGGAGGTTAGTCCCCAACAAATTTGTGCGGCAAAAGTTTTTTTCTTTCTAATTCAGTGTCCTTCTAAAACTCTCATAAAAGTGATAATCACCGTAAGGTTTATTCAAACATTATATTGATTTCTTCAATTTCCACTTCCAGATCTGGTCTTCATCACGCTGCTGAGCATGGTGATTTAAACATTCTAAGTGCTTTACTCGAAACACAGACTGACTCTCAGAAGAAAGAAGAAGCAGAGGAAGGGTACGGATTACTAACACCTTATAAAAACGTATTCTCATTTTATAATACGACAGTTTTCAAAGTGAAGATGTAAAAAGATAAAGGTTTCCCCTCCCATGAACAGGTGACGCCAAATACTTAGTAATAGTACGACAGTTATCACTGGTGTATATGCAAGGGGTCCGTTCCTGCTGGTGGGGGGATATCTGGGCAGCCTTGTTGTACTGATATGTCAAGTTCTATACATTCAAACAGGGACGTATGCCAACTCCAATCGGGAGGGGTGGAAGGGGCACGCCCCCTCCCTAAATGGGATAAAAGAAAAAGAAAAAGGGGAAAAGGGCAAGAAGAAAAAAGGTCTAGACCACCTTTCGCGCCCTCCCCTTATAATTAGTAGCCTTGTTTCAAAATTTGCATTTTACTTCCAAATTGAGACTGGTGCCCAACCCCCTCACATCGTCCGAGTGGCCCCAATGGGTGGACTTACGGTACGCCTCTTGTCGACTCCATCCTATGCTGGATAAGCCTCTGGTCATTGATACATTCTAATGATGAACATACATTTCTAAAGTAGTTCCTTTTCAATATCGAATAGGATATATATATTGTATTGACTATAAATTGACATGTTAGTGATTTGGTAATAAATTCAAACTCAACCCAAATTGTCTTCTAGTCAAACGAGCTCAGTAATAATTGTTTTCTGTCGGAAAGGACTAGAAGCGTAGATGACAATATCCCATTGCCTAAAAAAAATGCATATTGAACGTACTAATAAACAAATTTACATGAACTTCAAGTTTGATTAAAGCTGTTTGTTACTTTTATAAATTGTAGGTGTTAGATTGTGTGTCCACTTTCCAGTTCTGACAGTACTAAATCATAATCATTGTTTATTCCGTTTATTTATTTATTTTATTCTGTTTAGGGATTCAGAATTACAAGATTTCATCAACTCAAAGGATAGCTCTGGTCATTGCGCCCTCTATCTAGCTGCGAAGAACAGTCACAGAGACTGCTGTCAACATCTCTTAGACAAAGGAGCGAAAATCGAGGAATCTTTTCGAGATCTTCTCTTTGAATTGGGTTTAATCGAGCCTCGGGACGAGGAAGAGGAAAGTGGAGATGAAGATAAAAGCAGTACTTCATCCCGCCAGCGATATGGAGTGGATGAAACGGATGAAAGCGAGAAAATCGAAGATTTAGATCTAGGTGAGAGATTATTAAGAGTACCCTTAATAATCCTCGTTACAAACCATTAGATAATGGTAACACGGTGTTTGCATCACCTTAATAATTCTCGTTCCAAACCATTGAATAATGGTAACACGGTGTCTGCAACACTTCCAGGCCTACTTCAAACTACTTACACTGTTTTGAGCTAAAATACAATGCCTCAAGAATTCCAGAAATATCTCGTATGATGTCATCATGACGTCGTGTTGTGATGTATAGAAAAGAAATGTAGGATTCGAAAGGTCAATTTCATTCATGAACGGACAAGGTGTAATTAGAGCACCTCACCAATTAAGCGTCAAACTGTATGCTTATCAACTCAAAGAAATACTCTTTGCTTTTCTTTTTAATCTCGGTGCCTGTTATTAGAATTATTAGTTACAATATGAATGCTCTTTAGAAGAAACATATAAGACTCTGTATTCAATTTTCAATGCTTATAGTGTTGGTAGTGGTGGTGATGGTGGGGGGGGGGGGGTGCTATTGTCTCTTTTCCCTCTTCTGCAACTGAGTCCGCAGGTTACATTTATGGTAATAAAGTGAACTAAGAACAACAACAAAAGCTAAATGACGAAAAAGAAGCAGAAAGTTCGAATAAGGACATATTAGATGATTCCGTGTCACTGCGTGAAGAAATATTTCAACTAAGGAGCGGGGTAGGAAAGAAAGAAGAAAGAAAATGCGCAAACAACACATTTTCAGTTGAAGATTACCGTCATGTAGTACAAGTTGTTCAGGTAATGCGAAATATAAATTTTAGGGTGTGGCGGAAATTCATCAGGTCGTACTGATATTTTTCTGTCAAGATTGTCAAGTTCATACCGTGACCCATTTAGATTACTACACATTACATCTTCGAGAAGATTTTTAAAACATTATTATCCTGCCTCATCTACTTCTCTGGTGTACATGTATGTCTCTTTCTCACAGGCCCTGTTATTGTCTATTTTTGTCTTTTTGAATGGGGTTCTTTTGCCGAGCGTCTTCTTCCTAATCAATTTTAATCGTATAAAGCCATTAGCTTCCCACGAGTTACAAGACTTTCTTTCTTATAGCGCGTTTTAAATACTTCCGTCCATTGATCGTCATGATAGTCATGAGCGTTTAAAGCAATGACGTCACGTAACATCTATTGTGACCTAACACATGACGTCTACTAAGCCCTGAAGGTTGACTGCCATAGATCTCTAGGTGGTGATAGTAAAAGAGTTGCGGGAATGCGGGAAAAGGCAAAGTCGAAATATTTTTATCCGCGGATTGAAAACGGGAAAAACAATTAAAAAGAACAAACTTATAAATACGAATTAATGTTTTTCTGAAGGGGACTCCACAACAAAAACTATTTTCATCCATTTCTTTTAAAAAAGGGCCGACGAGCTTTTATTTTCCCCATCATATCTTAGTGGTGGTGAACTTATCATTGCACCTTACAATAAACCTGAAATACCTGCATGTAGATATTATTCGTTTTTTTTTAGACATTTGATTTTATCATTTATAAAAAGATTATTTAAATTAAAGTAAACTTATACGTTTTTGAAAGCTTTCAACACTTGTTTCTCTATTCGTTCGATCCAACGCTGAATGGAAATATTGACGAGATAAGGAACACTATATTTGTGTCACATCGTAGAGCAAGCGCCATGAGCGCCTAAAGAGGCGAAAGAAAACATCATCATCATCATCATCATCATCATCATCATCATCATCATCATCATCATTATCATCATCATAGTCATCATCATCATTAATATCATCATCGTTATCATCATTATCGTCATCATTATCATCATCGCTATCATCATCATCATTATTATCATCATCATCATCATCATCATCATCATTATCGTCATCATTATCATCATCGTTATCATCATCATTATTATCATCATCATCATCATCATCATCATCATAGTCATCATCATCGTTATCATCATTATAATCATCATCATTATCATCATCATCATCATCATCATCATCATCATCATCATCATCATCATCATCATTATAATCATCATCTCGTCGTCATCTTTATCATCGTTATATACGGTGACTTATTAATACAAAATATAAAGGAAAAAAATAGGGAGAGTTGATTCAAAAGTGGAGGTGGAGACGGAACATAACAAGATTATGTAATATTGGGATATCTGCTTATTTCACAGTTCTATATTGTGATTGTCATCTTACAGGCAACCTTACCGATACAGATGCTGTGGCACTCAACTCACGATACATATACGAAGGCAAAGGCCCGGCTCCGAAGTCGACATCGCCACGGAGACCGATGAACGTGATACCAAGACGATCAACCGACATCGATGACCAGGAAACATTCGATGTTCATTGGAAAAACATACTGGAAAAGAAACGCAGATCTGAACAAGGCGTTAAGGCTAGGTGAGTCACGTGACGAAATGGAATAAAACTTGGATAAAGTATAAATAAAAGTGTAACCTGAAATAATTTCCCCTACAAATATCAAAATAATGGGTTCATGTAAAGTGCTCTTGTCTGTCAGACTTGACACTTTTGGTGCTCCACAATTATTTCCCCGGCCTTAGCTTGGCTGCCATTATGGCGCTCTAGCGTTTCAAGGAATTAATTCCTGCCAGGTACACATTTACCTCTCCTGGGTCGAGGGCGGCAAATGTCAATTAATGTCTTGCCAAAGGACGTTAGTCCCGCGGCGGGACTCGAACCGCGAACCATGGGATCCACAGTCTGGTGACGTATCCACTAGACCTGCACGCCTCCATATCGTAGTGATAACAAGAGCCCAGCTCTGTCTAAGATATGAACCTTTTCAATGTTATTTACTCTTTCTCAGACTGGCAAATTAAATCAGGAAGATTTTAAAGTGTTTGTTTGTTGTGGGTCCCAGAAGTCATAACAATGGGAAGAAAGGAGGCCTCTTCCTTCACCACACACTCATTTCCTTTCGCTCTCACTGCCAGGGTTTGGGATGATGACGTATCAGGCAATATGTATCATTTTACTACATTATGAACATTTAGAGAGAGAGGGATGGAAAAGAGAGATATGGACAGATTGACGAAGACACAGATAAAAGCGAGAGAGAGAGAGAGAGAGAGAGGAGAGAAAGAGAAAGAGAAAGAGAGAGAGAGGGAAGGAAAGATAGAGAGAGAGTGAGAAAAGGAAAGCGAGAGAGCAGGATGAGAGAGAGGGAAGGAAAGATAGTGAGGGAGAGAGAGAGAGGGGAAGACTGAGAGAGAGAAAGAGAGAGAGAGAGAGAAAAGAGAAAGAGAGAGAGAGAGAGAGAAGAGAGAGAGAGAGGGGTAGGGGAGAGAGTGAGAGAAAGAGAGAGAGAGAGGGTAGGGGAGATATATAGATAGAGAGAGGGAGAGAGAGGGGTAGGGGGGAGAGAGAGAGAGAGAGAAGGAAGGAGAGGTAGCAAACATAGATAAGGGGATAGAAAGACAGACAGACAGATAGAGACGTTAGCAGAGAAAGGTGATATCATCCTCATGAGAAAACAAACGATTTGTCTGCCAAGTTTTATGTTTGGGGCCCAAAAAGATTGAGTGAAGGAGACGATGATGATTGGTTGTGATGTGTGCAGGCTGTTAGTCATGAGGGAACAGTAGTAGACTGAAAGAGGATTAAAACGAAAACAAATACTACAACAGCATTAAAGAAAGAATAAACCAGCAACTATAGTGTAATCATTATATTTTAACTGTTCGATAAAGGTTGATGAGGGGCAAATAAACCTTCCATGACTCTTTACATGTAAGAGAAAAATGATTCAAACAATTGAAAAGATTCTAACAAGAAATTATAGGAGTTAATGATTCGGAAACGATCAAAAATCAAATCAAATCAAAACAAATATACATCAAAACAACTAAGTGATTCAATTTTCAAAAACAAAAAACGAGTAAGGATCGTAAGAAGATTGAGCTGAATCCTGTTTTTCTTTCTCTTATTTGTCAGATATAGTACATGTAGGTTGATACGGGTACACTCTATGAATGATAAAGGGCGATAGAGGGGAAGAGATATGATTATATTATGAAATACTTTGATTCGCTATGATCCTACTGTCTTAAGCTCTCAGGGATAACGTTTCTATAGATCGAGATACCGCGTGGCTAGACGGCAGATGTGCCTAGTTTGCAGTTGCACACTTCTACGTGGTTTTCATGTCATCTATAGAGTATCATCCAGTGCCAAAGGCTCTTTGATTAGTTTCGGTCATACGTGCCTCTTCTCATCCACTCAACTCTGTACCAGTTTCTATATAGTCTAGTAAACATAGATGTACGAGCAAATTATTATAATTTTTTTGTTTAGGGGGGGGGGGGGGCTGACACCGTTTGCCCGAATATTGACAGGTTCTACTCTTCATTTTCTAAATTTTTCGCATGCGAGCCCGCCCCGACCGGATGCGAGCGAATCGAGCGCGCAATCATTTTGACAATTTTGTTGTGGTTGCCCAAATGTCGAACTTTGAACGCCCCCGCCTCATGTGTCTGATGCTAGTAAATCTGAGGAGTGAACTAGCTTGGGTTTGTGCATTTAGACCAATTGAATTGGTGAATGTAGATAGGTCTATAGTTTTGAAATGTGAAGCGGTGAATACAGAATTGTGAAAAAAAGGGGGAGAGGTAAACTATCTTAAAATAGAAAAAAATCCACGAACACCAGGGGCGTAACGTAATAATGATCATGCAATGTTTGTTTAAAATGGGAGGGGTGGCTTTTGTTTTCCTGCGTTAATTCGCCAAACTTAAAGGGTCATGATATTATAAGCCCCGAAATCTTTTCCTCCAGTTGATAAGCTATTCTTCTACTTTGAATTCACGAGCATGTCAAAATGTAAATGATATATCAACATTAGATATTGACAAAGATTATTGTTAAACGAGGATGCTATGGATTTTAAATGTATTACTATCTTTAACTTTGTAAGTACAAGTACAATAATTGATTTCAACAATGCTGTTTATTCATACCAATTTCAAAGTTCTCTCTGATTTTTTTGTTGTTTTTGTTTTACTTCTTTGTTTCCTTCCTAGGAAAAGTCAAGAGAACCTGAAATCACCGTATGCTCAGCCTCTGGTAAGCTCCGAGGTGCTTCGTAAATACGAGAGAATGAGGCGTTCACATCAGGCTCTAGGGCGATCTGGGGGTTCCCCGAGCAAACCGGATGGGAAGACAGGGGATAGTTCAAACAAAACTCATTCAGGTGGAAGTGAGGAAAGATCGAAAAGTCTCGACACGCCTATGAACTTGAGAAATAAAAGCAGTCACTCACATGGTAAAAAGTATTCCTATTCTGTGGTGACCAAATAGCCAGACAGACTGAGAGGATGACTATTTTGATGTTTTGTTTTGAATGGACAATGCCATATGTGGCCAAAATCACTATTGCAAGAAATGGCGATGTTCTTAGGGTATGTTTCATTTCAGATTCCTCAGGCCTGTCTTCACTAGTTTGGCCAGGAGGGATTAGACCTCCCTGCGTGGTCACTGACAGGTGGTTATCTCATCAAATCAGCTCTCAATTAACATAAGAAAATGGGAATCGCGGGGGACCAACGGGTACCGTTTAGGCATTGTTTGCTATATAGAGGGCGCAAGTAGCTACTTAGTGTAGTGCAGTCCCGCTTTAATCAATACCTTTACTTTATAGTTCAACAGATAATTATGGACGCAAACTACAAACAGATAGCAAATGGGAATAATCTCTAAATAAATAAAAGAAAGTAATGGTTCATTTATTGTATTCTAATGCTAATAAAATAGGGTATTGATGACTTTGTGATACGGGATACAGCAAGGGATTAACAATAATGCCTCTTCACATCGCTATCGATATCGAGTTACAGAATAGACAATGTATAGTAGACGTTCTTGAACTCATTAGTTGATTATCTCATTGAAGGAATTGCCGTTAAGATGAATTAATTACAAGCATCTAAAATTCATTTTCATTTTAGATAAAAAGTGTGAACATGATTCAACTTTCAATGGCCGGTTATAATTTTCCTAATCATATTAGTGCGAAGCACATAATCATTTAAACATTTTGGACATTGCAATGTCCTGGGGAAAAATGGATGCAAGGATTATTCCGAAAACATTCCACATTCCACAAAAAGAGTGAAAATGTTTCTAGATCATATGCCAACTACCATCTACTCAATGACTGGATTACAATTTTCCCAATTATATAAAGTGCCAAACACATAATTGCTTGGAAGGTTTGGACAATGCAATGTTCTCGGGGAAAATGGTATTAGGAACGTTTTATCCAATCCAATCCTATTTTGCCTTAATTCTTGTTGGATTGTTATATTGCGTGAACGCATATCTTGGAGTCAAATGTATATTTTCAAGACTTTGTATAATGAATATTGCATTAATTTTGTTCTTCTAAAATTATATTATAACTGACGATATCAAGGGAAACTTATTTGTCCACTTTCATTCGCAAACATTCATTCTACGTTAAACTGGGACCAGTGTTTTGATTCGGGAATGGTGCAACATATATATATAAGTAATTATTTCATTATCAAAATACTGAGACAGTGTTTCAAATAGATCATCATTCTACAAAGATTTTTTTCACAATATAGCATAATGGCCCGGGACAATGGATGTGCCAAAGCAGGGCGTTAATCTTTTGTCTATACGGATCATTATCAATGTCCTGTTCTTTAAAATAGCAATATACCATTCGACCATAAGCATTCTATATGAGCCCATAAAATGGACTATTATAACGCTGATTCAACTTATTCTACTGATTAAAGGTGCGCAAAGTGTCAAGCTCTTTGCACACATTACCCTTTATTTGTAACGAAATAATTTTGTTTCTTCGACAAGTAAGTCTGACCAATATTAAATGATGCATATTTGTGAATTTGAATGATATTTAAACCCTTCGTGTGTGTCTTCAAAATGAAAGAATAAGTATGCAGCCGTGGTCTTCAAACAAAAATTTAGTTACGAGAGAATATATTTTTAAATGTTTTGAAAGCTATGCAAATTGATACTATATTACATTCAGCCGCAAGAGACCAAAAGTTAGCTAACATTCGTAAACGTTTGTGATGAAATGTGTAATGCTAATTTGCTTGAGTCGTGGAGGTGCTAACAGTTCAACGTTTTTGACCATGGTATCCAAATATCTAAGCGATCGAGTATTCCTTTTTTGAAGATTTAGGCACTCTGACTGTTAACAAACACTGCAATTCTTATCACCTCTCTAAGCTTTGTAGTCAGATGCTAATACCATTACTTGGTGTGTTTTGTGTATATTTCGGTAAGCTTCTCTTCGAAAGTCAAAGTAGAGGGCGTATCCCCTTTGACTCAGAAAAAGAGAGAGGGGGTGGGGGGGGGGGGGGGTTGGGGTGGAATACACTATACTACATGGATGCACAGTTGATCCCCTATGCTTTTTTTTGGGGGGGGGGGTGCAGTGCTCCCTATGTTGGATAAAGTTTTTAGACTAGCTTATTATCCAGTAAACGACTTTATATTGTACAGTATTTATTTGTCGATATACACTTTGAGTGATTATTCGTCATTTTCATTAATGTGTTTTGTGTGCCGAAATGATACCGTCTAAAACAATAATGCTATTTTTTCTAACAATAATTATGTAAATATGTGTTTTTATATTAACTAGAAATGTGCAGTGTAAGACTAACTTTGCTTACGGTGATTTACCAGGTAATTTCCTTTTTAGATATGTATAACAACTCCGTCGGAAGCTCATTATTGGTAAAATGGTGCTACACTATTAAAGCAAAATTTAAACAGTTTTTATTCTTATAAATACATCAGATTTATACTGCTGGTAGTAATACTTTGCCGCAAAGAAGTCTTTAAGGAATATCATTGCTTTAATTGGTAAGAGTATTCCATTATTCAGATCAAATAGTAATTTAGGAAAAGAAAGAACATTATAGTATTAATGAAGGATGAATTTAACAAATCGATTTAAGCAATCAAAGTTTCTAGACGGATTGGATCTTTGTATCAGTTACTGCTGGTTATAGAGTTTAAAAAGTATTAGAACTAATACATTGAAACTTAAGAGTGACAAATTTATTTACTTTTTCCCCTTTCAAAGTTTCTTTGATTGTACAAATTGTAAACTAAAATAGTTTGACTATAGCAATGAGATGATATTTCTGCATATTTCTGGTCATATAATCTGAAGGTTATATTTTTGTACTCTGACAATATTTTTATGAGAAGGTGGTTATAAAGGGGAAATTACAGTGAAAAACCGGCAACTTAGTACCTGAAACTGGCATAAAATCGTAAAATCATAAAATCAAATAAGTTATGGGCACCATAAGTTGAATATTTTATACTTTATTGTCCTGTATTTGTTTTGTACTGAACACTAAGGCGAATGAAATGATGTGTTAGGTTACTAAAGAGGTCACTGGCCTGACTGACTTTAATAAATATGCTAAATTCCTTAGTTTGGCTGCATGTTTATAGATGATAAATTTGCTGAATCTAACAACTCAATCTTACTCACCACACGTCTGTATTAAAATGAACAAACAATGTTAATAAAACAGTTCCTTTGTTTCGTGTTTGTTTTTCAAAGACTATATTCATTGTACGAGTATACCTGTAAGAATTGTACAAAAAGCTGTTTATTATGACATAAAGTGCATGATTATCAACTGCTGCTTTCGTTATGAAATGAGATCGTCATTATGATAATCAGTATCATCAGACGAGTTGTACATGTATAATCAGAATTACTTCAGCATTTAACTGTAAATTCCTTGCATAATTATGAAGAAGCTACACCCATATCCAGTAATCAAAATAATTACAAAAACAAATTAAAAGAGCATCATAGGCTTTGTGAGAATCTTTACACGTTCTAGAAAAAAATATGTACAATTTTACAAGACTTTTTGCTAGAATTACTTTAGTATAACAATCGCATTTTTTAAAATACATATTACAATTATATATGTAAAACTGTTCAATATTGTTTAAAACCGTTTTCTGTATGCCTGTGATGATTTACAGTTTTTTTTCACTTGCCTTCAGGTTTTTAGGTTAGACGATTCTGAATACGGGGAAGGGGCCGGTCCAAATTTCATTACTGGTCAGCATAAATTTATTATAAAAACTCTTCGCACTTGTAAATTTGTCGGCATGAGTTAAGGAATCTATATATATATATATATATATTTCCAAAAATGGGAAAAGTGTAGTCGGCAAATTTTTAATTTGCCGTAAAAGCTTTTAAAATTCGAACAATTATTTAGGGATGAATCAGCTTCCTCCCTCCACTGATGTTCCTAAAAGTTTTCATAGTTTACGATCAATACAATTTTTAAAAAAAAATCTCAATCATTGTTTCTCGATAGTGGTTTATTGTATAGCGCTCTTGTCTGGCAAACTTGACACTCCTGGCTCTCAATTAGTATTACCATCATTTTGGATTGGCTACCATTTCGGCAATATAGCATAAATTTGAGTAAGTATGTATAAACGTAATGTTGATGCCGCGCTGGATCGTACAGGTTGTTATACAGACTTTGTTTTTGTTATTTTACAATGCCATTGATTTCATCAATTTGCTTTCTCTTCTTCTTCTTCTTCTTCTGTCTCTTCTTCTTCCACTTCTTTTTCGTCTTCCTCTTTTTCTTCTTTCTTCCCTTCTTCACCTTCTCCTACTTATCATTATTATAGTATTCTCTTTACTCTTTATTCTATTTTCCTTTTCTTCTCAAATTCGCTCTCCTTGTACGTCTCTAGAATCTCATACTATACTACTTCGTTTTCGCCCCCTATAATACCTTTTAAACTCAGACCTACGGGAGCCTATTCACATACAAGCTATGCTTTTTATTTAGGCTCCCCACATTTTACATTGTTTTTCCTTGCCTGCTATATCTACATATTTTAAAATTTTCGTACTTATTTTCGTACATTATACTTGATTTGAAATCTTTAATCTGTTTTATTTTTTCTTGTGTGAAATCTACTCTTATATAATATACACTTGTATTAAAAAAATAAAAAATAAAATAAATTGTTTTTTATGTAAAATGTGGAATAAATAAAACTTAAAACTTCAATTAAGTACCCATTTACCTCACCTTGGACAGGGATTCGAACCCGTACCTTGTGGTTCACAGCCCGGAGACTTCAGGCCACATGACCTCTCACCTCTGTAGCCGCTGCTTCCACCTGTACAAATAGGGACTTTTAGATTTGCACAACGGAGAAAGTGAACTGCCCTTTTAAGGAAATAGTGAGGTCCTTTTAAGGCACTGGCAGTGACGTCACATTGCCTTAAAAGGGCAGTCCACGTTCTCCGTCGTGCAAATCTAAAAGTCCCTACTATCCTTTCTCGCACTTGGAATTTAAGTGATTTTACATCTCTTCCTCTCGCATCACTTATTCCTTCCTATAAACAAAACTCATCACACAGAGAAATCACTTTGGACAGACCTGTCGCTTTATTTCAAGACATTAAGCATCACATGTGCTGGCAGCTTACACCTTACTGCTTGT